CCCAGCGTTGTTCACCGCAAAATAATTGTTCATCCTTCGAGCGCAGTTTGCAGATGATTGAACAAAAAGAAGTCGCTCGGGGCTAGATCTGGTGCATAAGGCGGATAATCAAGCAGTTCAAATCGTAATTAGTAGATTTTTGCTGGCAATTGCTGAGGTAAGTCTTGTTGAAACAGGATTTTTTATGCAAATGTCGCCGTCTTTTCCCAATTTCTGTCCTCAGCTTGTCAAGCACTGTAGTATGTTCTTTGATCTAACATTATAACTATGCTTTTCACATCTTTGGGCTAAGTAGTTTTGACTATATGGCGGCATTGACTATAACAAAGAACAACCCACAGTGCATTGTCCTGCAACAACTGTGACTCAACTCCTATAAAGAAATCCATTCTTGAAATCAATTAAACCTTAGTATATAGTAAGGAACAAGGCTACAGGGAAAAAGAAAAAAAGATATTTCATTATTTAAGCAAAATGCTTCGTTAATTAGTGAACGATAGTTAAAATGCTGTGCCAACTATCAACGTGTCAAAAATTTGCATCTTGTGTCGTTTGAATGATTCAATTGAATTGATTGAATAGATTGGGTAATAGTATATTACGCAACAAGTGCAGTAAACGGCATTTGACTCACGAGTTTTTAATAAACGAGTGAGTTAAAAAGTTTACCGAACGTGTTGCATACTATACTTTTTCTACGAACTTTAGTTTTTGGTTCCATTTTCGCAAAACAGCACAAATACATTCAGTGACATGACCGTCAGAATGGTCAAACGTCAATTATCAAAGCGTGGGAAATATATGCGAAAACATCCGATGGCTCCTAAATCCGTGCGGTAAAATCCTGGAAATGTCCGGCTCGGATTCGTGGGAAACGAAACTGACGTGGTAAAGTGACGCTTCCTTCACGCACGCTAGATCGGTGTGTAATTAGGTATTTTATAGATTGGGGTAGAATTATAACCGCAATCTGATAGGAGCAGCACTTTTTAAAAAATTCTTTTTTATAAACAGTTATAGTTAACAAATGTTTACGAATATTTATGTTTTGAATATCCGTACGACTTGGTGGTAAGCAACACACTAATTAAGCTTCCAAATAGGAGACTGTACACCTGGAAAGAATCCGGAGACAACGAAGATTATTTAATTAGAATCCAGATAGACTTCAGTTTGGCGAATAAAAGATTTATAAATGAAATAAAAGCAGTTAAAGCTTACCCAAGCGCAGATTTCGGATCCGACCACAAGTCTATAGTTTTGGATTTGCTACAGGGGATCCTAACACAAAATGGGAAAAAACTAAGGATACCGTAGAAACACAAAAAAAATAGTTGGTAAGGACAGGAGGGTGCCAAAATAGAAGTCGATGACACAAAAATTTTTATCACTAATGGTGAAGCAGCATACAAGTCCATTAAAAACACTATTCGTAACAAAATCTGCGAAGCGAAGGAGAACTGGATGAAAGAAAGGTGCAGAGAAATAGAGGACCTGGAACGCAAATACGATAGCTTTAATGTGCACAAAAACTATTTCAGATTGTACGATGTTTTGAACAAATAGATCCACCGTAAATAAAAAATGCTACTCATCATCGGCTCATTGAAATGCTCATAATGCTGATTTTGCCAATTCAAATTATGTCGCAACTCAAAATCCCTTGCAAGATAGTTAAGCATCAAGTCAAGCATTACAGCCAAGCACTAAGCCAAGCACCAGAATTATTTTTCGAATTTAAACTCTTAACCAATCAAATTAGTTAGAAGATATTCCAAAATCACTTTTCGAAAAATAACATTGACCGGTTCTTCGTAGACGAGTATTGTTGAACAGAGATTTGATTGTGTTTAAATAATTTTCATTGTTCCAGTAGACCAGGTTGGTTAGTTTTAGTTGAAAATGAGCCTTACTTTCATGTGTTCAAAAGACGAGGCGTGCAATCGTTCCCAGAATTCGCCTCAGTCAGACCCGGTAATATAAATGAATAAGCGACTGCCGCAGACTTCTCGCATGACTACGTTCAGAAGCGACAAAACGATCGGTTTTTATTTAATTGGTTTAAAAAATTCAATTCGCGGGAAAACACGGCGAATGTGCTTCAAGGACAATGTCTGACACTCCAGTGATTTATTCAGTTTTTGCTTATTTTAAAATTTTATCACCGGAATTTTAGAGTCGTGAGGGGTGACAGACTTTTTCATGGATTCAAATAGTTGTGATAGTTATATTCATGAGTAATCTACTACTATGCTTATTATGTAATTTTAGATTTTCAAGAGCAACACATTCATGCTTTTGATACCCCCCCCCCCCTTGTAAATTTCTAATATTATAATAAAAGCAGCTACAGAGTAGAATGCTAAAGAGTTTCAATTAGGTTCTGAAGGAGCCAGGAGGAAGGTTGGCAATGAAAACTGCGTATATATTTCCTTGAAGTTGTGTTCCGTTTGCGATAATCGATACGAAGAAAACGTCAGGATCTGTTTGAAAACAATTCATGGTTTTGCATCACGATGATGCATCTGCCCACTCATCATCAGGCGTCACACGATATGCTTTGAGACAAACCACATTCGTCGTATTAGTTTTCAATTTTTTTTTGACCTCGTTAAAAAATACTGGAAATTCTTCCAAAATAACCCGAAGTTATTGCTCGGCGGCGGCTGCGGTCGATTTGGAAAACCCACCTGCCGTGTTTTTTCGATATTTTTATACGCTCGATAGCTCTAGTTGGTAGGCCAGAGTTACATACACGGCGGCTCATTTAAAAATATAGTTCGGGTTTCACCATTTGTCACCGACTCTGACGCGAGCAGATCGCATTCGGTAAGTGACACGTGGACGTAAGCGAACGAGGTTTCGCTCATCGACGCGCCTGCATCAGCGTTGCGGCAAACACAAAACGCGGGCGAGAGTCGCTAAAGACGCGACGCATCCTGTAACGACGACGGAAATCCCAGAAGACTCGAAATCGCGCTTCATTCTCCCATGAAGTAAACAAATTTAGCTCCGCTAGTTACCATTAGTCCGTATATAAACAATAAAAGCGTTACGCCGTCCGGTAGTCGATCGAAATCCTCGACAAAATGATTACCGTTTGGTGTTGTTTGTGTTTGTTTACGGTCTCGATCAAAGGAAAGACGGTTTACTACACCCCCAGGAGTGCCATATACACCCCGGAAACGGGGGAAACCCTGCCACACGTCGCGCCGGTTCACGAGTTTTCGTCATCTGTGCAGACGTCGTTCAGGCACGAGGTGAACGTGAAGAAACCGGCCTTGGTGCAGTCCGAAGGTCACGAGCACGTGGCGCTGCCTTTTGAGGAAGAAAGTCATCACGTTTACACAGAAGAGACGGAAGACGTCATCAAGAAGCCCGCGGGATCGCACGTCGGGCTGGTGGAGAGGGAGAACACGAGGAAGACCTTCCGGAAGGACGTGGTGAAAAAGCCGGTGTTGTTGGCGGCGCCCGTCGAAGTTCATGACTGGAGATAACAGCCGGAGACCGAACTGTGGCGTATCGCTTAAGCTAATTTATTGGAAGACAAGACTGCCCGTTCCTAGTTTAGCAGATAATGACTTTTATATATAAAGAAAAGTGGATAAATAAATAATTTCCAAAATATGTTTTCTTTTGGCGGGGGGGGGGGGGGTCGTAATAGGAACAACCCATTTCCTAGATAGAGCAAAATCTGCTTAGAGCGCAATGACGGACCCCTAATATCGCCAAGTTTTTGGTAATTGAGAAAGGTATAACCAAAACACAAAGAAAATCGATATGAATCTATCGATTATGATTAAAAAACATTTATGTAACACATAAGTTTAAGATTTAAAAAACTGTCAATTTCTGGTATTACCGCGTTTGGTAGGCGGCTAATGACAGTCATCTCTGCATCTGTGCATGTGCGTTATAGGCCTACTGGCCACATATTATATGTAGAAATACATTATTTTTGCAAATTCTTCATTTATATAGTCGGTACGATTTGCGATGGCATAGTCGGTCATAAAATTAAGGAAGAAGGTGCGTCGGTATTATACTAAGAAGGCCGCAAGCCCACCGATTTATCTGCTATAGTTCTACCGTTGTCTATTGTGCGCTGAGTCGTACACTCCACAGAGATAGCACCAACGAGTCGATAATTACAGTTATTTCCACTTTATGGTAATAATATAGTAATTGTTGAGAATGGGATCTGAGACCTTTCTTGTAAAGCTCATAATGCAGCTCTTGCAAGTTGAAATTATTTTGTAATATCAAAGGATCAGTCAGGTATGTAATGATGCAGAATATATATAGATATGGCATATCAAAATTTCTTGCAAGATCGTTAATGAAAGCTACAAGCGTAAGAACCAAAAGATTCACAGCACTAAAAACCAGCGCTCGATTAACTGAATGCTTTTTTAAGTTTAAGCTCTATCGATCTTAATCATCTACCTGAATAGAGATTTCATTTTGTATAAACGAGAATATAATTCTTGAATAATGTTAATTTTCTCAGTAGACCATAAACATTTCAACAAAATAAGGACTCCCACAAGTGGCGATATAACCTCCAAATATTACCGATTTAACTGCCAATGTTCTACCTTTGTCTATTGCTTTCCGGTGTCATATACTCGACAGAGACAGCACCAATTTCCAGATAATTACAGTAGTATCCACTACAAAATAGCGTCGCATTCTTGATAAACCGCTGCCGAAAGTCGAAAGACTGTCTTTAATTATTAAGGATAACGCAACGATATCATTCTAGAGTTAGCTAAAGCGTACCAAGTGCATCGACAAGAAAAGAAGAAATTACATCGGTCAGCAAAAAAACATTGTATACTTGCGCTAACGGGGATATCACAGCACATAGAGATTACGTGTATCGATTTTTTGCCAACAACCACTGAAATCCAATATTCGAAATAACTGCTATCTGGTTGATTGGAAATTAAGAAGGTCAAAAATCCTATGTAAAGCAATATCCCTTTTTCGTCGCAGCTGCTGTTGCTACATATATAAAACACTTCACAGGAGACTGGATAAGTAGTAGTTGAATTGTATTTACAAAATATGTTTCGTTTTTTGTTATTGGCAGCTGTGGCGGGTGTTTGCTTCGCTAGGCCCGGAGGTTTGGGCTTAGGAATTGGTTTAGGCGGTCAGTATTGATAATTGTTACTTTTTAAATAACTATTATTTCATAATTTCCGAAATGTACGACCAATTTCTGATTCTAATTATTTTCCAAAGACTCAAAGACAATTTTATTAGGGCAGCTAAGAAGTAGTTTAATTTATTTTTTTTGCATAGATATTTACATCATTAAGCTTTTTCCAAATAGTCCTGCAATTATTTCAATTGCCATTCACGCAGTGTTGGAGATAATCTTTCTTTCTGCGCGAATGGCGATATTTGTTTGTACCAGTTCCATTCTTGTCTGTTTAAACTCACTGGAAGCCTCATGTTTCCATCGGAAGGGTAAATTAACGAATTTTTTTTGTTTTCGATTTTTATTTCCTTTAAAAGTGACTTTACATCAAAAATATTAACCAAAACCAAAACTAACCAAAAAGTTGACATCCTTAACTCAAGTTATATGCTCAATAGGTGCTATCGATAAGGAATTATGCAAAACAAGTCCCTGTCAGGATTTTTAAATTTTTTTATTACCATCCGTTAAAGAGTGATCAGATATTTGTGAGGTTCGGTGATTATTTACTTCTCTGGATTAAGAATGATACATGGAAAAATCAAAATACTTCATATACTCAAGACTATGTCGGCTTAAAATAAAAATGGCAAATTATCAATATCTTAATTTTCTTTTAACAAAATGAAATACTTCGTTTCAGTACTTCAAATTTTTTAAACAAAAATGTGGGTATTTCAAATTTAATATTCATCGCTTCATTTCGAATTTTTAGATATTTATACAGCAATTTGAATTGACCAACACTGATCCGTTTTACGTATATAAATTTGCTCTATTTAATTGAGCATAACTTTATAGTGAATTTTTGCTAGTTTTAAATTAGCTAGATATATACATAAAAATATTCATATGGTTGCTTTAAATCAAGTATTATGTCAATTGCATCCAACAAATTATCTCTGTTTGGTTTGGTCTTATCAAAATTTAATATTGGCTAATTTTACCATAAAATTGTTGTATAATTTTGTTGAGATCATGCAAATAATATAAACATTCTTCGACTAACTATTTTTAATAAAACATGTTTTTATTGACCAATGATTTTTGATAATTTTTAACAAATAACGGAGGTTAAGGAATAATTTCCAAAATGGGCTTGTTCAGATGTGCTGCTAAATATATGTTATGAGAAAACAGAACACACATTTTGTTAAGAAGGTAAGCCGAAGCAGATATTTTTGTATTTTTTATATGTATCCAAAACTAGTATTTTTATTGTGCTATACAGATAATTCTTGTGATCCAGAATGCAGGTGTAATCTGACATGTAACTTTAAAACTACTTCTGAGCGAAGACAAAATTCATTACCAACTTTTTCTGTTATAAACTTTCTGTTAGTGTTTGGTTGCTTCTCCTTATTGTAAGTCATACAAAAAAAAAGAGAATGAAGTTTAACTCTTTTATTAACAGATGATACAAAATTCTTAAAAAATTGGTCGGCGTAAAAATGTTAATTGCTGCTACCTAAAATCGATCGATCGAAATAAAATTGTAGCACATGTTCTTTCCTAGCCTTAAATAAATTAAATTAATGGGTGTTTTTTTTCGATGTATAGAACTTTAAGTTGTAATAAAAAAACGATGGATTATTCGATTGACATTAATTTTATTTATAAGAAAGATAATTTTGAGGCATTACATTTTAAATATGATTTCTGGCATATGACCGCCACGGCTGGCGCGGATGTAGTCTAATCTGGACGTCCAATTTTCGATGACTTTTTCCAACATTTGTGGCCATATATCGGCAATAACACGGCGAATGTTGTCTTCCAAATGGTCAAGCGTATGTGGCTTATCCGCATAGACCAATGACTTTACATAGCCACACAGAAAGTAGTCTAGCGGTGTTAAATCACAAGATCTTGGAGGCCAATGCACAGGTCCAAACGTGAAATTAATAGGTCACCAAACAATCAAAGACAATAAATCGATTGTGGCACGAGCTGTGTGACATGTTGCGCCGTCTGGTTGAAACCACATCTCCTGGAGATCATGGTTATTCAATTCAGGAATGAAAAAGTTAGTAATCATAGCTCTATACCGATCACCACTGCAACGTTCCGGCCATCATCGTTTTTGAAGAAGTACGGACCAATGATTCCAGCAACCTATAAAGCGCACCAAACAGTCAGTTTTTCTGGATGTAACGGTGTTTCAACATACACTTGCAGATTAGCTTCGCTCCAAATTCGCTTATGAAAATCGGGAACAACGGCAATCTCGTTTTGGGCCCATTCTACGAATCTACGCCTTACTTGATGATCGTTTGATGAATTGCCAAACCAAACTGAGAATAAATCACTTGACAGCTGTTATATCGGTCGCCATCTTGAACAGTAATGCCAACTTAAAGTTCTATACATCGAAAAAAAACACCCATGTCATGGCCGTTTTTTGGTCTGCATCTAGTTCTGGTATTTAATAAAAATAGAAGGATCCATACCATACATAACAAATGTTGGTATTGTATTTCAAAACCCATTTACATTCACATATTTTCCATTATTATTGATTGTTGATAGCCTGCACAAGAAAATGGGAAAAATGTAGGTAGTAAATAAGTGTTCTAAAAACATACCTTTCGATACTATTTTAACGGACTGTGGAAGTTCCCAACTTTTCAATGGGTCTACTACATGTATTTTAGGGAGGCAACAATTGCCAAATAAAGAGATGATGCAATCTCAGAAGTAGCACTTGTAAGACTATTTATTACAATGAAAAATATATCTTATTGAAATTCTTAATTTAAATTGGTGTCCTTGATTGATGTAGCGTACTTTTTCACCAACAGCCCCAAAGATTCCAATTTTAACGTCATTGGTCAAATGTTCCATAAATCCATAAATCATTTTTTTAAGATGTATTAAACTTGTTTGTGGTTGGTGTTTGGTGCAAAACTTTTATTTGAATTGTATTTACTAGATCATGGGATAGCTCTAGCCCCTTCAATAGCTGCAGCTCCGGTAGTGGCCGCAGCCCCTATAGTTTCCCACGTGGCGGCGCCACTGACTGTAAACGCCGGCGTCAGTCAAGCTTCTAGGGTGGATATCGTCACTCCCGTTTTGGGCACCGTCGCCACAGGTGTGGGTCAAGGCGGTTTGGGGCTCACAGGTCATGGAGGACTAGCGCTGGCCGGTCACGAACTCAGGCTGGGATAACTTTCCTATCCGTTCTACGTCATTGTAAATAAAATATTTGGACAATATTAAATACGAAACGATCAGTTGATTTGTTCGTTCCCCCACGGTTTTGATGTGTTCAAAGCATAAAGATACAATAAAATAAAGAGATTTTCTAAAGTATTCACAGGTGAAGCCACGTATATCACCAAAATAAAAATTTTAAAATAATCAAAACTTGCCCTCACCAGTAAAACATCCGCTCGAGGTAGCAGTTCACCTCTGTCGATATTTATCTTAGATGCAGTAAGAAATTGGTGGACAGCCAGTAAGACCCCCTACTTCTGCATTTATTAGTACCACTAAAAATGGTACCTACCCGATAAACATTATATTTACTGGTAATTACCTCATAGTCAAAAACTGAATCATTTACCCATGTCTAATCTAATTAAGAAACTTGGTAGAGACTTCAATTCTGAGGATTGGAGCCATTTTATTGACTCATCCAAGAGCAGCTTTAAAGCGGTTCTTTTGCACATTCTGTACCTGTTGCTAATTCTGTGCAAATGAAAGAATGTGGTGACTTAAAAATTTTGGGACTTCTACTAGGTCAGCAGTCAGCATATACGAGGTGTATTTATGCCGACAAGCTCGGCCATTTTGAATGTTCATTTAATTGTTGACAGCTGCTTTGCTTGCACGTGTTTTGGATCGTCTTCGATTTTTACCTATTCAAAAAAATGGATCAAAGAACCTGTATCAAATTTTGTGTGAAAAACGAAATTAAGTGCGCGGATGCATTCCGAATGTTGACTGTGGCATACGGAGAAGCTACGACCGAAGCAACGTTTATCGGTGGTACAAAATGTTCTCAGAAGGCCGAGAAGATGTGAACGACAAAGAGCGTGCCGGACGCCCGAGCACTTCAACAACAGACAAAAAAATTAATGAAGTGGAGAAAATGGTATTGACCAATCGTCGAATCACCGTTAGAGAAGTTGCTGAGGACCTAAACATATCGATCGGCTCGTACCATTCGATTTTTATCAATGATTTGGGCATGAGACGGGTCGCCGCGAAATTCGTACCAAAATTGCTCAATTGTGACCAAAAACAGCATCGCATGAACATTGCTAATGAGATGTTAAACTCTGTCCGCGACGACCCAAATTTGCTCCAGAGGGTCATAACTGGTGACGAATCGTGGGTTTATGGTTATGACGTGGAAACCAAAGCTCAATCATCTCAATGGAAGCTGCCGCACGAACCAAGACCGAAAAAAGCGCGCCAAGTTCGGTCGAATGTGAAAGTTTTGCTGAAAGTTTTCTTCGATTGCAGGGGCGTGGTGCATCATGAGTTCTTGCCACAGGGAGAAACGGTCAATAAGGAATATTACCTGCAAGTTATGCGCAATTTGCGCGAAGCAATCCGCCAGAAACGCCCGGATTTGTGGAATAACAAAAATTGGCTTTTGCACCACGATAACGCCCTTCCTCACACATCGTTGCTTGTGCGCGACTTTTTGGCCAAAAACAACACACTAATGATGCCGCAGCCACCGTATTCCCCAGATTTGGCCCCCTGTGACTTTTCCTTGTTCCCTAAACTGAAGAGGCCCATGAAAGGACGACGTTACGCTTCTCTTGACGAGATAAAGACGGCATCGAAGGAGGAGCTGAAGAAGATAAAAAAAAATGTTTTTTTTAAGTGCTTCGAAGATTGGAAAAACCGTTGGCACAAGTGTATAATATCTCATGGGGATTACTTTGAAGGGGACAAAATAGATATTCATGAATAAATAAATAATTTTTGAAAAAACACAAAATTCGCGATACTTTTTGAACACACCTCGTATACGAAGTACCCAGTACAAGGTTGCAATGATGGCAGATTACTGCTGATCATTAAAAAGGGATAATTCGACCATACAAGATAATCCACTAAACCAAATTTAGATTTTTTAATTCGGTTTTTGTTCTCCTAGCAATAAAAATTATGTTTAAATCAATAGAGATTTCCTTTTATTAATTCTTTTGATGTTGATAAAAAAAAACATACTTAATAGAGGAAAATACTTATCAGATTTAAATATAACAGGTCTGTTATGGTTACTAATATTCCACTTGGATAGGAATAGTATTCGGAGAAACTTTTTCATATACACTTTTCAGATATCTCTAAAGCGAAGCAAAACATCGAAAATTGAGTCTTTTTAATTTCGATTAGTATCAAAAAATATGTGCAGTATCACTGTAAAAAGCTTTAAACCTGCTCAATTCACATAATTTTAATGAAGACAAGTTAAAAACTGTGCCTATCGTTATTTCGGGTTATACTGCAAATTGTTTAATTGATACTGGCTCAACATGTTCCTCTAATAAAAGAAACGTGGGAAGACAAAATTAATGTAAAGAAAATTTCAAGTGTTACTCCTTTACGATGGTTCAACGGTAAATCATTTTCTTTTGATGGAGTTTCCCGAAATAAAAATAACTTGCACTCGCACTCGCACGCTCACTCGCACGACCACCCGCACGCGCACTCGCCAGCCGACTACGTTCGCTATCTATCTTTTTGCCTTCGAAATGCGGATCCTCTAGTACTAAGGGCAGGATTATTATCGGAACAAATGACACCAATGGGATGAGTCATTAAGTACATTGAGGGTACTACTAAAAGCAAGTAAGGTCTCAAAAAAAACTGTTTAAAAAAAAGGGCGAACGCAAAAGTTTTTCTTTTACGTTCGCCATGTACCTTTGTGTCCTTTTTCCCTGTTACAGGGGTCTCGTCACACTGACAAGAATCCGCTAGGGATAGTGCGACCACCAGCGCACATTATTTTAAGCCTTTTTGGCTTACTTCGGGAGTGCGGTTTCTCTCGTGTTATATAGGACTTTTTTACGGAAGAGCACCCATTCGCGGTCTATCCGAAAGAAGTTTGGTGTTCGGACGACCTGCGCCTTATTTTCAACTTGTATTTCTACGGAAGAGCAGAGTGGTCTTCGGCGTCAAACTTTTAATTTTTAGGGCCGGTCTATCCGAAAGAACTTTTATTTCCAGACGACCCGCGCCTAACTTTTAACGTATATGTATATACGTTCTCGGGCGAAAATCTTTTACACCTTATCGACGGTAAGCACAAAACTAGGTCTCGCGCTTTTAGCTCGTCTAGGTACCCGAAATATCTTCGAAATTATCGACTCAGCGACGGCAACAAATATGTTCTACATAGTACAAGCGTTATCCTAATGCAAGTTCATCTACGGGAACCTTGTGATATTTACTTCCTCTAAATGATCAACTTTCCGAACACATCGACGACGTCGGAACGTATCGGCGGTTCGGTTCGAAGACCTCGCTAAATCATTCAATAGGTGGTAACGACGGGCGGTGTGTACAAAGGGCAGGGACGTAATCAACGCGAGTTTAGGATTCGCGCTTACTGGGAGTTCCTTCAGTGTAGCGTGCGTGCGGCCCAGAATATCCAAAGGCATCACAGACCTGTTATTGCTCAATCTCGTGCAGCCAAAGGCCGCTTTGTCGCTCTAAGAATTTTTGGTCCGCAGACGGTAAAAATTAGCAGGCTAGAGTGTCGTTCGTTATAGAAATTAATCGCTCGATTAACTAAAAACGGCCATGCACCACCACCCCCCGAATAAAGAATGAGCTCTTAATTTGTCCATCCCTCCGGAGTCCGGGACCGGCGAGGTTTCCCCTTTCGAATCATATTTGCTGCTGGCTACACTCCTGGTGTTGCCCCTCCATCGATTCCTTTAAGTTTCAACCTCCAATATTAAGCCTGAAGCAACTGTAGGAATTGCGCAAATAATATGGTCGACATATTCCTTCAAGAAAGGCAACTGACAATTCAACATGTGTCTAAAAGATCCTCCAACACAAATTGAGCCATTATAGGGCTGACATAACTGCCCATAGGAGTACCGGAAATCTGTTTGTAAAATTGTCCCTGGTACGAAAAAAATTTGAGTCAAAAATGAAATCTATAATTTTTGAGGAACTCTGTAAGGGAACTTTTGGTATATGCCGAGATAGCTTGCCATCTTTTGCTGATACTTGATTTTGCTAAGTTTAAAAGAAAGACAACATCAACACTGATGATTACATAATTTCGTGGAAGTTGTTTATTTTGAATAAACTCAGTAAATTTCAAAGAATCAGACACATAATAATCATTGTTAAAAATATACGCTCTGGTTAAAATCTGAGTCGCCCATAATTTACTATTTTTGAATTGATAGAAGAAATTATAGGGCTTAAATACAGGGTAGACATTTAGTCCTATTTAAACTCATCTTAGTACTGATCTATTTAAGTTCCTAAATAATTAATAAGGTTGGTTAATCTTAAACAATTTATTAGAATTCGGTTAATTACTAATAGAAGAAAAAGTGATTAAACTAAATAATACTAAATATTTTGCCCTTCGGAAGTATTGTAAAAAAAGTAATAAATAATAATATTTGATTGATTATTGTATTTGTTAAATTTTGGATATTTAGATAATTAGCAATTCATTACCTTCTTCTTTCAAAGGTGGCAGCTCTTCTTCGACCAGTTCCAAATCGCCAGGCTCTCTACACTTTTGACTTGACCATTTTGGAAATTCGGGCTCGGCTCTCACAAAAATATAAAAAAATATATCGCTCACTCCAAATGATGCCGCTTGACGGTATAGGTATGTATACACGCGAAACAATCAATTTCGCGTTTATCGTCTGAAGAGGATCGACCTCGGAAAAATTAAGAGTTCAATAAATTTTGTAGGTAAATTGACGACAAACATACAGAGTGTTTCAAAAAACGCTCCGCTAATTTGTAGGATAAATAAAATATTAAAAAATAACTATGCCTAAACTTTTATTGGTTTCCATAACCTAGGGCACTAGGTTATAAATATTTTTCTATTCCCGTCTGTAAAATACCTAATTACCCCCCGATCTGGAGTGCGGGAAGCGACGCTTTACCACGTCAGTTTCGTTTCCGACGAATCCGAGCCACTTCGGACATTTCCGGGATTTTACCGCACGGATTTGGAACCAATCGGATGTTGTCAATTCTGACGGTCATGTCAGTGAATGTATTCGTGTTGTTTTGAGAAAATGTACCCAACAACTAACGGTCGTGGAAAAAGTATAGTGTGCAACACGTTCGGTAAACCTTTTAACTCACTCGTTTATTAAAAAATCGCTCCGCTCGCGTCAAATAAACTCGTGAGTCAAATGACGTTTACCGCACTTGTTGCATAATATGCTATTCCCGGTGACATATTGCAGAAAGTGACTTTAATAAACACAAATATTATGATTCTCTGCCTCAATCTCGTCTGAGACATTATAAAAATACGCATGCAAAAATGTGTAAGATCTTTGGCTTATTTGTTTTAAACACATATTTGTTATCTCATTTCCCTTTTCTTTATTTCTTGTATTGTAAGAATGAGTTATGTTTTGTAGTTTGGTTTTTGTATTAACATTGAACATTTCAACGTCCTAAGCAGTGGTACAGAATAACAATTTCTAGTTTTTTGGAAAACTATTTTTGAGAAATGTTTTTGCATAATTTTTGTTTAAGATGTACATCCAGTACTCCTCTCTATCCTAAAATACCATATTGTCACCGTGACTACACTAATGCATAATAAATTGTTAACATTTAGTTTTTATTTAAAATTACTCTAAAATATTTGAATTTGTAAATCTTAAGTTGTTTGCTACAGTTTGTAAATGTTTGTTCAATTTTAATTGTGTATACATTGTTATTCCTAAATTTTTTATTTTTTATGTCGATTTTATTAAATGTTTTTTGTTTGTATATCTAAAGCGTTCAAATTTAACTGTTTTTTCTTCATTCACCGTAAGTGTCACCAGCTCAAGTGTTTACCGAAGGCATTTACTACTTTGATATTGAATTTATCCCAAGAATATTGATTTTTATTTAATATTTTGTTTTCCTCTAGGAACTGGACGAATGTCTTCTTAACACTGGTCGATATTTTTCTCTAAGGTATTGGTCCCCTTTTTTGAATAGTGGTTTTGCAAAAGAGATTTTGAATTCTTAAATACTCACAGCGATTAAAAAATATGTTAATTTGTGAATCAAAGCAACCACAAGTTTAACACTGCTTAATGGTTCTAAAAACATATTATCATAAAATAAGTCTTTATTTATTCACAATCAGCACGTATATCCTTCCGGATTGAAATTACACTGATCGGACTTTTGGCCGGTTATGTCTACGCCGGACCATTTCCAATCTGCGCAGCCCCCGTCTGCACAGCGGATAAATACGGGTACCGCATTTTTCTCTACGCTTCCCGTAATGTTCACCATCTTGAGGTCCACAATGGGCACGTTGTTCCTGGGTTCGCCATTGATGTCCGGATAATTTTCTTGTATCTCGATACCGTATTTGTGTATAGCTGTAAAATAGACAGTCCGCATAATAATTAATATTTAAGAAATAAAATAATTTCTTTGTCAGTAATCCTACCTTCTGTTTTTACCATGTCACATTTCTGTCATATCACTTTCCTCACAATCAGACAAAAAATTTTAGTCCTTTTGAAATTATGAACGTTTCTACATTTTACAATGTGTAGATATACACAAATTAGGTGTATATTCTACGGTTTTAAATATGTGGACATAATCATATATCAGTGCGTGAAGCATCAGATACCTTCAATCAAGCAGGGTTTTAAAGTGTAAATACAGTGGGAATAAACATCTACAAATTGCATGTAATGAAAAAAATCAACTAAAAGTCCTTCAAGCAAAGAAATTTTCGATTTTACGCCTGTCAAAAAAGGCGTCTTAAAAAGATTTTCAGAAAAAATCGCAGTTATAAAGCATTTACCATAAACCCTCACTCACAGACACAGTAATAAATAAGAACTCGAATCACCCTCACACACACAAAATCGCTGCCTTTTATTTTTGAAAAGTATTAAATACAATTAAAAAAAAGCTTTTAACAACAAAACAGTTCCAAAAAACTCTGAACTCTATCCCTCCCGTACTAAATACCGATCCCAACATTTATAAAATAATGAAACACAGAGGGAAAACTAGCCAATAAATGACAGTGAAAATGTGAACATTATAATATATTTGTGCAATTTTCTTATTACCTACATCGTAGTGTATTTGCGTTACTGCAAAAATATTCATTTCTCAGAGCTCTCTAGTGTAATGAAGAAATAGATCTATACTTACTAGAAATGGTAATGTTCCTATAGGTGACGTTTGTAATGGATCCGTAACCTCCGTCGCGGTGAGTCTTGATGTGGATCCCGTTGTCTGAATTCACCAATATTGAATCCGCAAAGGTGACGTTGCTTAAGGTGTTCAGTGGTACCGATGTGTTGCTGAAGCCCACCGAAATGCTCAAACCGTGAGTCCCGTGGCAGTACATATTGGCTACGTAGACGTTGGCACCTAAAAAACAACGTTCTAATGTAACTTGAGTTAAATGACGAATGTTGAGATGCGAAAAAGGAGGAAATCGGAGAGATACGCAAAGCTCTATCGAGGATCTCAGAGGAGGAACCAATTAAGAACCAAAAATCTCAAGAAAATCAGATCTTACTGTAGTATCTGTAATTTATATATAACACCTGAGGCATTGTCTTTCATTGCTACATAGTTGTCACCTATACGTATACAAAACTGCATATTTGGATAAAAGATTCTTTTTAGTTAAGAAACTTTTTCCGACTTTTTGTGAAATTTGAAAGCAGTACAAGTAAAGTGTTATTAGTATCGTGTTTTTTTCTTTTCAAACCAAAGAAGTACTTATTTCCGCAATTAAATATCATATTTGTATTCATGCACCGACTTTGCAAAAATACAATAAAATTTAATATAATTCAAAGGAAATGCGCCATTGCAGGTCAGTTTTTAACATTTCTAGGTTAGAATTTGGAAAAGAATTCAGTCAAGGTGTGATTTTCGAAAACCAGAAACCAGGAAATAAATCATTGCTGCTTGACTATTATTATTCTAGGTTTATTGACATTTTTCATGCTTTGTAGAATGAGAGAATCAGTAAAGATGGATTTTATGTCCAAACTAACCAGAATATCGTTGGATCTAATGTAATTGTTTTTAATTGTTCAGTGAAATGAAAGCAATTAAGTATCCATCAGATTTAATTGTGAAGGGTTTTAATATAGAAGTTAGATATTTTGCTAGAGAATATAAAAGATAGTCAGCTGTGTTCATGACCTCTATCTGCTTTTAGAATTACGATGTCGGGATTAGATTTTATTAGAATAGTTTCAGGGAGGTTGGATTTTTTAAGGATTTTGCTCTTTCAAATCGAATTTCATTAGCTTTTTGAGATTGGCAGTTTGTTTTTAATTGAAACCTTTTGCAGGAACTGATTTTTCCGTTTCACAAAGTTGCTACAATGACGAACGTGTTTTAAAACTCAAGAATGCGATTACGCCCTTTGGACGCCATTCTATCTTCTTTTGGCCGCTGCAGTGATATGTTTGTCACCCCGAGTCTACAATTACTATTCCTTTACTAATTGACCATCCGTTACAAAATACTTAAAATAATTCTTTCGTTTTTGGCACAAGAAAGAATTTTCCGGTTAATTCAATGCCAAGCAATGGAAGCGGCTTATTTGGTTCCCTCTGTACTCCCATTGCATCCATAATGAGGTTATATTGCTCTACACATTTCTGAAATAGACTCTAGACATTGCAACGTTGCTGCCTGTAATAACAACATATGGCAACATCCGCTATGTTAAATGATATTCCTTATGTTCCACTAAATTTTTAGATTCACCGCTTTCTTCTGCTTTTTTTGCTTAATTCTTTCCTATACTTATCTATTGCAGTTTTCGAACTTTTAAAAAATACGATACCACGAAAACTTTCACTTGGGCCCCATTTGAACATCCAAAGATTTGAAAATTGCTGCTTGCAAAGGTGAATTTATTTCACAGTATACGGGGCCGTTTGATTTGGACGCGGCCTATAAAGATTGTCAAAACTGTGTTTTTCTTACCGCATCTGACGGCTACACAATCGTCCTGGTTGTATACCACGGAATCTTTAATGACAACATCGGTAGAGTTCCAAACGTCAAATCCGTCTGTGTTAATTCCTTCCTGTCCTTCAGGCGCAACCCCCTAAGCCAATAAATCTTATTAATTTGGTTAGCAAATATGACGATTAACCAAATGAAATATACGGGATGACCTGAATACTGACAGATTGATATTTTTATTATTATATTTATTAAATAATTTTTTTCATTATTTAGATTTAAGTCTCACGGTTTTTTCAACATTTTGTTGACAGAGGCTTTTCGAGAAAAAAAACAAGGTCCCTTGTTAATATTTCAAGTTTATGCTGTTTATGCAAATATGTGAATAATATTACAGTAGCCTGTGGGAGTTTCTTTGAAGCATATTTAAATACTACCTATTAAAATTAAAAAATAAGCTATTCGCTATTGGTAATTTTGAAAGTGTTGATTTTGTAATTAACAATATCCCAAAATCAATTGTTGTCAAGAACAAATAAGGGAAAAAGAAATTACGCCAAGTGAAATTAGTTTTAACACAGTTACAAAATTGACATAAAGTTTACTTACTTACTTATTTTTTTTGTTTTCTTTTCTGTTAATTCATTTTTTATACATAACTACACAAAAATTAAATTATAAAAGATCGTATTATCGCAAACTAACCAAAATATTATTTCAAAACATGGTTAAAGAATCATCTTAGCAACTTTCTTCTAATTTCGTTCATGCCCAAAGTATTATCCGGAAAGAGGAAATAATTTAAAACGTCGAGTCGATCCTAAACAAAATGCCACCTCAAACAGCTAATGAAATTCGACTTGAGACCGCAAAAATTCTTAAAAAATAAAAACCTCCTGAATCTGAACGCATTGTTCTAAAACCTCTAGAGTCTAATCAGGACATAGTAATTGTAAAAGCGGATAAACGAAAGGCTACGGAGGACATGAATACAAGTGAATATCAGGACAAAATTTAAGATATTCCTACAGATGGCTCTTATCGTCAACTTAAAAGAGATCCCACCTGATCTTTGGAACGCAAACTTAAATCTGTTATTAAGGCTTGTTCTAAATCAGAATCCGTGAAAAAGTCTAGAGAATTCTCTAATATTCGCAAACCATGATTAACCCTTCGAACTGTTGTCAGCACCATTAGTTCTCCAACATATTCTCCAGCAAAATATCTAGAATCTTTATTAAGTTTAGATGTCTGAAACCAAACCTTCCCATCTTAATTAAAAAATGCTCGATTAAAACATATTTTTCTTGTACGGTCAAATTTATGGCACAAAAGTCGGAAACAGATATAAGTTATCCATTATCATCAGCCATTGCGAACATATTTATGAAAGCCTTTGAAAAAAAAGCACTCGACACCTTCCATCTTAAACCGAAATTATGATACTTTTATTATTTGCCCTTATGGTCAAGAATCTCTACTAGAATTGCTTAGGCATTTAAACTCAATACACCCTAACATACGTTTTACTATTGAATGAGAAACTAATAATAGTATCTAATTCTTAGATCTTCTTATCAATAGAAAATCCAGACCGATACCGTTCTTAGATATTCTTATCAATAGAAAATCATTGCGTAATTTTGTTTATAGAAAACCTACCCACACAAACACTCTCTTGTTTAGAGAGCTCGTTTACATCCGCTCTTCTCTCTAATAATTCTCACATTGGAGAGATTAAATGTTCTTCCACAAAATACAATTCAAAACAATCTTGTAAAAATAACGAGCACGAAAGTAACTCCACATTTGCCAGTGTTGTCCTTGCTTACATTCAAAATATCACTTCATATATCAAAAGTTCTTAAGAAAAAGGACTTTAAAACCGGATTCATCACTTGCCCAAAAGTCTCTCAACATCGTAGATCTGTCAAAGATAAAATTCCGTTTGAGTTACCAGCATTTCACGCATATGCGGCAAAGAATACGTAGGAGAAATTGGACGTAAAATATCAACTAGGCCCAAAGAACATAAAAGAACCATAAGACTACGAGAATAAACTCTTCAGCCGTTGCCGTACACAATGACGAAACCCAACATCAAATCTTATTCAATAAAACTAAAATTCTTGCATGCAAAATCCAAACTAACCAAAACTAACTGCGACTCAGGTCTACCTTTCGCCAATATGGCAATTAGTCATCCGAGACCACCCCTCCTTTAGCTTCGCCCCCCTCAAACAAAATATAAGCAGGTACAAAGTAGTTAATCTCTGAAGAAGCCTACTGGATGATTGGCGAATTGTCAGTAACTTGTATTTTTAAACAACCGAATTAAGAGGGCGTCAGACGTCGAGTTCTGGCATAGTTGCGAATTTTAAAATGTCATTTTAATGACTCATTTCCATAGAGCTCCACGCATCTCGGAGAATACGTGAAATTAATGAAACGTAGAATGTTTGGAAGCCTGACAAGAAAAAGCCATGATTGGCAAAACTTACCGCATCTGACTGCAACGCAATCATCTTGGTTGTACACCACAGAATCTTTAATGACAACGTCAGTAGAGTTCCAAACGTCGAATCCATCGGTATTTTTTCCATATTTTCCATTAGGTGCCACGTCCTGAAGGAGTTTAAATTATTTTTTTAATATTTTTCTATGTCCTTTAGTAGAAAAAGAAAATTTTCATATTACAAGCAAACCTGCAGAAAGTGGATTCATAAGAGTGATTTTGGATTTTATTAGGTTAATGGATAATGGACAGAAACAAACGTAAAAACCGTTTTCTGGAAATATTCTATTTAGTGAACCAACTATCTAGTGTACCGGCTTTGCATTAACTATTTCACTATAGCGTGAGTCCCCTGTATTCCCATGTGATTTAAAATTTAAAATGCGTCAAAGATGGCACAGAATATGCCATGAATTTTCCGAAAGATTTAAAAATTATTTAATATAAATATAAAAGACAAAATGTTTCTTTGCCCAAGTAAATAGAAAGGCAGTACAAATGAACCCAAACAACTTTTGCCTTTAAGCATTTTCACATTTTTTACAGATTTCAAAAAAATAAAAAAATAAATAAATAGAAATAAAATTTTCTATGTTCTTTTAGACAGATTTCTCGTACCAAATAATTTACATAAAATAAAAATACATCGCGAGTATTACAGTTTTGTTTCTTTATTTATTTATATTTTTCTATTCTTCGTTTATAAAGTCGAATAATTCCGAACATCTTATGCGTTCTATTGAATTTAAATGCTACTGGTGCGTTATTTTTGTTTATTGTTAAACAAACTAAAACAGAAACGCCAATAAATTTGTTTAGGGTAAATATTACCGGATCTCCTGCGCTATCGTCAATAATCCAGTCGGACAAGGTGACGTTGATTGCGTTCGTGACCTGCACGCAGTCGATCGGTGTGTTGATCACTTTGATGTTGCTGAATGTCGAATGGAACGCTTCAATGGTGAAAAACTGCGGTTTTTCACTGCCGGGACCACCCAATCCGTCCCAGTATAGTTGGCCCTGGCCGTCGAATATTGCACCTGTCATAACAAAATCAAAAACCCAATTAATTTTAACGTTCAACAATTACGCACCCCCAATCAAAATTGATTTTTTGATTGACAGATGGTCACAGCAACGCATATATTTTATCGCAAATTCTTCTGATATATATGATATATTTGACATAAACTTCTGCATACGGAGTGTTGCATTATGAAAAAAGTAAGGGGATTATTCCTTGCATAAACAAATGTTGTTAGGTAGTGTGTCGCATTTAAGATGTAGATGCCTCAATATTTTGGCTACCAAAACACAGATTTGAAGTTTTGCAGTCACACAGGTCAATGGTTCACATTTTTTAAGATACCTAACTGAAATTTAAATTACTGCGAATCCACAAATAGTCCATAAATATTGTTCTAACTTCACCTACCAAATTTCATTACAAACTTTGTATTTTTAGTTTATTTATTGCAGTCAATCTCCGGACAATTAAATGCAAGGGGTCCGAATTTGAGAAACATCTGAATTACAATATATAAGATATATTTGTATATACATACAATAATACTATTGAACCCACCAGATATCAGGTGCTTAGATATTTTATTCAACACATACTGTGGTCCATTTTGGTCGCGACTGGTATGCCCGTTGTTAGTGAAGATTAAGCCTTGCAAACCTTTCGTACTTTTATGTGAAACATCAACAATTTTTTTTTTTTGGAAGTTTTGGGGCACTCGTATTTCGGGTATCTTCTGAGATATCGGAAGGGTGAATAGAAAGATAGATAGCGATGATTACGTAGAATTCAGTGGCGTAGTCACTTTCTTTTATGTAAATCGTTTCGTCTTTTTGAAAAAAAAAATAAAGGTTGTTTCTCAAAAATGTATAACAGTAAGGGGTTATTTGCATAAGTGATCTCACGGAAATGGTTTTTTCCAATTGTCATGAAGGTGTTTGCGTTAGACCTTGGAAAAATGATTTATTAAATATCTTAAACAGTTACCTTATTTATTTCTGACAATACTTACACAATAACTTATAAATTCGCTTGAAGCTAACTTAGTTTAATATTAACATTTTATTTGTAACATTTGAAACAGCTTTATGACATATGTATTCTTAAAAAAGAACAACTGTGCAGGTTTCGTTTCACAAAAAAGTACGATTGGTTTGCGAAAACTCAAGGACCGATCTTTACTAACAGCGGACAAACCCTAAGTCGCCATCAAAATGCGACACAGTGTACGTGAACATATCTATACAGAGACTTATGTAACATAGGACTTTAACAAGCAAGTACCTAATAAATCGAGTGAATTTAGAAAACAAAAAAAAAACAAATACAAAACAACGTACATTTACAAAATAGGAAACAAAATCAACAAATACACATCGTAATTCTACAAAACAAATACAAACTCATAACGTAACATAAGGTAATAGATCTAACACTTTCCGCTGATGATATTCGATTTATCATTATTTGAATTTTGTTGTAAAATTAAAGTAACGTTAACATTAACATTAAAGTAACAAATTTCATGTCACATCCAGTATATAATTGTAATAGTGGAGCGTGTGGATATATTACTCGATATCCATATTTTTAAAAGTTGATTTTTTGATTTAAAAAACGTATCTGGAGTGACGAACTATCTCAACAATAAATATATTGAGTGGATTGGAAGACACTAAACAACGATAACTAATGCCCAGGCCTTACGATTCTAGCATGTTTTTATGGGGTCATTTAAAAAATTAAATTTATTTTGCTAGGCGAGAAAACATTAATATTATAGAAGAAGAAATTAGAACTCAAATAAATAATACAAAAGCAATCACTCTAAATGGAAGCTACGGAAAAAATAATGGCAATATGTAAAAATGATTGGTGATTACTTTCAACATTTGGTTGAATAAAATAATTAAATAAATAAACGAACAAATAAATGCATAAGGCAGTTAACCACGCCCAAGTATATTTAATAATCATATAAATTATTATTCTTATTTTTTTATATAGTAGATGTTAAAATAGTAAACGATTTAACAAACGTGTTTCGTCGAAATGACTTAACAAACAAACAAAAATAATAAATATGAAAAATAACCATAACATGTTACATATTTTTGAAATCAGTGTTTAAAAGGGTATAATATGTTGGACATTCCATACGAGAAAAATACGCCTCTATCTGATTTTTATTTATCCTACACTATACATAAACAAAAGAAAACTTTCAGTTGCACTCTACAATTTTTGTATTAAACTTTTTTATTCTAAATTTTGAAGGAAAACATTTAGGGGAGTCGACATTTATAATGGATCACCTTGTAGAAAGTATTTCCTTTAATTACAATTTTTTGGAATTCCTAGAAATTCTTTTATGAATTCCTTCATACTACACCAAAAAAACGATAATTTACGGTCCCCAATTATAGAGGAAAAAGTTCTTGGTAAAAGATCTGCAGCGTAGGAGACAGAATTCACTGCTCAAAGACCGTATGGTTGCTCATCAATTTTTAGGGCATCGGGTTACAGAATTACGTTGGACACTTTATGAATTAAGAAGAAGAAGGAGAAGATGAAGAAATATTATCTGAAAGACAAGAGGGTGAGATTTGATGTCTTGAACTTTAATCGCACTTCTCAGGAAAATACGTCTACATTGCAGCGAATAATAATGCAGGATGTTAAAGAAAGTTCTTGGTAATTTAGGGTGACAAAGGGTGAGACTTGATGTTTTGGACTTCTTAGGATGTTAAAGATTGCGTAAATAGCACATTTAAAAGTATATCTATCTGTAGAAATGGAATATTCGGAGTCACGACAATCCAGAGAGTCATTCTTAAGTATTTAGAAGGAAAGACACAAAGGACAAAAATGATGATGAGAGGCGGGTCTGCTGTTAAATTTCGATATTAAATCAAGGCTCTTACAAATATGTCAGGGGCAGAAGTCATGAGAACAGCAGAGGGCAGAGAAGCATGGATAACACCATGTCAAATCTTTGGTAGTACGTAACACACACCGTGAACATTTGCTGAAATGCTAGAATGCCTACCTTCATCTCCCTGTACGTTCAAACCTGTACCGTTGATGGTAACCAGCGGCCCCAACCAATTCGTAAAACCGAAAGTCGTGTTTCCTTTAAATTTAACACTGGCCCCCTTTGTCAAATTGAGCTTCAAGGTGATACCAGCCGGAACGTAAAGGTTGTCAAACACGATGTCCGAGCATTGCTTGGTGGCATTTTCGACATCGTCGAAGTCGCTCACCACGCATGGTTCCGCACTGCACGAGAAAGCAATTATATTTAGCAGAAATAAGACTATCAAAGGCGACATGTTGCTGGTTATCGACGAGCCTTATTTATAAAATCGTATCGTTTAGTTTAAAAGTTTTATAAGTGTTGTGACGAGTGCGCCTGATTACGATATCACGTGGTGTTTTCGTTTTATTCACAACATAAATGTGAAGTACATTCGCCGTTATTAGGTTCGATTCCCTAGCACTCCAGTATTGAAGTCCTTGTGTAGCCACTACAACTACAGCACAAAACATAAAATGTACGTTTTTGATTCACTCTAAGTACAACTAGGTCCAAAGCTGTAGTGAAAATCATAAAAGATGGCAATTTGGTCCCATCATAAATTATATGTCCTAACTCGAAAAATAGTGTTTTATTTACCATATGATATTTTAGATTAGATATCAAATAAAACTACAATAATGGTTTACATCCATTTACTTTAGATGTGGATAGTCTAGACTATTCAATTAATGGGGTTCCACTAGTCACCAATATTATAACACACAATAACGCGTTTTACCATAAACCATAACGTGCGTTGGGTACGTAAAATTGAGTTTCGGTTTGTGGTAAAACGCATTATTGTATGTTAGTGCAGTGCCGAAGGTTCCAGTCAAGAGTTTGATACCAATATTATAAGTTATTTGGTGTTTTCTTTATTTTTTATGAGTTGTATGTAGGAAATTCATATTTCTAGTTCGTTCAAATTCCAAAATAGACTGTTTTCTGTCACCAGGGAAGACATTTCATCAATAGAGAGGGCAAAATGAGAACTTTTGTGTCCAAGATCTGGCAGAGTAACTGCATCCAACTCTAATAAAAACAAATTGCTACCGAATCAAAATGGTATCCAGCAGAAGAGCAACAATTTGGGGATTGTCTAATGAACATGCGGCAGTCCAAGCCCATTACAGATAGCTGCAGTGTTTTTTGAGTGCTTTTTGTTACAAATAATAAAGTAATTTAACAGCTAAGGAAACCAAAATATTAATATGCTTTTATAAACTAGACAATACTTAAATACCTTTAATAGACACAAAATAAGGTCATCTGATAAAAGAAGACAGTTTCGCTTTTCTACTCAAGCCGGAGACTACAAAGAAACGTTATTTGCTTTCTTTGTTGGCCCTGGGAGGCCATATTGAATTTCATTTGACAAGTCGTTGGACTGCCTAATTATTTACATTTCGTGGTTTTGTTGCATACTGTACTAAATAGATTTGGCTTAAAGGTAAAGTATAGTCTTAAAGCAATAAGTATTCTGTTTTAGCATAAGTTCTCATAATTGGGAAATAATTTTGGACCATTAGAATATTTTAATGCATTGAAATTTCTTTTAGGCCGAAAATCGTTTATTATTTTGATTATTATCAAAGATTTGTAAGTTATCTGATTTTTTAAAGAAACTTCCGTAGGGTGCTGCAATACATTTTACAAAACTTCTGGATTCCTCCTGCTCCGGTTTTTGCTAACGTTTCGCCAATCGTCCTGTTGGTTTCTTCACAGCTTGATTTAAACTGAGAGATAAACACTGAAAGTAAGTTATTTGTTTCAGATTCATAGTTATCATAGAATATTTTTGATTATGAACATGCGAAAGCAGGAGTCTCCCTCTTGGTAAAAACAGATTTGAAAAAATTCATCAAGGAGTACAGTTTTGTTTCCGAAAAAATCATTACCATCACTCTTAACTTGTTTGAAACTGAAGCTATCACAATACGCGTTGGATGATTACGATCAACAAATACTGAAGAATCTCACAGGAACTGAATAAAATAAAAGGCCACCAAGACATAATAATTGCGGGTGATTTCAACGCTAGGGTGGGTTCACGGGAACAAGATCAAGTAATAGGAAATTGCGGTGAAAGCACGGACTTAGAAATATTAAACTCTTATTTACCACATAAACACATTTATAGATACACATGGGAAAGACCCACTTTACAACGAAAATCAGTTATAGACTACGTAATCACAAAACAAAAATCTAAAGCAAAGTCACGAGACTGTAGAGTAAAACGGGGAGCGAATTGTGGATCGGATCATTACTTAGTCGTGGCCAAACTGGCCTATCTATTTTGAAAAAATGCTAAAAAAACTGAAGAGCATAATAATACCACTGAATAAGCCGGAAGAAATGTACTGACCAAGTACAGTCTAAGTCTGAGTCACTAGATGAATTACCACAAAGTTACCCCAACATAGAGAAGAATCACAAACGACAAATAGAGAATTACGGAGATCAATGAAAATGGAAAAGAACAACTTCTGGTATCAAAAGTGCAAATCTGAAAATCTGATGGTAGGAACTCTGTCAACAGAGGAATGGAAAGCAGTTCAGAATCAACACGTTAATTCCTGTTAGAATAAAAACAACATTATATGCCCCTGTTAGGTGAAAGCAGAACAGAATTCATAAGGGTAGGGCCACTACTAAATAAGGAGGAAATTAATAGAAGTACAACTATAGCTTCTGAGGAAGTTGGAATAAAGAATAATAAATCCTCTGCCTTCCGAGTGGAAGACGGCGCACCTAATATAATTTTATAAAAAAGGAAACAGAAGACATCCCAATGAGCCGACTTGTAAAGTGCTAAATGATAAAATAATGCAGAACATCGGTCACAGAGTCGGCGATGATCAAAGTGGAATTAGACCAAACCGATCCTGTACAGACAACCTATTTATTGTCAACGGCTGGCAGAAAAGGTCATAGCAGTAGATAAGGAATTGCATTTGGCATTTGTGAATCCAGAAAAGACCTATGATACTGTTCCGAGAGCAAAGCTGTGGAGAGCTTTAAAGACTTATGATCACCTGTTACAGATTATTACAGAAATGTATAGCGACAACACAGTACAGATTAAAAATGGACCGACACTTTCCCAACCAATGGAATATTATAAATGTCACCAAGGGATTCAGACAGGGATGCAGTATATCCCCCTTGCTATCCCGATAGATGATAATGATGATAATGCTGACAATCAAATTGCGTCTGCTCTTCGCAATAATGTGTTAACTATCCCTAATTGCTTCAGGATGGTATGATCGAAACGTACTACAAGTTAAAAATCCTGTGTCATTGTCTACCACTTTTAAATATTCATTGCGATTGTAATTGGAGAAAAGTTGTTGGACCACGAAAGGGTTTTCCGGAAACAGTACAAGTTGGGATGTCTAAGTGGAAGGAAATATTTTCTTATTTAGTTTTTTGTATATCTTTGTTTGTTTGAAGGCGATGACAAATATTGATGAAACAACGTTTTAACTGGTCAAGTAGCTCCAGTTGTCTACAGGTGAAGTCTAGATCTGACCAACAATATATACTATACTATATCGATTACCAACAATATATACTATGACTAAGGAAAAAAATTTAAATACAAAAAGTGTTTGGCCTTGATTATATATTTTATTTAGAGGACTTTTATCTACACAGGGAATTCCGTTGCGGCAGAATAGTAACAAACTCCAATTTTTAAATGGAATGCTATGAATGTTTTTTAACATTCTAATTATTCAATTGATTTTTAGTATAGCAATAAAATACTGCTTCTATTATTCGATCACGTAGAATGCCATACCACACATAAACATCTCTCCGGTCCTGATTCTTAATTTTTTCTTTTAAAATAAGTTGACTTTCTGTTCTTGCAAGAATTTTATTGGTTCTTTTTTTTTTCATGCATTTCTTGTAAAAATAAGTAGAGGTTAGAAATGCAATTGCAGAAATTAAAACCTATGAAATGAAATTGAAGTTCTATTTACTTGTATTACTTGTTGATTTTATATTGGATTTATGTAATTAATGTTTAAAAAAAAAACTTAGAATAGGATATTGTGTAGGTCTAGTTAGATTCAAAGTAAAATACACAAGTTGTTGAAGAAAATTGGCCATAACTTCCAAACTACCAATTTTTTAAATAAATAATAAATGATTTTTATCAAGGAGCTCTTCTAAAGTTCGTTTAGATCTCAACGGATGGTGGTGTCTGAGCGCTTTTCGTCTTTCTGATCTTTTGTTCTATTGTGCTGAAGCCGTTACATATGGATCTGATGCAGTTGGCCCTTTTCGTGTGTCTGTTCCACCAAGGACATTTGTCTTGACCTTACCTCCATCAGCTGAAATTTTCATACCATCCGACTTATCTTTGTAGGTATGTCTTGTACCCCACCCAGTACTTGGCTATGACATTTCGACAATTAAGGTCTAGGTCCAACTTCAGCAACCAAACAGATGTGTTTTTGATGGGAAAATGATGATTTATCGTCCTCCAACATGCGAACTAAATCAAGAATAAAACAACTCGCAATTTAAATCTGTATGTAATAATGTGTTTTAACAAGAATAACCTTCGGGTAGGAAATTACAGCTGTCAGACTTTCTGCCGGATATTTTTACGTCGTCCCACTGCCAATCTGCGCAGCCCCCGTCTGCGCACAAGATGAACACCGGCGCGGCATCCCTGGACACATTTCCGGTAACGTTCACCATTTTGAGATCTACGATGGGCACATTGTTTCTGGGTTCGGCGGTTGTGTCCGGGTAATTCTCGTGGATCTCGATACCAAACTTTTCTATACCTGGAAAAGAAACATGTTCTGAAATCACGCAATAAAGATCTGGACCAATTTATTTATTTATTTTTATTTATTAAGTTATTTATTTCTCATGCTCTATAGTATCATTAACAATTTACAACAACAATATAACAACAGGCCAGCCTATATAATAAATAAACAAACACAAAAATATATAAAAAATATATAATAACTAACTATAAAACTAAAAAAAATGCCTATGCAGACAGCGGCAAGACGCAACACGATATGGGTCCATAACTTTTAAATATTTAAACAATGAAACATTAAAAAATTAGCTAATGCGTCTTTGTTTTTCCATTAGACGTTTTTTTTTATGGGAGAGGCATATTGTATAACTTAGAACTCCCTCATAACATTTCTAGTGCACTGAGGATGCAAAAAAACAATGACTGGTTGACTGGAGTTTAAAATTCTAAAAACAAAATTATACATGTATTCTCTGCGATGTTATCAATATGTGAAGAAAAGAGATATGTCACAAATTACTCCTATCGGTAGCAAAGTTTTATAATTAGTAATTAAAAAAAACACAATGCTTATATCCATTAAGTTTGAGATTATGGTCCATAGGATAAACAGATACACTGTTGAAATTAATATTGAAGTTTAATGGAGAGCATCTTGCATAGAAAAAGAAATGTAAACTTGGGAATTATCAGCATATTATTGCATCACTGAATATTTAGTATACTCATTCATATCTGCTACATAAAGGCTAAACAATCAACAAAAGAGCCAAACAGGTAGTCGCCCTCGTAACTTCATTGTGGCGAATGTCATTCAATGACTTAACTGGACTGGTAGGTGTACTAAAATGTAATATAAACCCTGTTTGACAGTCTTGAAAGGATTTGGAAGTTGGCAAAAGTAGGCATTTGTTGGTAGATGTTCTTCTATTTATTTTATTTGTGAAAAAACTGGAAGTATACTGATTGGTCTTAGACCTTTTGGCTGACTGGGAGTTGATATTTTGACAACTGGTTTTATAATGGCCTTTTTCCAAACAGTGGGAAAATAATTAGCCAAAATACAGCTGTTCATAATATTTATTAAAAGATTTATAAGCTATGGAAGCTTGACATCATTTATGGAAACTCCGCCTTCTCCAGTCTCCAAAAATTTGAATTATATGTAATATTTGGAAGGGCACTGGAGTTGTAATATTTTATTTTATTAATTGATACGCTATCGACCACTTGAATGCACGATGCAAAATATTTACAAGGTACTTCAGGTTTACATTAATTTTTTTTTTTTGAGAGAAGCGTTTTAACAGCTTACCTTACGTCCAAAGTTAAATACAAAATGTTATTGTTTTTTATACTAGTTCGAATTATACTATCAACCGTAACAAGTGGAAACAGTACTGGAATTGGAACTAATGAGTGGCGAACATAAATTCATCCGTCACTCAATTTGAGAATTAATGGATTGGAAGGAATGGGTTTCAAAATTAATGTCCCCTCCCTTATTTCGCAGTCAAAAATACCAGATAAAATAAAGGCAAGCGTAAATCGACAACCCTAAACAGTCTTCATTTTCATTAAGAAACACAATATGGTGCAATAGTTCCGCACACTCTCGGTCTCGATAATGACAAGAGTTAGTTTGGTTTGTTTTCCTTATTTTTCGCAATTTTATTGCGTTTTGGCTTAATATTTTCCAAAAGTATAAAAACGAAAGGTATTCTAGGGTTAGAGCCTCTCATAATTTTAGACCATTAAAATATTTTAATTAATTTAATTTTTTTTTGGGGCGAAAAGCTTTAAATATTATCGTTATTATCCAAGATGTGTAAGTTATTTGTTGCAGATTCATAGTTATGATGAATATTTTTGAATGTTTCTAGTTAGTGAAAATGAGTTAATTTTAGGATTAATTTTAATTAGAAATTTAAATAAAAAGCAAACAAGAATTTTAAAAATGTGTTCGAATTTTAACACAATATACAATTTGATAATAGCGAGAGTGTCAAATATATTATATAAAAAGCAAACTATATTTTATGTGTTAAGTTTTCCCCTTTTTTATATAGGAATACATTTTATTCTAAACAAATAATTACTTCTTGTTAGTAAGTACCCCATAAACGAATTTCTTCTAATTTTTTTCATTGAAAGCTCAGTCTCTGAGTAACTTGCAGTATCAGTTTCTGAATCCAGTGAAATTATTTTGGGCTCTAATTCATTAAAAATGGTTTCGTTACACCACTCTAAAATAATTTTATTAGCATATTGCACACATTTTTTGTAAATCTCGGTTAATGTTGCCTAATATTCAATTTGGTTTTTAAAAAACTAGTCGCCGATCTCTTTTTTACAAGAACTTGTACATGGTTCATTTTCTTATAAAATGTTGTGATACTGACAATTATCCATAATTATAACTGACTGCTCTTCCAAGTTACAAAGCAATTTTTCTTGTAACCAGCTAATACATTTCTCGCTATTCATGTCGCCAAGGTATTTTGTAGATTTTGACTTGGAACAACTCACCAAGGTTGCTCGTTCAACAAATCATTTTTCGCAAGATCGCATCCCTTGAAAGACCAGTTTTCTTACACTTTTTATTGAATTGTCGGGCCAAGCCTTTAGAAAATGTTCACGTATGGTTCGTGAAACATTGGTTATGCTGGGCAATACTCTCTGCAAAGAACTATTGCTGATAAAGCAATTTCTTTCTTCTTACAAACACTATCTTACGTGGTTATAAATGGTTAATTTCACTATACATTTAATACACCGTGTCTCGTGTATTACATTTAAATGCATTAGGTAAATCAGTCGCCTTTTTTCGGGAATTGGAATTTAAATGATAAATAACAAACAATTTATAATAGAAAATGAATTAAAAATCGCAGCACTAAAATAAAAAAGCAACCTTCTTACGAAAAACCACAAAGAAATGGATTCTGTCAAAGTGACAGAAGTTAAATGCGACATTCAACAAATTCGTTTATCTTTATTGGATATACGCATCAAACATACTGTTTGCTTAAGACAAAAAAAAGGTAATTGTCTTCTTCTAATCCGCTATATTTACTATTGTCCGTAGATTAAAGAGACAATAAAAGAAAACTTACTGGACATGGAAATATTTCTATAAGTTACATTTGTTATGGACCCGTAGCCTCCCTGGTAGTGGGTCTTGATGTGGATCCCGTTTTCCGAATTCACCAACACGGAATCAGTGAAAGTGACGTTGCTCAACGTATTCAGCGGTACGGACGTGTTGCTAAAGCCCACGGAAATGCTCAAACCGTGAGTGCCGTGGCAGAACATGTTGGTGACATATATGTTGGCCCCTACAAAATAGCGATGCTTCATTTTTTAATGTAGAATGGTAAAAAGAGAGATATACTAATAAATTATGATTACGATAAATGGTCAAAACTTGCCTGGAATGTCATGAACGGAAGTTATAGATAAGACTAAAATAAACAATTTAAAATTTACGGGGTGGTTCTCAGTGTCCTCATGGCAGCATCTGCGCTTCGAATTTTATTTACTTGGACTACGAAAACCCTAGATTTGACTTGAAATGAAAATGCGCATGCGCATATACAGTATGGTGGTAAAATACTAAACAAAAGTTGGTGTATGCGTCATGATCACATTTGGTAAACTTAAAATTTTTGCAAGTCAATCAACACTTAAGATAGGACAAAAAATACTAAAATTGCACAAGAGTAAAACATCTTTTAAGGGTTAAGAAAAATGTTATTAAGAAAAGTTGTTGAGCATTTTTTTAGAGCATATGTTGGAAAATGTGTTAAGAACAATTCCGAACGAAGTGAAGCAAAGAATGTGGTTCCTTTATGATGGAGCTCCTGCACACGTTACGAAGAATTAAATTAAATAAAGGTGGTCCGATTAGAGGTCTCTTCATCTAACCAAGATGAACTATTTTGTTTATGCATATGTTAAAGACCAGGTGTATAAAACTGCTCCCACAACAAAAAAGGAAATGAAACGGAGGATACGAAAAACCTTTCAAAGTGTTAGTCATGAAATGGTGGCGAATATTGCCCAATCATTTATGCACCTTATTAGAGCGTATATTATTAATATTGCATTTTTAATATTATCCCCTAACTTAAAATTCTATTTAAATTGTTTTTCCAAAATTCAGTTCGTAATTTCAGTTTTGTTTTGTTATTAATTAATAAATTATTTACGCATTACATTACATTACAACAATGTTATCTGAAACAATACTTAACTCGTCTCTGTAGATTTTTCAAGTTCAAGAAATATTTATTTTGTTCTCAATCTTTCGTGGTATTCTCGCACGGTTTGATAATTTTGATTATTTTGTTGGTTATATAATATAATATGTGTACCTCAAAAAATAAAAGTTAATAAAATAGGAGTAATTAATGGAAGTCTAATATACAGGGAACAAAACGATTCGAACTAACTTCAAGACGAGTCTGGGATAAATGACTGTACTACTTTGGTTGACATACTAAAATGACAGCTAACTGAAATAAAATGTTAAACACAGTGCGAAAAAATGGTTATAAATCCGAAAAAACAAATTAATAAATTCAGTTAATAAACAAAGAACAGCTCAAAAAGGTTTATTCAAAAACTTCGCCATGAGCAAAACTTGAATAATTCATACGATAAATTTACGGAAAACCTTTTATTTTTTGAATTAATTGATTCGCATAAAACGTAAGAGAAAAACGCTGTCGATTTATTTGCAGAGGTAGCCTACCGTATTGAAACGTATGTCTCGTTTGTATCAAAATTTCCTTACTCTTTTTTTCTTAATAAAATTTGGGAGTTAATTTCTTTAATCGAACGAAGCAACATATTCAGAACTTTTTGACTCAAAAATGGAAAGCTTTTTTCTCCAATAGATTTATGAGTTTTTGTATGAATTGCAGGTTTCAGGGACCTCTGGCGAGTGCCATATAGATTTGTGGGTGTTAAGTATCTCGGATTCTTCATTTCTGGCATATAATTGCGGTATGTCCATTACGTTAACTCCTCTGTATAATAGACTTAATGGATTCATATATGGTATAGAATTCAGGGCTTCTTAAACTGGGGGTCGCGAGACTACTGAAAGGGGGTCGCAAAGATCTGATACTTTTCAATCATTATAAATAAAATTTTAAAATTAGTATACACACTACGTACAAATATAAATAAAATACAAATAAAAATCATACAAAATACTATTGTAGTTTTATTATAACTATTTTTTGAAAAAAGTGGCAATGCAAAACTGTTACGTAGGGCCTATAAATGAAAATATGGAAGTAGCATTTAAAATAATAAATACAAGGCGCTCCTCGATTTTCAACTGAACGTTCGACATTGATATCTGGCCGCCGGCGTCAGTGTTTGCAAGATAACTTAGTGATTATAAGTACCCAGACGCCGCGTCGCCATACAGCTTACACATACAATACGGAAGCATAATCAAGCTAGGCTAGGCGAATCGCCATATTATTTTTATAAAAGAATAATAAAAAAAATTAAATGAAACCTTCTTTTTCGGCGTCTTTGTGATACGGTGCCTTTGTGCGCTGCACGCTTTGAACACGCCATGCGTCGGGGTTCATCTGATCGTAATTTGTTGTCATTGCACTGTTTGTACTTCAGTTTGGACTCAGCTTTGTCTTCGTAGTGACATGTGTGCATTTACTGTGTAATTTTCAGTTGGTGTTTTTAATTATTACGTTAAAGTTCAACTAAATTTTGTTTAATTATTTATTATTATTTAACCATCATGGATAAATGGCTAATTAAAATTCCAACTAATAAGTCTGCCACGCCGTCACAACCAAGTTGCAGTGCTTCAAATCCGACTTCTAGCAAAATAAAAAAGAAGAAAATATGACGAATCATATTTGCAGTATAGCTTCACGTGCTCTTCTCACAACAATGAAGAACAACCAGTGTGCTTAATTTGCAAAGAAGTTTTGGCTGCAGAAAGCATGAAACCGTCAAAACTGCAACGACATTTGAATACTAAACATGCAACGTTATCAAAAAAGCCAACAGAATATTTTGAGCGTCTTTTGCAAACATCAAATAAAGAAAAGAACACTTTGGAGAAGTATGTTACTTTGAATGATAAATATCTATTGGCATCGTATGAAGTTTCGTATTTGATAGCAAAAACGAAAAAGCCTTTTACTATTGGAGAGCAACTTTTACTACCTGCAGCTATAAGAATGTCTGAAATTGTTCATGGAAAACAGTATGCTGCTGAAATTAGTAAAATTCCATTATCCAATGGCACTGTGTCCAAAAGAATTTCAGACATTAGCAATGATCAATTTCAACAGCTTCTTATGAAGCTTAAAGACAGCTGAAAGTTTGCAATACAACTGGACGAGTCGACAGACATTTCAAAAATGGCACAGTTGTTACTTTTTGTAAGATATATTTATGAGGGAAGCATTCATGAAGATATACTGTTTTGTCGTCCTCTGGAAGGTCATACTCGTGGAAAGATATATATAAAAGAGTTTTTTGAAAAAGAAGGATTAAATTGGAAAAATTGTGTTGGTGTGTGCACGGACGGTGCTGCAGCAATGACCGGATAAGTGCAGTGGAAAGTGGATCGCTCGAAATGTTTCCATTTACTGACGAGTATATAATTAGTAAAAATATTTCAAAAAAAGCTACTCCTATAACAAAAATTATAGTTAATCATTTGAAGGATATGGAAGTTTACATGAATAGGTATTTTCCCAATGATATTGATACACAACAATGGATTTGCAATCCATTTTCAATTGAAATGGAAGAAATTAATTTTTTAAACTTAAAAGCACAAGAAGAATTTGCCGAATTAACAAGTGATACTACCTTGCGACTCAGATTTTCTCAAGTGCCTGTGCATGAATTTTGGATAGAAATCAAATCAGAATATCCCCTACTATCGGAAATGGCAATGAACACATTACTGCCATTTTGTACAACATATTTATGTGAATCAGCCTTTTCCACATTAATTTACATAATTTTTACATAAAATCAAGATACTATATAGATAATAAACGTTGAAAATTTTTTACGATCTGCACTAACTCAAATTGAGCCTAGATTTAATTATTTGTGTAAAACATCCGTCACATTAATATTGTTTGATGTTGATAATATGTTTTTATTAAAGAAATTGTTACAAAAGTTTATTTTTTATATTGAATATATATATATATATATATATATATATATATATATATATATATATATATATATATATATATATATATATATATATATATATATATATATATATATATATATATATATATACATATAGTTTTATGTCATTCTATTTATTGTGTTTTATTACGACCGATATCCCGTCAACGTTTCCAATTATATATATGTGAAATGAATGGGTACGTATTCTTTAATCGTTATTTTATTTACATTGTAAAATAGTGCGATATTACATATACATCTAAAGTTAATATATATTTCATTATATGGAGGAGGGGGTCGTTTAAAATTTCCTAAGCTTGAAGGGGGTCGCTATATAAAAAAGTTTAAGAAGCCCTGGTATAGATCATAACGACCCTACATGATTCATTATAAAAGGGAGTAAATATTAATTACAAAATATACAGGGTGCTCCAACTAAAATGATTTATGTTTGATTCCCAACTTTTTATGATTCGCCCTGTATATGGACACATCTAAACCTTTGGTATTTAACTTTTTTCCTTTAAAACGACTATTAAACAACATATATTACTATGACAAACTATTGGAACACCCTTTATAATAAAGACTGCTCATTACACTACAATTAGGACATGACAAGTGAACTTTTTGAAAATTGGGCAGCGTAGTAGTTTATGATATTTCCCCTTATCACAGCAAATATGATCATATTACTGACTATCTAAAACAGTCTAAGTGGTTGACTGACTTTGAAAGGTTCTACTTGCCACTCTAGTTCATTAAAATCGAAGTACTGCAGAGTCCTCTTATTTATTTAACAAATTAAATACCATATTCCGAAGTACAGTATTGCCACGTTTCAGAGATCTTTCACTTATAACGATATTAAAGTTTATAATGATGTCTCTGCTACTTTTAAAGCATATCATTAATCAATACGTCCAAAGATGTATTGTTAATGAGGAGATAATCAGTCCCTTCAATAAGTATATAAACAGGGTGGTTAGATGAGCAGCTATGCCACTAAGTGTCTTTATTTATTGTATAACGTATTCCTCCACTAGCAATAAAGACATTTTAAATTAAATTGAATTGATTTGTCAAAGAAACTTCTACAGGCTACTGTAATACTTTTTACAAAACTTCTGGATTCCTCCTGCGTCGGTTTTTGCTGAGTCCAAATTGCTAACGTTTCGCAAATCATCCTGTTGGCTATTTCAGAGCTTGACTGACAGACTGACAGTTTCAGACAAGCTCTGAAGAAGCCAACAGGATGATTTGCGAAACGTCAGCAATTTAGACTCAGCAAAAACCAACGCAGGAGGAATCCCGAAGTTTTGTAAAAAAAAAGTAAATTGAATTGAATTGAATAATTAAACGTCTGATTTTAGACATAAAAACCATATCTCAAAATGTCAAAATGACGACAGGACGCCATTTTAAATTTGTTTTTAAATGGTCGGAGGGGTCATCTGATACATCTTTTTAAAGGTCTTTTCTTTTTCTACTCCCATACTAATTTTGAAAACTTTTGACTGGTCCGTTTTTGCAAGGCAAACAATTAAATAAATGAATTTTTATTTATTTCATTAATTAATTAATATATTTTGTGCTATAATTTTCTTACTAGTTGTTAATAGCATCATTACAGTCATGACCATTTATCGTGTATCGGACTGTAACAACATTTTTTTGTAAGTTCACATGATTCTGAATTCTAGAATGTTGTCACAGGTCGGTGAAAAGTAATATAAAGAAAACAAATCAGTATCTAAGTTCTCAGAAGAAGTTAAAACTAGAGAATCTCTTGAATTACCAAATACATTGCGTATTTCAATGTTGAAATCGCTATTTGAACAGCATCCCCCGGTTTAAATATGTTGACAACTGCTTACCGCACCTAACTGCCACGCAATCGTCCTGGTTGTATACGGCGGAATTTTTAATAACAACGTCGGTTGAGTTCCAAACGTCAAATCCGTCGGTATTTTTGCCGAATTTTCCACTTGGCGCCACGTCCTACAGTAATACAGTTGAATTAGTTGTTTAATAAAAAAATTACGTTTTAGGAGTAAAACGTAAGAAAAATAACCCTACATATTAAGAAAAACACTACATAAAAAACAATGCTGAATCAAAGAATCAAAATATACGTGAAGTTCTCTCTGGAAAAGGATTTAATTATTGACATTACTGAAAAAAGTCCTGCTTGGTGAAAAAATTAATATATGATATATGAAATATGACAATAATAAGCGTAGAAAAAGCAACAGTAGCCGTTTTGATTAGTTTTGTTAGCCACACATTCCGTTAGAAAGTGTGACAAGAAAAGAAAGTGAAAGAAACACTTTCTTCAGGTAATACACAATTTATGACGTAAAATATATTATTTCCACATTTCCAAAACTTACAGTCGTAAAGAATTTAAAAAAAAAGATTAGAAAAATGAACATTATTAAAACTTATTTTCAATATTTCAAAATGTCCACCAAGGAGCGTAACCACTAAGCAAAACTGTTTTTGTCTGAATTTTTCACATACAAACCGGCCATTTTAAATCACAGGTAAATTCGAGTCTCCATTGTAAAACACTTATGGCTCAATCTCTTTACGGAAAGTGGCGGTAGGTGTACAAACCATTTTTTAAACAATTATCGGTAACTTCAAAATCTTGGGGTCATTGCTATCAACGTTTTTGTAAATGTGCGATTGTAACTGTAGCTTATAATTGGCACTAGAAGGCGCTTCTATATATAATTTCAAATAAGCATTATTTTCTATAACGAAAGATACGACAGTGAAAACCGTATCTTCTCTTTTCTAACCCACAATACGAAAAAATAAAGAAAAATCCAGACAGAGACATTTTGCGTATTCCGTACCTTGTCTTGTCATCCGACACATATAGGCTTGGTTCCATTTGAAAAAGAATTTTTACTAGGGTAAGAAGGCTTCATTCGAAATCCCACTGAAAATAATAAGATATCGAAAAACAAAAGTTTTTCAGAATTCAGCCAGGAAGACCAATGGAACTTTATCAACAATCAACAATATCAACTTGGTTAAAAGAACATGGATTAATAATAACAACTTTTATTTTCGAAAATTGAATCCTACAGTAGTACTATAATAGTACTGGAACTGGAAGACAAAAGTTAGGATACCCACGGAACCATTTACGAATATTTCTGGGTGGAATCGCTAGATATAAAAAAAATTGCTTAACAGACTCAGAGTTCAGACAGTAATTCAATTCAATAAGATCATTTAAAATCTGTGGATCAGTCGCAATTATCCATTTGTTTTCTAATGAAATCGTTCGAAATTTTGGGTTTCTGGTATACATGCTGATAGCGTGCTGTACGGTCTGAGTGCATAATATTTATAACAACGTTGTCCGTGTGTTTTTTGAGTAGCAGAGGGTACTGTTTCTGGTATTCTACAGGTTGGACCGTTTAAGATGCTCTTATACCTTATCTCAAAAAGTACGAAATTGAAGAAAGAAATCCAAGAGTTGTTTGACCCGAATTATATATTTTATTTATAGTAGTTTTATGTATACTGGGTATTCCGTTGTGCCAGGGCACTAAGGAGCTTTATTGGAAACTAAAATTTTGAATTTTTATTATGGATCTATGAAAGTGGTTTAACCTATATAACCTATTAACCTATACTATGACTTATCACTTTTTTCTAAATGGTGTGAGATATTTAAATTTGTTGGAGTACTGTAATGTCCATTAATTGATATTCTGTCGGGCGATTTTAAAGAAGATATTGTTTTTCAATAAGATAATGCGCCATATTATACCGTAGGCACTGTTAGAAATTGTTTAAATCAACGTTTTCCATTGGTCGGTACCATGGATTGGCCAGCGAGGAGTCTTGACTTTTGAACTTCGAACAACGTGTAAAAATATAGGTGTAATAGTGTTCAAAACGTAAATAAGCGAATTTAGCAAGAGGTAGAAAGAAATAATACTACTTATATTGCCAAAGGTGAAGGTTATGTAGAAAATGTTTTGTTGTTAATAATAAATTTTATTGACTTGAATTTATTGAATTTAAGTAATTGATGTTTGAAGAAAAGTAAGTTAGAATAGGATATTATAAAGGATAAGTCAAATTTAACAAAATTAGCCATAACTTGTAAACTATCAGTTTTTGCCATAAAAGCTATATATATGAAATGATACAAGTGTCATAAATAAGTAAGTAAACGAACTAACAAGAACAATATACACAAACAGCTACAAAAATATTACTTATATAATTTCCATTGACAGTTTCATTTTAAAAATTCTTTTAAAAGACAGTCTGGATAAATTTCTGAGCACGCTTATCTCGGGGTATCGGTTTAGGAACTTAGCAGACACATAAGAAAATGAATTCTGATATTTAGCTTTGTGCATTTTTGGTACCTCATAAAGATTGCTGAAACGTGTACAACGATTATGAACAGTACTCAGAGTCGTAATTTTTTCCATAAAATATTCGGGGTATCCAGTTTTGACACTCTTATGTCAAAAGGAGGCTAGGTGAAGTTTTCGTCTATCGGCGATGTTAAGCCAGCGTAATTCTCTCAGTTTTTCACTAACATAGTCTTTGAGTTTTAGATTCAATATGAAACGAATACATAAGTTTTACATTTCAATGGTCAAATCCAAACATGGACCAAATAGAAATTTCCAATAGTTTGTGTTACACAAAACCAATGCTTCAGACAATAATCTCTTTAAATTTCCATTGAAAATATATTAATTACTGTATAAGTTTCGTAAGTTCCAATAACGTTTTTATATAATTTTAGAAACATGAGTGTTGAACCTTAATTTATTATAAAAAATAACACCGAAGTTTTTGCGTTCGGTAACAACTGCTATTTTAAATGTCAAGCAGCTCACTAGCACAACTTTTAAAAAGTCCAAAGTAAATAATGACTGACTTATTTTGATTTTACATTAGCCCGTTATTACATCGCAATCTTTTCTAAACAGTGATGAAGGAATATCACCACCCATCTGTGCGCTGTCGAAATATAGTCGAATTTATTAAATAATACGTCACCGGGTCTCCCGCCAAATTATCGATGATCCAGTCGGTAAATGTTAGGTTGACCGCATTCGTCGCCTGTACGCAGTCGATCGGGGTGTTGATCACTTTAAAGTTACGAAACACCGAATGAAATGCCTGGATTGTAAAAAACTGCGGTTTCTGGGTGCCCTTGTCGCCCAAACCGTCCCAATAAAGTTGCCCCTGGCCGTCGAATATCGACCCTAAAAAATTTTTAGATGAAACTGTGTAAAAAACAGATACTTTGCAGTTTGTTAAGGAGATTATGAATGAATAAAACTGTCATAGAAATATAAGACATGTTTACCAGGAGGGTGTGAACATCCAAGATAGTAAGGAAATGTCAAATGTATTTTTAGAATACTGCAAAAATATGGGGAAAACAACCATTACTTTAAAGTTATTTTGATAAATGATTTAATTTTCCTCGTATATCGGGAACCATCATTTCAAAAGCCATTTTAACTTTTAAAAATTCGACTTGCTTAGATATCTATAATATCAACATCCGATTAATTAAAGAATGTTCTGATTTCTTGGTGCCCTTTCAACGCATTTATGTAACGCCTGTTTAGCATCCGGTACTTTCCCAGATCAATTGAAGTATGCAGAAGTGAGTCCACTTTTCAAAAAAGGCAGTAAATACGATTTAAACAATTACCGTCCTATTTCAATATTGGCTATTTTTGGCAAGAGTCTTGAAATTATACTGAAAGAGTTGCTGTTGGACTACTTGCTTAAAATTTCATTTTTTCCTAATGAACATTTATTTAAAAATGGTAATAACTGCGATAGCACAAACCATTGCCTACAATCAGCAATACCTAAGGTATTGAAAAATATGGTTTTGTCAGTGCTGGACGGAGTTTTTCATATCATTGTTGAGAAGTAGCGTGGGTTTGTAAATGGCCGTTTGTCTGTGACAAACCTTTTTTTTTATACTAACTTCATCGTTAGGGCTTTCGATAACGGATATGAGGTGCATTCCATATGTACTGGTTTCAGCAAGGCTTTTGATCTGCAGGACCAAGGAGTATTACTGAACTTAAAAAAATCAGTTTCAATTGTGCAATAGGTCAAGGTCAGCTGTTTCCGGCCGGCGTTCCTCAGGGGTTCTATCTGGGCCTAAAATTGTTTATTCTTCTGGTGAACGATATAGGCCATTATTTGGAATCAGATTATTCACTTTTTGCTGATGATATGAAAGCTTACCGCTGAGTGGTGTAAGATGAACAATTTAAAATGAAATACTGTACAATGTGCCTGTATGGTTTTCTGTCAACATAGAAATCCTGTTGATTGCTCATATAGAATGAAAGAATATGTGTTGAAAAGAGTGCAAGTAATGAAGAATGTGATTAGTTCGGCTAACCGTATGTTGGGTCTGGCGGTATGTTCGGGTCTGTTCGGATGCGTTCGGGTGTGTTCGAGTCTGTTCGTGTGCGTTCGGGTAACATACTTGAATGCACCCGAATATACCCGAACACACCCGAACATACTCGGACACAAAATTCTCACGCGTCAACCCGAACACATCCGAATATTCCCAAAAATTCATATTTTCCCGCCAAAAGTGATTTAGAACCGGTACTACTATATTACTGTCAAGTATCTACTGACCTCGAACTGTGTATACCTAATTTCAAATTTTAATCCTCTGTAACCTGTCTACTTTTACAAATTTGTTTCGTGACTTTGTAGTTAAATAAATAAACCTAGACCAAAGTAAAGCAAATTGCTGCTACTCACCTTCATCTCCCTGCATAGTCAAACCAGTTCCGTTGATCGTAACCAGCGGCCCCAGCCAATTCGTAAACCCGAAAGTGGTGTTACCTCTAAACGTGACATTAGCGCCGTCTGTCAGATTCAATTTCAAGGTGACTCCCGCAGGAACGTAAAGGTTTTCGAATATTATGCTAGAGCACTTTTCCGTGGCAGCTTCGACGTCACCGAAATCTGAGACCACGCACTCTTCCGCCCCGAGGGACAAAGGAAATGCACTCAAAAGAGGCAACAGCACCAAAGCGAACATGTTTTCTATGAAGAAGCGCGATGCTTCTATACTCGGTGAATGCCATCGCACATTGATAAGATCCGGACGATAAATACGTATGTGACGTCTCGAAAACACTTGAATCTGTTTTTCGTTTTTATAAGAAGTGCTTACTAATTACTGCGATATAACTACAGGGTGGATTTAATTTTGATGTTTTCCTAGCCGGAAACAACTCAAGGCAAGTTCACTTTTAACTATAGTGAAAATCACAAAAGATTGCGTACGTCGGTGATAGGGTGAGTAAGATAATGCAAAGGGATAAGGGATAAGGGTTAAAGTTAATGGTTATTTTAATTATTTTGTACGAAATAAGTTTGGCTTAAAGGCAAGGTGTATCTAGTCTAAAAACGAGAAGTATTCCAGGGTAAGATCTTTGTAGCATTATCATAAAAGTATTTTTTCTACTCCCGTCTGTAAAATACCCAATTACCCATCGATCTAGCGTGGGGGAAGCGTCACGCTTTGAATTTTGACGTTTGTCATTTCTGACGGTCATGTCAGTGAATTTATTCGTGTTGTTTTGCGAAAATGTAGTACGCAACACGTTCCACGTTCGGTAAACTTTTTAACTCACTCGTTTATTAAAAACTCGCTCCGCTCGCGTCAAATAAACTCGTGAGTCAAATGCCGTTTACCGCACTTGTTGCATAATATACTATTAACGAATTTAAATTTCTTTGATTATTATTAATTAAATTAAAATTATTTAATAATAAAAAACACAACAACAAACAAGTATTATGTTAAAAGTGCACGAATTTTAACACAAAATACAAAGAACAATTTAGTTTAAATATCAATTTGATTTTAATTAGATTCTCAAATAGGTGAATATAAACGCATACAAATTATATCAGAAGAACAATATATTATGTGTTAGGTTTTTTCCATTTTACATAGGAACGTCGCGACATAATTTTCAAAATGCAGTGCAAACTCCTTAGTTCGAACATCTATTTGTCAGGCCCAATTCGGATTATTAAATTGTTCGGATTAACAAATATACAATAAAAAATATCTGTGTAAGGTTTTACATTTTTAATATGTACGTATATTAAATTTTACACAATACATATGTAATGTGTATTACCCATCAAAACATTTACTTAAAGTTATTTTAAAGAACACAAACAAACCTAAAAAATAAAACATGAATTAAAATTATAATTTTTGTTTGTTTCTTATTTTTGAACGCTGCATCTTGAGCTTCACTTTTCAATTCCTGCGAGAGCACGATTCGATATCGGGGAACCTTATTTTGTATTGCGCAAGCAAACACGGAGTTTCGGAAATATCGTCGGAGTTCTCGTCAGTGTCAGAATCTTCGACAACTTCTCCATTTATACTAACTTCGATCAATGCGTCGCTGATTGCTTTATCATTCGATACCCATGTTCCGATTTCATACAGGGAAGCAAATTGAGAAATGTATTATTTTGCGAAACGTATTTGTAACTCGTATTTGTAAAAAAATGTTATGAAATGTAGGGTGTTCTATTTAAAAAAATGCAACTTTGTTTTACCACCCTGTTTATAAAAAAGTGTCGAAAAATATAAAAAAAATAAAGGTCATTTTATTAGAAACAAATTTTGTATTTTTTTTTGTAACCCCCGTTGGTTTCGAGATAAGATATAGGCCACTCTTAAATGGGCCACTGTGTACCATTTCTGCTCAGAAAGATTGGGAGTAAGGACGAGACGTAACCTTGAATATAGAGGAGCTGAAACTGATTACAATCCCTTTTATATCCGTATGAATGCCTACTATTTCGTACCCTCTAATAGTATATTATGCAACAAGTGCGGTAAACGGGTGACTTGAAAAGTTTACCGAACGTGTTGCATACTATACTTTTTCAACGACCTTTAGTTTTTGGGTACAGTTTCGCAAAACAACACGACATTACGTTAAAATTCAAAGCGTGAGAAATATCTCCGCAAAACATCCGATTGCTCCCAAACCCGTGCGGTAAAATCCCGGAAATGTCCCAAGTGGATCGGATTCGTGGGAAATGAAACTGATGTGGTAAAGTGATGCTTCCCGCAGGCTAGCTCGGTATTTTACAGACGAGAGTAGAAAAAATTATGTAAATTGATATTTTAGATTACACTATGGTAATCAAGCTAGGGCAGTCGCGTTCCACCCTGTATATACCGAGCTCAAATATAATCAAACTTGGTAAAGTCAGCATACCGTATTTGTTAAACAAATTTCAACAAGAATGAGAGCTTGGTACCACCAGCAATGCAATAAATCGTTCTTTTTTGTGCTAAAAGCACTTCTGTCGATTGTGTAGACCAACCTCATAGAGAAATTTTTTTTTTCTACTCCCGTCTGTAAAATTTTACTTTGATTAACTTTACCACGATTTTACCGCACGGATTTGGGAGCAATCGGATGTTTTCGGAGATATTTCCCACGCTTTGAATTTTGACGTTTGTCATATCTGACAGTCATGTTAGTGAATGTATTCGTGTTTTGCGAAAATGTACCCAAAAAGCAACGGTCGTAGATAAAGTATAGTATACAACACGTTCGGTAAACTGTTTAACTCACTCGTTTATTAAACACTCGCTCCGCTCGTGTCAAATAAACTCGTGAGTCAAATACCGTTTACCGCACTTGTTGCATATTATACTATTTAATAATTGTGACTCCGACAGTCCAGTGCGCAAATTCCTCAATATCCACATATTCAAGTTTAACCGAGAAATCAATATCTCCCAGTGATTTTTATATTTGTTAGTTATTTGTAGTTTTAAGTTGACCGACTTGAATGCTGTGAACATTTGAAAAAAAAAACTTATGAATTGCGGCTCCAGTTTCACCGAAAATAACATCAATATTGTTATTTTAAATGGAACGCCATGTATATTTTTTATTTTTTGGACTCGCTGAACAATTCTCTAACACACTTCATGTCTAGAACATCAATAGTTTTTTAAATAGGGGATCAAAGAAGCGGCACCATACTTAGGAAAACATACTAAACATATTAGTTATTATACAATTTTAATGATTTTCGTGAAAAAGAATTGTTAACAATTTAAATAAAACGAGTATCTTCTTTTCAATTTGCAGGGATTTGCGGAAGTTGAATTTATCGTAATTGGGGATAAAAAAGTAGCTTTGGACAGGGGAGGTTTTCTTTAATTTTCGTGAAGTAACTGATCAAAATTTGAAAATTTGATTTGCGGTAACAATATTTTGTTATTGATGTTTTGTTGAATTGCATTTTGAACGAGAAGTAAGTAACCGTAATATTTCTTCCTCTTGTCTACTTTGTTTCTTCATAAATTAAAGATATCTTGGTATTATGGTAAATATTTGAATCGCTGTAGTTCAACAAAGTTGATTAGTGAATTCAAAAAATGAAGAACATATAGGTACAATTTAAAATCACAAAGTTGAGGGGGGTAACCGTAAACGACATTCAATTATTTCTATGCTATAAATACTCACGACATTCAACGCTATCAACTTACCAAATTGCATATTTCCAGCTCAAGATATTTTGAAATGGCGCCGTAGATAGTATTTTGTTCCGTCGCCAATGGGTATTGTTATTGATGCCAAAGCAATACAATTAAAGACAGAATTTTTCAAAAAAATTAACTTGTTCTCAACTTCTAATACTTGCTCGCCAATAGACCCATCTGAATGCTGCCCCATCTTTTAGTTTATGGCCTCCAACTGTGGACTCTGTATATATAGTTTAATAAGGAATTTAAATTAAAGTCGTGTCTGGGATAGCGGTTCTCGAATGGTATTGTTTAATATAATCGAATTCGGAAATATAGTTATCGTTAAAAATTAATTGAAATGCGATAGCACGAATTTAATATATTTTAAAAGTAGCAGAACTATCGTAAAGTTTGGTGTTCCGTCAACAGCAATATGGGTGAGTATCGGATAACCATTTAACCGTTGCCCTTAACTTTTTTATTTAAAACGTTTGGGAGAGAAATACAAATACAAAAGTTTATCAAAAAACAGTAAGCTTTGTGCAAGACATAATTTTATGTATAAAGGGTGTTGCAGAAATCACCCACGGTTTTTAATTAAACACCCCGTATATTATGTGCTTGATAATTGCAAATGCACATTTCTTGTAGAATATGTCTTATACCCAAATCCACCAGCTTCTGAGATATATGCGCCGAAGTGGATCGTTGAAAGAAAACAAAATAATAATTATAATAAAATTATATAATTATAACTGACAGTGACGATAATACATTTGGCAAAACAATGAATTTTGTTAAAGAAATTAGAGGCCTAAACATATAAATGCACGTTCCAGACAAAAAAACCTTTCATTTATTCTCTGAAAAATTGCAACACACATCCAGCCTCACCAGTAAGAAGAGATGAAAAGTGAAACTTAAAGTTGAAGAAAATCCCAATATTTCCATAATAAAAATATCGGAATGCATGAAGGAAGAGTTTATTAATCAAACCACTCTCAAAAAAGCAGGTTGCAAGGCGTTCAAAGTTAGGCCTGCCGCAAAATTAACGCCCAGGCATTAAGAAGTTGGCATACAATGTCGAAAAAAATTGACGGAAATGATGCTCATTTAAAAAATATTGGCAGTGATATGATAAATCGAAAAAAAAAAGCAGACAGACGGCCCCAGTAAAGGTCTGGCCTCACATGACGAACGCTAGACCCGTCCGTAGCTCGGCAACGACGACGAGACGACGAGTTCACTTTATTTTTTTCGTGCCGATTTCGTGAGCGTTTCTGTGTGTATAATAGATATCTAGAAGATTTTCACAACAAAAAAGAATGTAGAGAGATTGTTAGAAGAAGTGATATATAATAAAAGACCTGAAGCGCGTATCCTTCAAGGTGGAGGACACTTTCTACAACTCTTCGAGTTTCAATGTTCTACTTTTTTTCAAAAAGGTTGTAAATAATTTATTGACAGACAATTTTGTTAAAAATTATTAACAGTGGGTAGTGTTTTTTTTTTTTAATGAATCGTTTAGTATTCACCTTGTGGTTAGGATGCTAAGTTGTTTCATTAAAACTGTAAAAGTAAAATGAACAGCCATTGTTTTTCTGAAGGAGACTAGTTCGTAAGTAAAAACTAGGTGTTTTGTTTTAGATAGATATTTTATTTTTCACAAAAAAAAGTTGTCGATTTAACCAGTGCGGAAAAGAGGATTTTATTTTTTGAAGCAAAAACCGTACATCGGATTTAAAAAAATGAAGAAAAGAAGAAAATTAATAAATTAAGGACAATTAAAATTGAGATGGTAAGAATTATTTTTATTTTAAGAGAAATAAGTGGCGTACCATCAACGTCTACCAAAATAGAGAGGTGAAATTCCGTATGCTCGTGACTGTTGTATTAAAAAAAAATTGTGGTACGCTAGATAATGCCTCTGGGTGCATGGTATATGTGTGCCAAATTTTATTAGAATATCTAAAGTGGTATTACAGATCTTATAAAAATATATGTTATTTTACCACCCTGTATCTTAAAAGTTTAGACATTTGGGACATGTTCATATGTAGTTTTCTTCTTAAAGTGCGAAGCACACTCTGGTAGCGCAGGGGTACACTAGGACGAAGACGGAGCACACGGGGGTCTCTTGGGGCGTGGGTTTTTAGGTTTAAGGTTATTTGCGGCTTTTTGCTCCTTAACCGGCCTTATATTACTACTTCATATGAAGGTTTCTTTTTTAAAATGGACGCAAAACTCTATTATTGATATTCAATTAGAAAACATCTTATATATGGTGTGCTATTTAAGAAAATCGCGATTTTTCAATTTCAAATGATCTAAATATATTGAATATATTGAATATTTTGAACATATTGAATATATTGAATGTTTTCAAAATATATGAAATATTTTGAATACCCTGTAGCATTGCAGTTCCGTTGCACAAATCTTTATATCACCTTCGAGTAACGCTTATGTCAAAAATAATGGTCCTATCGTAATCTTTTTGCAAGTGTGAAAACTAATATTTTAATACAAAACTTAAAATATTGGAAAAACTATTGGGTAGCTATTACTACGAATAAAAAGGTTGAAGGATCTCAAAAGGATGATAATGAACTTTATCCAATAGTTGATTCACCCTGTCTATATTATTATTTAGGGTGGTTCTCAAGCAACGCATTGATTTCGACAGCCCTATGGAATCTTCTTGTGCCAATTTACGCAGCAATCGATCCGAATTGCGATATGAATCAGGAAATGATAGTCGGGAAGGAGTACTACATCCACAACAAAGAATACCCTCAAAACTACAGCCGGGGATCATCGTGTAGATGGGTGGCTAAAAGTGCGATCGGCACCAAAATTAATTTACAGTCTCCAAATTGTCAAGACGACATGCTGGCTATATCGTCAACCGGTAATGAGACTCTTGAAGACGCACATAATTACTGTGGAAACGGGTCGTTTTCCGCTATTTCGCAGGCAAACACCCTTACAATCGGTAATTGGTTTTGAATAAAATCGGAGATTTTGACTATAGAAGAAGATCTGTAAATTTGAAAGCTGCCTTAGTTGTAATTTCATTAGGTTTTATAATAATAATAGTAAATATTTTGAATCCAGCTTAGTTCTAGTATTAAAAGAAAAATAAGGTCCATTTATTGGAATTACAAAAGTCTCTGTCCTAAACAAATGAATATTTTGGCAATAATGAATTTTTATTATTATTATATTATATAGAATTATTATTGTGGCTTGTTTGAACATTCACGAAAATTCAAATATTCCTGCCAAAACTGGCTTAGAACCGGCACTACTATACTACTATTGTTATTGTAGTATTCGATTAATGTTAAGTAGCTGAGATCAATATATTTATATTCGGTGTATTAAGTAGTTTTGTCTAAATATTGTGCAATAATTTAAAACAATAATAATGTTTATGACGAAGTGAAAGTAAAAATAAAATGAACAGCCATTTTTTTTCTGAAGGAGACTAGTTCGTAAGTAAAAACTAGGTGTATTGTTTTAGATAGATATTTTATTTTTCACAAAAAAAGTTGTTGATTTAACCAGTGCGGAAAAGAAGATTTTATTTTTTTAAGCAAAAACCGTACATCGGATTGAAAAAAATGAAGAAAAGAAAAACAAAATAAATTAAGGACTATTAAGAAATTAAAATTGAGATGGTAAGAATTATTTTTATTTTAAGAGAAATAAGTGGCGTACCCTCAACGTCTACCAAAATAGAGAGGTGGAATTCCGTATGCTCGTCACTGTTGCATGGAATTTAGGTCAAGTAACACTCCCAAAAATTTGGCATTATCTGAAGTATCAAATATATGCTCCTCGATTTCAATATTTCAATAATATTCAATAATATTTTCCAATTTGGAGCTTTCTATTTTGAAAAGTATTGCGTTCGTTTTATTTGTGTTTAGGATGAGTTTACTTTGATTAAACCAGTTTTTGTGCCATGTTCTTGGTGCCATCAAATTTGTATCATTTGCATAGTGAAGCATTGTTTGGCCTGGTTATTCTGAGACAAGATCTAGGTCATTTATGAAAATTACAAATAAGAGTGGCCAGAAACTACTACCCTGTGACTGTTATTGTTATATAAGTGTTAATAGGCATTTTAACTTTTCGCGGTATACTTCCGCAAAATTCGATGCTATTAGACGTCCTCTTGAAACCCGAATTAAATAAAAAACAAAATGAAGCATTAGGTTGACTATATTTTGTATGAAAATAACTGCTAGACAAATAAAGTTAAATTAAAAAAAAAAATCAATGTTTAAAAATAACTGAGATACCTCGTCAAACTTTCTACCAACCCTGTAGGTACTTTCACATGCATTTTTGAACTGTTATTCGAGTATGAGTGTTAGTATGCGTCGCTACGTCCTATACATACAAATTATAAAATTCTTAGAATATAAATGGACGTCAAAAACTCCGCCCCTATTTTTTTTAGTTTTATTCGCGTCGCCTTCAGTAATATCAATTGTCTGCTTGGTGATACTCGTATGCCTCCTTCGTTTCAAGGGTCTGATACTCAAAAATTACTGTCGTAAGCATTGCTTCGTAGCGACAACTCGTGGCCATGACTTAAATGTTGTATCAAAGTTTTTTACTCTTCGTCAACCTTTGACTGAAGCAGTAATTGATGCAAGTATTGAAGGAGCTGATGAGTGTTCGGAGAACCTCAAAAAACTGCGTCAAGAAAAAGAAAAAGCTGTATTAGAGCAACACATTTTGTTTCAATCAGTGTTGTTTAGTTTTCGGCCATTTACACAGATTTCATCATTTTTCATACTCCGTAAAACACTATTGAATTCAATAGGTTCACATTAGATCGTGGAATAGGCCTCACCATCAACATGTACATATTACTAACAAAGTCATTTTTTCAATTCTTGGAACAGCTATATCACGGCAACGGCAATACTTATGCAAAAAAGTGTAGAGATATTTTTTATAAAGGATTGAATGACCTACAATTTTTGTTTGAACTATTTTTGATGTAAAACTTACCGTTTAGCTGAAAACGGGCAAAATCCTATGGAGATTGATGTGGAAGAAGAAATAAAAAAATTATCTAGGTTTCAAAAACGCACCCCTAAGTTGTAGTTAAGCGGTGTTTAGATTCTTGTACTAATGAAATGAACCACGAATCTTAGTTCCTTGTGGTAGGGCATATTCAATAGCCTCCAACCATACCAATATTGTGAAATGGTGTTTTGTGACAGGACTGTTTTCGACGCTTACCTCTCCTGGTGGACAGTTCCGTTGTATCATGACCGCTGTCAAGGACAGTCCGGAAGAACTGGGAGGACCGGCGCTACAAAACCAACTGGAATGCGACTGTGGTTGGAGGATATCGGTAAAACAAACTTTTATTGCCTTTCCTGGAGTGCAACTAAATGATGTGTACTCTAAATACCCCTCAACGAATGTAATTTGATTTAAACTTATGGGATATGTGTCTGTCTCAGTCTAGTATGTATGTATGTATGTTTGTATCCTAATTTTCTGCACTAGGCGTACCTTTAAATTTTTAAATTAAAAAAGAATAATCGGAACTAAAAACTGCGTTCTGGAAATAGGATTGACATTAAACATACATTTTGTAAAAGTCTCATGATCAATATTCGTTCAAGACTAAACTAGAATTGGACCCTATTTTGTCACAGTACATTGAATGTTGGGAATCACATCTTCGATTGAAGCGTTATTCACAGATATTTTTATATTTTGAGGTCTGTTAGATCGGCCATTTCAAGATGTTCAACCTTAAGAAGGAATATTTTTAGAAAAATATCACGAAATTTTTCCATAAATATTACGTTAGATGCACAACTTATTATTTGTATGAATTTTTATGTGCAAAATAAATGCATGATTAAATTGCAAAATTGCTAGAAAACATTATAAGATGGGAAGGTCATTATGAATTTTGTAATAAAAAAAACATGGGCACAAAATGGGAACAATACTAAACAAGCAAAAAGTCTATTTGATTCAATGTAATTTTTAGTTCTAATTAACTTTTTAAATAAAATTGATATTGGTAAATGTAAGAGACACTCTGCTTTACAAATGTCGCATAATTTCTTTCCTAAAATTAATAATATGGTTAGAACTTACGTAAACACATTTTACACTTGCCAACTAAAATGTTTTTGGATTGATATATAGCTCTTCAAATTTCAATGCAATTACCGATCACTCCACTTTTTTGCGAAAACCTTTCCCAACAGGAAAACTAAAATTTATTTCTTCAGACAAAAAACGTTTTGTCTTTTGAATAACCGATGTTACAAAAAGTACTGAATATTGTTTCGCCAATTTTATTAAGGCGACTAATTTATTTGTTTTGGCGATGGAACAACTCCTACAAATTCTTGTAGAAAATTTGAGGATAGTGTTGGCGTTCCAAAATCTACAGTTCAAAAAAATTTAAAAAAGCACGAGTTGAAGATATCGTTATCTTTTTTGGTCTGCTAGATCCTCGGACCTTACTTCCCTTAATTACACCCTATGGGACTAATTGAAACCAAAATTTATAAGCAAGGACCATTTCCAGATGTTCACCATTTGGAACGAATAATTTTATGATTATCAGGAATTTATTAATGAATTGGTCCATAGAACGTAACATATATTGAACGAGAATGAGAGAAAATTAAGCTTCTATTTATTTCTAGGATTAATATTAGGTTGGTTTCGCAATTTATTATTTGTATTTATTACGTAAACGTTACGTAAACGTTAAGAAACGACAAAGTTATTGCGAATTTTATAATCAGAGGAGACAAAATTAAAAATAGGAACTATAGTAAACAGCAAAAATCTATTTTTCAACGTAAATGGATGTAAACTTTTGTCAAATATAAAGGTATTTTACTTTACAAAATTCCTATGCTACTAGAAAAATAACAAGAGAATAAGTTTTTCCGAAAATTAGTAATAAAAATGTGTCCCATATAGTTCCAACTTTCTGAAACATATTGTGTACTTACCAAACTAAAATAGTGGAGAAACAAATTTGGATTTTTTGAGAAATTTGAGTGTTTTTAATAGTCATTTTTTTTAAATGTTTAATAAAAATTAATGGTACGTAACTAATAATCAAATTAAAAACTTATCAAAAATCGCAGCAACACTAGATATTTCTTTATCATGGTTTCTTTTGGAAGCGCAAATTTGTACTTTTCTATTACCGATCGATTCACATTTTCCCAAAAAAAAAAAAATAATAAATTTTATTTCTTCCAGCAGTCCTATAAATGTTTTATATCGTTTCGCACGTCAATAACATGTGTTGCTAGTAATTGACAGAGTGGCAAAATGACAAGTGTGTGATTTCAACTCCCACTTAAGTTGTGCGAAGTTGTGTAAAGTAAAAATATTAAATGAAACAACCGTAAATTGTTGTGCAAACGTTGACAACATTAAAGACGACGAATTTTTTGACGCCATTACAAAGATCGGAAAAGATGATATCATGTAATCATTCATGAGTTTAATGAAAACATATTGTTTTTAAATCACCAGATAGAACTTTCTTAAACTGTTTTTTATGTGTACGACTTAATCAATTCCTATTATAGAGCCTGTTGTTTCTTTATGGATAAAGAAAAGGGATGAAACTCGACCGACCTTTAAAGATGTCCCTTGTGTGGACAACAATTTTGAATATTGCGGAGGTTACTGTGTGATAGATAGGAAAAGATTTTTAGTAATAATATGTTATCGTTCTCATCAAAAAAATTATGAATTCTTTGTACAAGCCTAACAGTAAGATTTTAATATGTGGTGATTTACTTTTTACAAAACTTCCGGATTCCTCCTGCGTACGTTTTTGGTGAGTCGAAATTGCAGTTGCAGTCGAGCTCTGAAGAAGCCAACAGGATGATTGGTGAGTCTAAATTGCTTACGTTTCGCCAATCATCCTGTTGGCTTCTTCAGAGCTTGACTGCAACTGCAATTTCGACTCAGCAAAAACCGACGCAGGAGGAATCCAGAAGTTTTGTAAAAAGTATTACAGTAGCCTGTGGAAGTTTATTTGAAAAATTATGTGGTGATATTTTTAAAAAATTATGTTTTTCTAATGTCCCATTATGATTTTTTTCCCTTGTAAAATGGCCTACTAGAGTGACTTCTTTCACAAGCACAGTGATTGACCATGTGTTTGTAAATTTTAGTAAGGATTTTCTGTGTTATGTTTTTCACAATTATGTGTGTGATCACAGATCAGTGTTCATAGAACTTCAAGTATTTCGAAATGACATCACCAGGTCACCAAACTTCCGTGAATCCAAAATTTTGAATATTGAGCAATCCCTTCGTCTGGAGGATTGGTTTATGTTTATTCCGAGACGGAGATTTATAGTACTTACTAATTTAAAAAATCTGTTTGTTTTTGAGCAGTGCAATGCGATATCGAACGGGGTATTTAAGGAGGTCTGGAAGAAACATAAAAAATTAGTTTCTCAAACCAAAAAAGCCTTCTATCTGTCGATCGTTATACTGTTGCTTGGAGGGTGATTTCGGAGTAGTCGAATGAATGTCGGTATAGTGTTGAGGCTGATATAATGAATAAGCAGAGCGATAAAATCGATATTGAGCTTAATACTGTAGCGTTTGTATTTATGAAAAAAATATTGGTCTGAATGCTATTAGGGATGCACCTTCTATGGAGGAGAAGCTCTTGCATACTTTAAAAAACAATTTAAAAAACAAAAAGTTTTTTGGATCCGATGCCACACCAAGGTTTTTATTAATAAGTTCATTGGGTTTAACAACATTCTTGTTGTGCCAGTTTTCAAGAACAGTAGCTAGTTACCTGAGAACTATCGTCCGGTAACAATTTGAAATCTTATTTCTAAATAGTTTCAGTATGCTTTTGTATATAAATATATTTTTATAGATAGCCAACATTGGTTCAGAGAAAATAGAAGCACTTCAACTGCTGCTAATTCGTATTTATGTAGGATAGTATTTTTGATTCTATCGAACTTGGTGAAACTCTGTTTCAGTAGTTTTTTAGAAGATCGTTCTGAATTGGTATCCCTTAAGTTTTATGACGGAAAGAGAATGGAAAGTGTAAATTCAGCTAGTCAACGAATAGACATGGGTGTTCTCCAAGGTTCAGTTTTAGGCCCTGCACTCTTCATATTGTATGTAAATTTTATATTTAAAATTTTACCTGATGTCTCGTGTAGAAATGACTATGACCAGAAGTGCTGTAGGGTACTCGATAGCTTGATGACATGGTTTGGAAAAATTAATCCATATTTCAATGCAAGCAAAACTTTAACTAAAAGGTTTCATAACTCTCAGAAACAATGTGACAATTTTAAGATCTGCTTAGGCAATGACACTATCTCAGGTAGGGATACTGTGAGGTTTCTAGGATTCAGTTTAGCTTAGCTGATTATTCAAAGTGGAAGTCACATGGTGATACTCTTATTTCAACTCTAAATGCTGTACAGTTGCTCAATTTATGCTATGCGAAGGTGGAGTGTTTACGTTATGGGATCAATTATGGGACTCATTTTTGAAATGTCATTGTATGTTTTTACAATATATCGAATTTTAATTTAGTTGTACTGTAGGCTGTCGATAATTTTGAGAATTTTTAACAATCTGTCCTTGGAGTTAAGAAACAAACGACTATTTAAAAAACAATTAAAAATATTATTTATCAAAAGCATGATCAAGTGTAGCCGAATTTTTCGGACTAAATGTTTTTTTATATGTCAGTTGCACCTTCCATGTATTGAACTGAGGTGGCTTTTACTTGATGAAAATCCATCAAATGTCATATTTGATAAAGACACGGTGTTGTTGAAACAATTGTCATGTAAAAATTTATATTTTCGTGAAAATCTAAACTTTTAGTTCTTATTTATTTTGACCTCCCATGTATTTTGACTATTCCTTTACAATTTTGTAGTTTTCAATGGGAAAATAAATATTATTATTATTTCTAATGGCTGTTATTATTTGTAGCCTAGAATCGTTGGGGGACATGAGCCGAGAATCAACGAGTTCCCTTGGATGGCGGGAATTATAGATCTGCGCATTCGAATGCTATGGTGCGGGGCTAACATAATCTCGGAATTTTTCGTACTGACCGCTGCCCATTGCATCGATCAGAAACCACCCGACATGTTGGCGGTGTTGACGGGCGAGCACAACCTCACTACAGGTAATGCAACATCGAGTTTCGAGTTGATTTTTGGCCAACGCACAGTCTTAAAAACACACAATTTCGAAATGCGAAATTTAAAATTTATTGTGTCTCGTATTTGTAGCATAAAGAACTCAAACACATGTCTCGGAGGACCTCTTTTCCGCGTTTTCATAACAATATCGTTAATATGACAGCATGCAAAGAATTGTTATTATTATTTCTTACTTAAGTAATTGTCTATCCATTTTATTAAAATACTTGAAAAAAGTACGAATACGAAATATATAAATACGAAATGTATAATTATTATGTTGTTAATACATTAAAAATGCAAAAGCAAAAAGAATTGTCTTCTTTTTTTTTCTGGAGGACATTGGATGCTAATTAAAAACTAGATTTTTGTTTTAGATAGATGTTTTATTTTTTAACCAGTGCAGTGGCGACTGAATTAACAAAGATATTATTTGTTCATAGACAGCGGCACGCATCTGATTTCCTTAAAAAATTGTCATTTTCATTCATTCATGAGCAGATTTGATCTCCTTTTTAGTCGATTTTGACTTAAAAATGAAAAATATGCTGTCATATTAACGATATTGTTATGACTGAAGAAGTTTTTAAAAAGAAAAAATTAAATTTCTTTAGAAATGATTGGAGATTGTAAGAATAATTTTTATTTTAAGAGAAATTAGTCGCATACCATCAGTGCCTGTGATATTTCGACCAGCGGAATGGGTGCGTAGTGTGTGTTTGTCGGCTCCATATTTTTAATCAACTTTAGTGGTATTTTGTTTCAGTTAAGTATGTCAAATACTCATATCTTCATCTTTACATACTTCTTGTTGAAGACTTTTTGTGATTGGAAGTTATTTCAAGTAAAACATCAAGTAACCTCAAACTCTGTACCTCAAATTGTGTACTAATTTCTGAAAGCAGATTGAGGTAAATCTTTCTCAGCGTTTTGATTGCTAACTTTCGAATTTAACTGATAGCTTGAAATCTCTTCAACTTACTGTAGGAAACAATTCTATGGACTTGTGTAACTTAAAGGCTGCAGTCAACCGAAATAGTCAGATGATCAAAAAGAACTCGCTTTGGTTCCACGGCATTGATGACAGTAAGAATGAGGACTCAGTTGAAGTCCTTGTGGCGGTTCTGAATGATAAACTAGGAGTTTCCTGTAGCAAGGAAGGCGGCGGGGATAAACCTCGTATTTTGCTGGGTAGTTTTGTCCATGGGTGGAAAGAAATGCTATTTTCAGCGGCAAAACATCACTTAAAAATACTGGTTATTCCATCTCACCAAAATTAGGTATGGCTTGCTAATGTTGGCAAAAAAGAAGTTTGGTAACGCTAACGTCTGGACATCTGGAGGAAAAATATACCACTGGAATGGCCAGGCACGTGAAAGATCTGTAATTTCAACGGAGGATGACCTAAAATAGGACTGGTTAAGGTTTGGTTAGTTTTTGGGCTTACTGCTTGTTCGATGCGATACGCTTATTTGTAAATACATCAAGCGATGCTTTTTAGTGTGATGCATACTCTTTGCTAAGCGGGTTATGAACAATGGTTTTTGGGAACTTGTTTATGTTTTGTTTTTAAGTTGCATAATAATTTTTGGAGCAGAAAACGCATAATTATAAGGGACAAGCACTGCTCGAGTATTGTCATTTTAATGTTCGGTCTGTACGTACTTCTTTTGTTCTTTTTTCCACAAAAATTAATGATCTGTCTTTAGACGTTATTAGTTTATCCGAAACTTGGCTTACCTCAAATATTTCTAGTGTACCATTTAATATTAAAAATTAGGAATTGTTAAAGTGTGATTGTGATGTTAGGGTGTGGCTTTTTACATTAAAAAGAATCTAAAACACAAAGTTCTTGATGATATCGTCTATAACAATGTAGCGCTTGAACAAATGTGGATATCTATTAATATTGCTAGTAGGAGGGTTTGTTTCGGAACCCTTTACAGACCTCCCCACTTGAATCTGAATCTGCAGTCCCTTGAAATAACCTTAGTGCGATTAATTTCTGAATATGGTTACGTTTTATTTGGAAATGACTTTAACGTTGACCTTCTTGGAGTGAATTGTAATAATGGTACCGCTATTTTTTCCAATTTTTTGAGCAAGTATAGCAAAAAATAGCCAAAAGCACTGTCTAAATATAAGAAACAGAAAACCGAACAATCCTGGATTGAATACAAGGAGTTGAGAAATCTTGTAAATATGGCTGTTAAGTCGGAGAAAAAGGTTTTTTACAACACAAATTCCTTACGAATTCGAAAAACTTCTGGCGTGTACTTAGATATCTGAATGTCTACTCCGGACCTTCACTATGCTAATGAACTTAATCAATACTTTTATAATAAGACCCCGCAAACAGACTTAAATAACGATTTCATTAACCAGTTCTGCAACAACAATAACTCTTTAAATCCAGAAAAACATTGTCAAGTGTTAACCCTAACGAAGTAGGAATAATAATACATCAAATTAGAACTGATGCCGTGGGGTCTGATGGGATTGATAGGAAGATGATGTTATACGTTATCCCCCAACTTTTGCCGCATAATACGTATATTATCAATAAGTGCTTGTCTACTAACAATTTCTGTAAACCCTGTAAATACGCTAACGTCATTCCTGTCCCTAAAACCTCTCAACCGCATGATGTTTCTCAATTCCGACCTATTAGCATTCCCCCTACTATATCTAAAGTGCTAGTAAAAGTTGTTGAGAAGCAGCTTACGGACATTATGGTACAAAAGTTTGTGACGATATATTTCGGGCAAATGATGTAGGCCTGAATACCTGCTTAATATTGCTTGATTATAGCAAGGCATTTGACACCCTGGGCCATCGCCTACTCTTTGCTAAACTGAAATACTTTGGTTAGTTTTGGTTAGTTTTGGTTAGCTGTAAATTTATTAAGCATTGGTTGTCCCATCAGTACGCAGACGACACTCAAGTATATTTCTCTTTTAATTACACTCAAATTAATATATCCATTAATAACATACCTACGTGCTCTCAGTGATAAAGTAAGACGCTTATAATTTTGCTAAAGATAAAGGAAAAATAATTAGTCTATAAGCTGCCAAAGTTTTCTTAAATGACTTTCTCTTACGGCCACTTGCCGAATGCAAAAATCTGGGTCTGCATTTGGATAATAGTCTGCGTGTTGAAGGTCACGCAGCTTCATTGATCCAGAAATCGTTTTACAAGCTTCGGATTCTCTACTGTAATAAAGATATTCTGGACACAGCAATTAAGTTAATTAAGAGGATTCTCGCTGGCTAACATTAGACAAACGTTTTAAATCGCTGCTTTTAGTATTAATTGAAAAAGTAATATCTCTCCAACGTCCGACGTATCCTTTTGCACACTTACTCTTGGATCAAATATTCATTCGGTTAATACTCGCCACAGGGGGCTGTTTATCGTTCCCAAATATACTTGAGCACAGTTCCAACGCAGTTTACCGTATAATGCTTCCAAGACTTACAACAAACTCCCTCTCTAATTGAGATCAATCACCTTATTGACTTCCTTCAAACAAACACTTAAACAAAACATTTATCATAATAGAAATCGATAATAGAACTAGTAACTATCAAATTGAACATATATGTCTTTTTTGAATTCACTCTAGCAGTGTTAAAATTATTAAAAATGTTTTTTTTTCACAATTTAACTCTACCATTTTGAATGAAAGTCTACGTAATTTAGATGCTACATTTTTTTTATAAATAGTGTATGTCTTTTTGAATTCACTCTAGCAGTGTTAACATTATTAAAAATGCTTTTTTTTCACAATTCACAATCATATGCTACTTTTTTTTTATAAATAGTGTCATATGCTCGTTGTAGGGAGTTGCATGAGAGCAACTATATTGGATGCCACCCCCACTGTGTTTTTTTTGTAATATATCTCCTTCGAAACCGAATAAAGGCCCTTTATTATTATTATTATTATTATTATTATTATTATTATTATTATTATTATTATAAATTCCGTGAGCCCGCCACTGGTTTAAATAATGCCTCTTGATATTGTTTCAATCGTTTTTTTCATTTATTCATTAGAATGTAATGTAATGTATCATGGAATATAAACAGCAACGGTATTTCGTAGAATAGAATAGAATAGATTATTGACCATGTTTATAATATGTATGTAAAATACAAGACAATGAATAAATTATATAAAGAGTGTATAAATTATATAAAACAGTGTATAATACATAAGAACAGGACAGTGTATATAACAAATATAAATAAATAAATAAATAAATAAAAGAAAGCAAAATGAACAAAATTAAAGTTTAGTGATTTTTTTTTGCTTTTGGTATATTTAAATCTTGAAGCACGAAGTAGCTTGTTATTTCTAGTTAAATAGTCATGGTAAGAGGAGTTCTGACTAAAGCTGTTTATGTTTTTTTGTATGATGATGTATGTGATAATAAATTAAAATAAAACTGCCAAATCGTTGAAGTCTTCTCTTCGTTTTAATTTTATATTGCCTAGAAAATAATCGTGCAAAACCAATGCAACCATCCCTCTTCGAAAAACTAACACAAAAACATTTGTCACTATTAAATGGCAATCTGTTGGGTTTACACCAAGAGTCAACAATTTTAAGAACCCTCTGAATATTTTTATATCATCTGCAAATAGTAATAATTTACTACATATAGAAAAATAGAAAATATGAGGGAGGCAAGGTTACTCCGTTGTCCTACTAGCGGCAATGAACTGATTTTGCCAATCATGCCAATACCTCATTCAATATAAGGGAGACTATTTTTTATATATTTAATAATAATAATAATAATAATAATAATAATTTATTTGCGCTTCGTGACCTACTATAAGAAGACATATAAATATAATAGTGTTATATATATTCAGGAAGCCCTTAGAGCATGCAATACAACGTATTTATACAAACGGCCAAATAAAATATATGAGAGGAAACAAATATCAAGTAAATAGGTTTATGTTTGAAAAACCTCTAATGCTTCACCAACAAAAACAACAAAAAAAAAATCTTCCTCCGAGTTTGATTGGTGCATATCGATAACAACTGGGAGAATATCAGATGCAACGATCAATTTTTCCTTTTCCCAAATTTTGCTTTTCAGGGGGTCTGTGTGCCTACAATAGTTGTTCCATTTTCGGGTGAAACCTGAAACAAACCGTTATGAATACTAGAAGTATTATTATTATTTTATTTGAACAAGTACGTTTTGTAAACTTCATTTACAAATAAGTATCCAATCCTTTGCAGAAGTTCAAACAAAACTTTAAAGCAGATCTTAACAACTTGAATTTATTTGCAACAAATCACAACTTAAAACTTAACTCTCAAAGGATATTCGAGAAAACGAAGAATCTACGTTCAGATTGAAAATAATGTTTTCCAATTGTAAATACAGCAAAAAATGTAGGTTTGACTTTTGACAATCTTTTGATTTTCACATAAAAAAAAACTTAAAGCAGTTAAGCACATTTACAGATTAATGCGATTTTTAAATCTCAAACAAGAATTATTTTTTCTGCAACGCCTTATATATATAAACATATATATATATATATATATATATATATATATATATATATATATATATATATATATATATATATATATATATATATATATATATATATATATATATATATATATATATATATATATGATATCATCCGTTCGCTCGTTGAACTCCGACTGGAATCCTGCAGACGTTTCGCCAAAATCTCACTTGGCATCTTCAATGCTAGCGCTCCGAAAACACGTGAAACACAGTGTTCGAAGTGTTTTCGGAGCGCGAGCATTGAAGATGCCAAGTGAGAAGATTTTGGCGAAACGTCTGCAGGATTCCAGTCGGATGCAGGATTTGCAGGATTCCAGTCGGAGTTCAAAAACGAACGGATGATATCCCGGAATATAGTGTCATCACATTTTTCCATCCGTGAATCAATACGTGAGAATATATATATATATATATATATATATATATATATATATATATATACAGGTTGGTAAAATAAAAAAAAATCTACTATCAGAATAATCAATTTAAATATTCAATAGTTGTTTTTATTTATCTTTGGTGTTATAGTTAAACTCGCATGGCAACGTCATCGTCGATTTGTGTTTGAGTCTTCTTTTTCTCCAATTGGTCCCCTTGAGGGCAAGCTTCCGTTCAGCCATGCTCAAGCGGTTCTAAATTGGTCTTTAGTGGCACCACAACATCCTTTTTTTTCTAATATATTTTCTTTTTGAATTGTTAGTTATGCGATACATTAGCGCGCTTCTAGCGTTCCATGCTATTGTGGACTTTAGAGTCTTCTCACTAACATCTTTCTTTTAGAAAGGTTGTTATACTCGAGAGTGGGTCCTTCTCGTCAAAATTTGATTCGTAGTGTAATTCGTGAAAGTGTATTGCCTTTTCTTGACAAATAAAGGACACAATATATTATATTATTATATATTATTTTATTATACTATATCGTTTGGCGATTTGTTTTATTTATGAAACTTGAAATTTGGGATGAAACCCGCAATTTTATCACTTGAAAATATTGCAATATGTATTCAAATTTTGTTTTCTTCTCAAAAATCTTGGGACGACATTATATTATTTATAAAAATGATTTGCGCTTTAGGAAACGACACCCCAGCGACTGCAATTTATCTGGTTAGCACCTACGTAATCCACCCCGACTATGAAGACACTTATTACACCGGTGACATCGCTATCGTTCAAACCAAGACCCAAATATTATTCAGTTTCTATGTCGGCCCCATATGCTTACCATTTCAGTACACGAATTACAATTTCGTTGGTGAAGTTGTTACGATATTAGGTAAGTTCCTCCAATCGAATAAATTCTAGTTTAGATGAAAAAAAAACTGTGTTAAAGCAGCCGCCTTAATCTTCTAATCTTGTTTTGGAAATTATTGAAAGCGTTGTGGTGAAACGGTAAATTTGAAATCGTCCAAACACTTACTATAACGTACATATTAAACAATATCATTCTTAACATGACCAATGGAAGGTATTTTATATATTGATTGACAAGCAAAATTAATAATCAATACATTTTAATCGCTGGTCTTCCTTTTATAAGAATACGTGAAAGACTTATTCAATGAACAGAAAACAATGCAAAAATAAGACCAAAGTTTTTCCAAGTTTTGGCCTGTGTTTTATTTTTCGACAATTTCGTACCGATACTAATACATTTTTTCTCATTTTTCTGGATTGATGGGTTTATTTACTCCTTATGACATTGACAAAGGACCAATCGGCTGGAAGTCAGTGTTGAATCAAATTTATTGCTGAACACCGAAAGTGGTTGTTTAGCTAAAATTTTTTGACGTCCATACATTTTTACGAACAAAATATTGAAACTTTTCAAACCGTGCTAAAATATCACAAAAGAGAACAAAATAAATATTACCTGAACGTGAAAAAACTACGAAGATATATAATATATATAATTTGTAAGTTTAGTTAGGAAAGGAATTTTATTTAATACAAACTATTACTCAGTCATTTTTTCGTTCTCTTATAGTAATAAGATGACCACAATAATCAATCTGGAACGTTTATACGTTAAGAGCGGTCGGTTGTTACTTCTAAAAGATTTCCTAATGGTTTAACAACAAAAAAAGGTTCTTCTGTCATGTGACCTTTACCAGCCAATAGACCAAAAGGAAAAAGCCGTCATTATTATGATATTCGCATTTGATAAAGGCACGGTGTTGCCGAAACAGCTGTCATTTAAATATATTTATGTGAAAATCTGTTCTTATTTAACTATTTTAAATGGATTTTCATCAAGTAAAAGCCACTTCAGTACAAAATGTAATATTTTGATTAATTAAATTGTATAAAAGATTTGATTGTTTTTGTAAGTGTATTTTGTTTCTCGTTTTATAAATTTTACTGTACTAGGATGGGGCAGTATGGAATATTTTGGGCCTACTTCCGACGTGATATTGGAGACACTTGTCACTATAGTTTCGAACGAGCAATGCGCCCAACAGTTTGGTATGATCATCGACAAACAGATATGTACATATGGTGAAAAACGGGACGCGTGCTATAGAGATTCCGGAGGACCGTTGCTGTGGGCGCACGCGAACTCTGCCAGGCTGCACCTCATCGGGATCATATCACAAGGACGTCTGTGCGGCGGCGACATTCCCTCAGTCAACACCAAGGTTACTCCGTATTTGAGTTGGATTGTTTCCACAACTGGTACGTTCCTTACTGGTACATGGGTATTTATTTATTTATTTATTTACCTATTCTATCATATCAGCATTTAACTCGAACAGATGTATGTCAAACCCATTTAAAAAAAAAAACTATTTTAACTTTGTGCAGTTACATGTTTATGTTTTTCAAAATAAATCCGGTTTTGTGTTGAACAGTAATTTTATTTATAGATTACTGTTTGTAGTCTTGTATTATGCATCATTTTATTTTATTACTTTTTTTTACCATTATTATTCAAAGTATGATTATTATGATTATTAGATTATTATTATGAGAATTAATTAAGTTAAAAGAATATAACTTTTTCCGAGACGGTTAACACACAAAAGGCTAAAGAGTAGATTTTGTTAACATCGACATTGGTGCGCCGAACTGGAAAAACAAATTGATAATTTAAAAAAAATTAAATGCGACACCGATGAAGTTGCTTAATTTTGACTGATTATAACTAATATCGATATCTCTGTACCGATGTTGGATTTGCATAGTATGATGCAAAGTATCATTCTTGGACTGTAATTCTGTATTGTACAGGCTACCTAACAATAACAGATGCTGTATAAAATGCTTTAAAAAATTAAATGAAAAGAAAATGGTCAAAAACCAGATGAAAATACTAAGTAAAATCTTAAACAGTGAGAGAAATTGTGTCCTTTTTTACTAAATGGCTTTGAATGTCAAAAATCCAATCTTATCTCTTATTGTGCTAAATTTAAAATAAAAATTAAATTTCATAAAATTCTATAACATCATAATCAACCTTTCCTGGGTTCTTTGCTATTAAATAAAACCTTTTTACTGCCTTGCACTACACATATAACTAGAAGATACTTAAGGGAAAAAAATCCAACATGTGCAACAAAATAACATTTTAAATGCAATTATTTGACCGCCATAAAAACTTTTGTTTTTCTCTTCATCAAGTTATTGTCCTCCATTATAACTGCGTTTTATTTTTTACCAGGTGTGACTTTTTGTTCCCGCTAGACACGGCCTCTACAGAAGACTGCATCATTGCTATTTTGCAAATAATAAGTAAAATAATATTCGATTAATTGTATTTATGTTACTGAGGAATCAATAAATGTTTATATGGTTGAAAAAACGTTTTAGTATTGACCCTCGATATAAATAAAAAATATAAACATTTTATAAAAATCATTGTGTAAAATATATTCGTTTTCCGTTGATGACAGTGGCGAGTCGCTGATAGTATTTTGAAGTTTGTCAACTCTAAGGTTCACGTGACACGCCTAACGCCTATTAACGACTTTCAAAGGTACATTTCACAATAACTCGATTAAAAATTTTGGAAGATTTGATTGGGGTTGAAAAAAAGATTTTTTTTGTCTGTCTCTTCTTCGATCTCAGTATACCGTATATATATTTTTGCTATGTTATATATCTGCAATTGTTTTATATCTAAAATAGAAAAAAATCAGTTGTGAATAAAATGTGTTTTATTAATGGTACCAATCGGCAGTCCTTCACTTTTACCATCAAAAGCAAAAGGTTAGGACCTGCTTTTTCTTAAGTTTATTACGTCAGTTCCGTTTCCCACGGGTCCGAGCCACTTCGGACATTTCCGGGATTTTATCGCACGGGTTTGAGAGCAATCGGTTGTTTTCGGAGATTTTACCACACGATTTGAATTTCGACGTTTATCAATTCTGACGGTCATGTCAGTGAATGTATTCTTGTTGTTTTGCAAAAATGTAGGTACCCAAAAACTAATACACAGAAAAATGTTATGCAATATATCAGACCATTTAAATACTATGTGCTATAAGCGATAATGAAAATCTAGTGGACTAGTCGGTAAGTAAAGTGGCATTTATAATTTAAGTTTCGCACAGAAATTTTACATACCGTTATGATGAACTTTATTAGATTTTACAGTTTTTATATTAATATCTTGCCAAGACCAATTGTACCATTTTCAAATATCCATGGCTCATCAGAACAAACAAAAAAAAGTTGAAAGTTGGGACCTGCTTTTTCTGGCTTATACGATTCTAAAAATTTAATCATCTTAAAAGCTATGTCTTTGGATGATTTTTTTCCCAATTGCCGTCTTTTTCTTTAAAAAAATACTTAATGACAATTCTAAAAGTTAAATAAACAACGTAACGTTTTAAAATTGTATTTATTCCGTTGTTTATATGACATATAGAATAATGCATCTCTCTCTGTCTAACGTGCACAGTTAAAAAGAGACAACATTAGCAGAACCGATCGGCAGGATACACGAATAGGTTTGATGGCAACTAGTAATAATTTTGTTTGAATACGACGAAATTTAGTAATCGGATAATCTGTTATCATTTTTAATTTGTTAAATTGCGATTTTTTCGTGACGGTCGTAGAAAAAGTATGCAACACGTTTCGTAAACTCTTTATCTCACTCGCTTATTAAGCACTCGCTCCGCTAGTGTCAAATTAACAATGCCGTTTACCGCACTTGTTGCATGATATACTATTTGCTACTCCCGTCTGTAAAATACCTAATTACCCACCTATCTAGCGTGAGTTAAGCTTCACTTTACCACGTCAGTTTCGTTTTCCACTGATCCGAGCCACTTCGGAAATTTCCGCACGGGTTTGGGAGCAATTAATTTTATGTTTACAGAGATATTTCCACGCCTCAAATTTTAACGTTTGTCAATTCTGACGGTCATGTCAGTGAATGTATTCGCGTTGTTTTGCGAAAATGAACCCAAAAACTAACGCAAGTAGAAAAACTATACTATTCAACACGATTTGTAAACTTTTTAAGTCACTCGTTTATTAAACACACGCTCCGTATGCATTCTTCATTATTGTATTACTTACTAAAAAAATGAATCAAAGCTTCAAAAAAAGGGTTTCATTACTAACCACAAAATTACTGCCGCCTACAACAATAAATTAATCAATTTGATGCTTGTGTTTTTATTTGTATTTAACTGCTTTAAAAACAGATCGCGGATGATTCTGTCTTGATAGCGGATAATATCCAAGACTTACAACAACTGATTACTCTACTAAACGACGCCAGTAAAAACTATGGACTAAACATAAATAGTAATAAAACAAAGTTTATGATAATCAGTAGGGACAGGGTGCCTTATGTAAATGCGCAACTCGTCCTCGATGGAATGGCTTTGGAACGAGTCAAGAAATATAGATACTTGGGTAGTTGGCTGTATGACGATTGGGACAACGACAAAGAAATCAAAGCCAGAATAGAAATAGCCCGGAGCTATTTTCTCAAATTTAAACATATACTTACCAACAGAGACACAAGCCTGAACCTAAGAGGACGATACGTCGAGTGCTGTATATGGTCCGTTCTATTATATGGTATGGAAACATGGACGCTCAAAACAACATCAATTAATAGATTAGAAGCGTTTGAGATGTGGACTTACCGCCGTATGCTGAGAGTATCATGGGTCGAAAGGGTTACAAACGAGGAAATTTTGAGAAAAATGGGCAGAGACAGAGCAATTCTATTACACATAAAAAAACGAAAAACGGCCTATTTCGGACACATAATGAGGAACCCAAAATATCGGCTTCTCCAGCTAATCGTCGAGGGTAAGATAGAGGGCAAGCGTGGCGTAGGAAGGAAACAAATGTCATGGCTTAGAAACCTAAGGGAATGGACTGGCTTGAAAAATATCGGGGACCTTGTACATACAGCAATGGACAGGGTAGCATACGGAAATGTGATCGCCAACATCCAATAGTAGTGGATAGGCAGCTGAAGAAGAAAAACAGATCTTTTTAGTATCCCAGTGGTTTGAAGCATTATTTACATGCGGGTAAAATGAAAAAAAAATCAATACAAACATCACATAATTATTTTATGTTATTGACGTCTTCATGTATTCTCTTACGCGTCACGCCACGGGTAGAGCAAATTAATACTGTTTAAGAGCGACAGAAGACAGGGAGACCATCACGTTCGCGCAGGAAACAATGACGTCACCGTCCTCTTTACTAAACATTCGGGCTCTAAGCTGTGTAGTGACATCTGCGCGAGGGATCCGCAACCATTTTAGAGGCAAAATTTTCCTCAACACATTGTTTTAACCGTTAAGTTCCGGTTTTAATTTTATTTTATAAACAAGGTGAAATTCAATAAAATTAAAATTTTCTTATTCTATTAGAATTTACGAATTTTCTCCATTTTATGCAAAATTTATACATTTTCGTGCCATAACAACCTCATCATTCTGCCCAATTACATTTGCATTTTATATTGATTGCACAGAATTCAAAGATTCTTTTGATAAAAAAAAGTTTTAATTTCGTTGATGGGTTGAAGGGGAGGGCGGTGTTATGGGTGGGGTCATAACTTCCCTTTATGAATTTTTCAAAGAAACTTCCATGGGCTGCGTCGGTTATTGAAAAACTGAACGTTTCAAAAAAGAAAAATCGAACATAAAATTTTATTCTATAAAACAAAAATTCTTGCATGTAATCAGTTCTTCTACCAACGAAAAATAGTAGAGTCTCTAGAAATCTATAAACAACCTAACAATCTTAACCGCGACTCAGGTCTCTACCTCTCACCAATATGGGAATCAGTCACCCGAGGCAATTTGCAAGTTTGATTCAACAATCTTCTAACCAGAATCACATTTAAAAATTTGAGAAACTGACGTCAACACTAGTAAAACCATCAAACTCTTCTACCGAACCATCTATATAACCCAACCTTAAATTAATTATTAAGACTGACTCTCAGCACCACTGGTCCTCCAACATATTTTCTAGCAAAATATCTAGCTTCTATAATAAAACCGTTTACAAGGAAAACGCCAGTAAATTTGATTCAACAACAAAGCAGGAATCCAGGAGTTTTGTAAGAAGGTGAGCAAATCTGGGAGAGTTTTTGTTGATGGGGAAAACATCAAGTTTGGGTTTTTGTTTATTGCTTATGGTGACATCGAATGGACTTGACGGAACCTACCACCGATCAACTTACTTTTGTTTGACACTTTTTTTAATGCATATCCAGAGTCAGCAGTCAGAGGCTATTAACTAAAAGATGGGGAAGCATTCTGACCCGTTTGCTAATGACGGCCAGGCATTAGAAATTTCAAAAAAGTTACTTTTTTTGTATTTGATTGTTTTAGCTGACGAAATTAAATTTAAATATTGGGTTGTTCGGAAAGTCATTTCGTTTTTTTTTGGGAACATGAAAGACAGTTTTCGTATAATGAATAAATATTTTATTAAATTATATATCGGCCATTCTGGTCCAACACCTTTTGCCATCTTTCTGGCAGTAACATAATTCCCCTCTCATAAAAGTTTTGGTCCTTGCTGGCAAAAAACTGGTTCAGGTAGTTTTTGACATCTTCATTTGAGGTAAAGGTTTTGCCATCCAAAAAATTTTGCAGGGACCGGAACAAATAGTAGTCGGAAGGCGCCAGATCTGGAGAATATGGTGGATGTTGCAGTACGTCCCATTCAAGCTGTAAAAGTTTTTGGCGAGTGACCAAACTTGTGTGAGGTCTCGCATTATCCTGGTGGAACACTACACCCTTCCTGTTGATTAATTCGGGCCTCTTCTCTTTAAGTAAATCATTCAATTTGTTCAGTTGATGACAATAGACTTCATTAATCGTTGTATTGTCCGGCAAAAGCTCAAAAAAAAAAAACGATTTCTTTGACATCCCACCAAATGGAGAGCATCACCTTTTTTTGGTGAATGTTGGCTTTTGACACGCTTTGAGCCGGTTCATCTTTTCTGCTCCATGACCTCTTGCGTTTAACATTGTTGTATCAACCCATTTTTCGTCCCCAGTAATAATCCGCTTCAAAAATGGATCTATTTCTTGACGTTTGAGGAGCGAATCGCACACGTCAACGCGACGACACCAATTTCGCTCCGTAAGGACATGGGGCATCCACACATCGAGCTTCGAGGTTAAGCCCATGCCTTTCAAATGGCCATAAACAGTCGAATTCGACAAATTTAATCTCTCACCGATCTCTCGTGTGGTTATTCGCCGATTTGCATCAACTAATGCCTTTATCGCATCTTTGTCAGCTTCGACCGGCCTTCCAGACCGTGGTGCATCTTCGACATCAAAATTGCCGGATCGAAATTTTGCAAACCAGGTCTGGCACTGGCGTACTGTTAACACGCCTTCTCCATACACATCCGTCAATTTTTTCTCGCTTGGACAGCATTTTTACCTTTTCTGAAGTAAAAAAGTAAAATATGACGAAAATGCTGCTTAGTGCTCTCCATATTTAAAAGGGCACCAACCAAAAACTACTGCGTAGAATTAATAGAATTTTTTCACACACAAGCCTTGCAATATCAGCTCTCAAGACATATAATGGTTATGCGGCTTAAGTGTGAAGTTGGTTTCGAAAAAACGTAATTAAGTCCTCTGACGGGAAAAAACGAAATGACTTTCCGAACAACCTTATAGTTTTTTGCGGTATAATACGAAAGGTATTGTTTCGTATAATCGACAAAATTAATTGAAATACGATAGAACGGATTTAATATAGCATTAAAGTCGCAAAACCATCGTACGGTTTAGTGTTGTGTCAACGACAACATGGGTGAGTACAACGCAATAGCACACCAGATGAAAGCTGTATCGCTTTTTTTTTTCTTTGTAAAAACTGCTAACGGATTATTTAATAAATTAATTGTGCAAAGTCTATTTAGGCAAAATCACTTTCAAAAATTTCTAAAAATGTTGATAGCGGTTGTTTTTTATTGAAAATTTCACAAAATTATCGTCGAGCAATAAAATAATATACTATAAGGAACAAAATAAATTGTAACTTGTCTATATGCACTCTTGATATTTTTTTTATACAAGGTGAGTCCAAAAAGTGGGTATCCGGTTAATGAGTATATTTAGAAATATGCCGATGATACCAACCTGCTTGTAGGTGGAAATAATCTCACTGAGGTTAGTGATAAAGGCAACGAGATTTTTACAAGGGCTTATGACTGGTTTCTAGGAAATAAATTGATATTAAACAAAGAGGAAACGAATTTAATTATGTTTAGAACTAAATTATGTAGAGTTGAAATAGCATTAGGAATGGAGATATTTAAAGAAAACATTAGTATTGTAAATAGCACTAAATTTTTAGGTTTACAAATTGACGAATTTCTTGATTGGTCTGAACATATTGATTATCTGCTAAATAAATTAGATTCAATTTGTTATGGAATTAGAGTGCTTGTACCACAAAAGGTGTCCAGTCTCCACCCGACCCACCAAAATATTTATTTTTTACAACAATTGTAATTTTTGAGGTATTGTACTACCACTTCAGATATTTTAATAAAATTAGGCACACATCAGGAGGATTTGAGTGCACTACGATTTTCTTAAAACACGCCAATCATTCAATCATCAATCTTCAATCATTTCTAAAAAAAATAATTTCTTAATAAAAGTCTCATCTTTGCATAAATTAGTTTTTATTTTTAAGTAAAAACCATGCTACGGACTAAATAAAAATTGAGAGATAAAATCTGCCCATAAATGCCGTGTCACAGAGTGTCTATGAACAAATTAAAAGTCGATTAATTATGTCGGCACTGTACTGGTTAAATTGAGATTTTTTTTTGTGAAAAAAAAAATGTCTTAAACAAAATGTCTAGTTTTTAGTTACCAGGTAGTATCCTTCAGCAAAAAATATATTGGAAGACTGCTTTTAGTTTTACAGTTTTAATGAAATAAATACCCTAATAACAAAAGAGATAATAAACGAATCTTATTTAATTTAAAAAAAAGCACTATCTACTATTATAAATTTTTAACAAAATTATCTGTTAATAAATTAACAACAACCTTTTTGAAGAAAAGTGGATTACAGAATATTCTCCACCTTGATGGATACACGGTTGAACTCTTTTAAGATGCAACATAAGAAAAGGTCCAAACCATCTAAATCTGGGGAACTAGGGGGCCAAGATTGAGGGCCACCCATCTGTTATTAAATGTGTGATTTAAATATTCTCTTAGTGCCACATTGAAGTAAGCAGGCGCGCCGTCATACATGACCACATTCCGTTCCTAATGTGTTACTTCTTCTACCAATATTGGAAAAATCCTTTTCCAAAATCCCGCGATAATTATGGTCATTTAGTCTTTCTGCAAGAAAAAATATCCAATTTTCGTTATCACACTAAGGAAAATGCGCAATTTTGTCCAAAAACCATTGACAAAAATTAACACCCAATAGAAAATCTCTGGGAAGCAACGTTTCGACTCGGACTGAATATGATATGGGTACAATAGAAAATCGTGCAAAATTTTCTAAACCAAAAGATGCAAGAGATTTAGATTATTTCCAATTTTTCTAGTACTAAGTTCAGGATTTTTAATTATTATTATTTTTTCATTTCTTCAAAAGAACTTCCACAGGATACTGTAATACTTTTTACAAAAGTTCTGGATTCCTCCTACGTCGGTTTTTGCTGAGACGAACTTGCTGACGTTTCGCCAATCATCCTCTTGGCTTCTTCAGAGCTTGACTGAAACTGACTCGTATTTTACTCTGTACATGCTTATATATTGTTTGAGGGGGGCGCTAATGAGGAGTATAAACACGGTCTCGAATGACTGATTCCCAAATTGGTGACAGGTAGAGACCTGAGTCGTGGTTAAGATTGTTAGGTTGTTTATAGATTTCTAGAGACTCTCGGATTTTTCGTTGGTAGAAGAATTGATTACATGCAATTATTTTAGATTTATGAGTGACTTTTGGACAAGTGGTAAATGTGGTTTTGACGTTATATTTCTTTAGAACTTTTGATATGTGGTCAGTGATGTTTTGAACGTAAGGAAGGACCACAGTGACAAGTGTAGGATTGCTTTCGGCATCTTTGCTATTGGAAGGTTGTGGTGAAGTGTATTTTTTGATGGAACGCTTAATATCTTTAATGTGAAAATTATTAGAGAGAAGAACAGAGGTAAGGTATATTTTTACGGCTCTGTGAACAAGAAATTTGTATAGAATCTCGGATTTTTCGTTGGTAGAAGAGCTGCAAGAGGCAAGCATTTTAGTTTAATCGAATAAAATTTTATGTCCGGTTTCATGAGTGTGTTCGGCAACAGCTGATGAGTTTATTTGTCTTAATCGCAAGGCTCGTTCGTGTTCTTTTCGTCGGGTCCCTCCAATGTACTTTTTGCCGCATATGCATGGAATGCTGTAAACTCCTGGCATCTCAAATGGAATTTTGTCTTTGACGGACCGAAGATGTTGAGGGATTTTTGGACAAGTGGTAAATCTGGTTTTGACGTTATACTTCTTTAGAACTTTTGATATGTGGTCAATGATGTTTTGATTGTAAGGAAGGACCACAGTGCTATTGCCATTGTAAGGTTGTGGTAAAGTGTATTTTTTGATGCATGCATTAAGGTATCGGCCTGTGTGCGTAGGTTTTCTGTAAACACAATGACCCAATGTTAAGTGTGATGTTCTGTTGATGAGAATATCTAAGAATGGCATGTTATTATTAACTTCCAACTCAATGGTAAAACGTAAGTTAAAAATCTACTAATCGACGTAGTTTCCATAATTTTGGTTTTAGATGAAAGGTGTCTAGAGCTTTCTTCTCAAAGGCCATAAATATATTCGCAACGACTAGACCATAGCTGTTCCCGACGTGCTGTGAGAGTCGTGAGGGGCAACAGATTTTTTCGCGTCACTCTCAGCAGAAAATTACAACAAAGAATTTAATATCATTAAACAAATTGCACTGAAAAACGGCTACAATCCAGACAACAGTAAAATCTATTTATCCGAAACCTAATACAGAACACGAACAATTTAAAACAATGACCTACATAGGAGAACCCAGTGAAAAAGTTTCAAAACATTTATTCAAATGTGGTTTAAAAATAGCTTTCAGAACTAACAACACAATAGGAAAACTTTTAAAAAACAATAAAACGAAATGTCCAAAATCTGAGGTCTACAGGTTGAAATGCGGATCCTGTCCTAAAATTTATATTGGACAAACAGGTATATCCTTCAAGAAACGCATTAATGAACATAAAATAGCGTTTAAAAACAATGAAAAACAATAGTCTAGGTTCTAGTTATGCTACACAGAAAAACACATTATTGGCGACAATACAAAAAGTAGAAAATTAAATTTATTGGAATCAATGTATTGCTTAACGATCAATAGCGAAATGATACTGGTTACACCCCTGTGTTTAAAATTTCTACATATTGTTATTTAGGGAGTTTCTCAAGCAGCGCATTGATTTCGGCAACCCTGTTGAATCTTCTGGTGTCGATGGACGCAGCAATCGATCCTAATTGCGATATCAATCCGGAAATGATAGTCGGGAAGGAGTACTACATCCACAACAAAGAATACCCTCAAAACTATAGGCGGGGATCATCGTGTAGATGGGTGGCTAAAAGTGCGATTGGTACCAGAATTAGCTTGTCCTGTACCAATGTTTCATTGCCGAAGGTTGGTAACAACAACACAATTAACCACAAAAATGAATCTTGTAATTAATCTTAGAAAATATTTTTTGTAGTGGACCAACACCGATCAACACAATTTTTGGGTCATACATGTTAATGTTTTTTGAATTCAAGTTTGCTTTTTTAGAAATTAGAGCAATTTTTCTTTGTTTTTTTAATATCAAAATTTTACGGTTTTTTCGTAGTTTTTCTTTAAGTTATAGTCAGTATAGAATGTAAAAGTAAAACAACAAAAAATAAGTGTCTAAAAATGAATATTTTTCGCATTTCTTTTGTGTGCGTATGGGTTCTCATATTCTAGTTGCTCTGGCCTTGATAACGCCATTCAAAGCCCATCACATCTTGGTGAAAACGTTCTCCTTGTTCTTCGAACTGGCACGCATGTAATCTTTAAATTCGTCTAAAAGATAAAGCCTATATTGTTTGAAGCATAATTGTCTGTCCTATGATATCCGTAGAAATTATCAACTACTGCTTTAAAACTCCTCACAAGCACTAAGAAGATTGGTGAAGTCATCAATTTTTGCTTTAACTTTAGCTTCAGATAATTTGAGAAAAAATTCTCTCAAATACTTAAAAACCGCTGAATTCGGATTCAGAGTTTTCACAAATCGCTTCATTAAACCCATTTTTTTATGTAATGACGGCATCAATACATTTTCCACTAAATGTTTTCTGCTATCCCATAAGCAAAGATGACAGGAATATTTAGTATATCCACCTTGCATTCCCATCAGAAAACCCACCATTTTAACATCACCGAACACTGGCTAATGGTATTCCGTGTATTTCAATTTTGCTATTATTATTTTCACACCGTCAGAGCTTTCTTTCAACAATACAGAATGCGTTAGAGGAAGACTAGAAAATTCATTTCCCTATGAAGCAGAACTGCTTTAAAACTTTTTGAACAACCATCGATAAAAAGCCGCCAGTCAGATGCTACGAAGGGTATTCTAATTGTCTCAAACAATTCAGTCACATTATTACAGTAACAAATACCGACTTCTTTTGTGAAAAACATTAACAATTTTAATTTGTTATTTTACGTCGTCTTCGAGCAAGTTACGTTGCTTTAGTCGCGAACCTAGAATTTCCGTTTTACTCTTGGAGAGCTTTAAGGTTCGGACTAAATCATAAAAATCACTTTGACTGATAAAATGCGTGTCAAAACTTTGGGATTTTATTAGTCATGTATCTGATTTTTTTAAACTTTGTGAAGGAAGATAAGAAAAAAAAAAATTCCAAAACTTTAACCAGATCGACGCTTACTTGGATTAACCATACAAAAATAACAGTCATGATCGCTAGGTTCCCTCCAAAGTCTTGGCTCCGCAAACTTCATACGTCGGTTTTGTCCTCTATACCAAGGAATAACATAATTATGCTATTGTGATCTAAATTTGGTCGACATTTTTAAAAATGTTATATTACAGTTTATTACCTTCTAACGTATTTTTACAATTAATACAGGCAAATGGTGGTACCCACTTTTAAATAGGCTTCATAGATTTCGCAGAGCTTAAAATTTGTTGACAAAGCAAATTTTTTATTTTAATTAGTGAATTGACAATAAATAAAACAAAATGAATCAAAATCACATTGGAATTGCCTTGATGCCATTTTCTAACTCAGCAATACACAAATACAGTTGTTGCAGCTGAGATAGACCAGTTACAGCTTACAATGTTGCGACCTACAAATAATAAGACAATTAATTTTTCAAAGATATTTGCAAAACTTCTGGATTTCTCCTGCGTCGGTTTTTGCTGAGTAAAATCCGAGAATCAAACCTTCGCACCTTAATTAACATATTTTTTTATAACGGTCAAATTTTTGAACAAACGTCAGGAACAGCTATGGGTTCTTCACTATCACCAGTCATCGTGAATATATTTATGGAAGCCTTTGAGAAGAAAGCTGTCGACACCTTTCATCTAAAACCAAAATTTTGGAAACGCTACGTCGATGATACTTTGGTGATTTGGTCTCAACGTCAAGAAACCGTAGTAGATTTTCTTATACATTTATACTCTATACACACTAACATACGTTTTACCATTGAGTGGAAACTAATAATAACCTTCCATTCTTAGATATTCTTATCAATAGAAAATCATACCTAACATTTTGTCATGGTGTTTTCGGAAAACCTACGCACACAGACCGATACTTTAATGCATGGTCACATCACCAGCCGGCCCAAAAATCATCGGTTATCAACTCTCTTGTTCACAGAGCCGTAAAAATATAAACACCTTACCTCTGCTCTTCTCTCTAATAATTTCCGCATTAAATATATTAAGCATTCCATCAAAAAATACACTTCACCACAACCTTCCAATAGCAATGATGCCGAAAGCAATCCTACACTTGCCACTGTGGTCCTTCGTCACGTTCAAAGTTCTAAAGAAGTATAACGTCAAAACCACATTTACCACTTGTCCAAAAGTCACTCATAAATCTAAAATTCTTGCATGTAATCAATTCTTCTACCAACGAAAAATCCGAGAGTCTATAGAAATCTATCAACAACCTAACAATCTTAACCGCGACTCAGGTCTTTATCTGTCACCAATTTGGGAATCAGTCATTCGAGACCGTGTTTATACTCCTCATTTAGCTCCGCCCCCTTCAAACAATATATAGGTACAGAGTAAAATGCGAGTCAGTTTAAGTCAAGCTCTGAAGAAGCCAACAGGATGATTGGGGAAGCGTCAGCAAGTTCGATTCAGCAAAAACCGGCGCAGAAGGAATCCAGAAGTTTTGTAAAAAGTAATAAGACAATTTATTTTCAGGTCAATCAAAGTGTCTAAGTTAAATCTTTGACTTAGAAAATAAATTGAAGGATACTTATCGACGTAAATCAAACTTTATGAACCAAATATGGGAATTTGAATGTTTTTCATCGACTAAAATCAGAATTTGCGCATGAGAAAAGAAACCCAAAAATAAAATTATTGACCGGTGTAATACTTAGAAAAATACAGGTTTGTTTAAATGAGTACAATTTTTGTTGCAGTCCCCAAATTGCCAAGGTGACAAACTGGCTGTATCGTCAACCGGTCATCAGACTCTTGAGGACGCACATAATTACTGTGGGAACGGATCGTTTTCCGCTATTTCCCGGGCAAACACCCTTACTATCGGTAATTGGTCTTGAATTAAATCGGAAGTAGAAAAATAAAGCAAGGAAGGAAGCTTTCGCGGGGTTGGGGTTGCAATTTTGAGAAAATTCTCAATTGTAGGTTACGTATATATTCAATATTTTCTACTCGATATAAATTTAAGTGTTTTTAAATTAAGGACACTGGTTTAAAGCAAGAATTTGAATATGCTTGAAAAATGAATATGATATTTTCAAGATTTATTTTTCATTGTCTTGTTTCAAAATGTTTCAAATTTTTAATCCGAAATTACAAATTCTACTTCTGAAATTGCATCATCTCTTTATTTGGAAAGTGTTGCCTCTTTAAAATGATATATAATTTTAGAAGAAGAAACAATATACAGTTTGCCATTTCAAAAGCCGTATACAAAATGAATATCTGCTAATTCTCTGTTTGAAAACAACTCGATCAGATTTAAATAGCTTATTTTTCATCAACAATCAACCTTCTTTAATTTACAAATTGACGAGACGTCCTATCCCAGCTACGAATTTTAAAAGCATGGTTATAACAACTGCATGAGAAAAACTGAAAAAAAAACTGAAAAAACCTATGTTATATTTAATTATAATACTCTACTTATAATACTTTCCGGCGTAACACGAAAAACTCCTCCGAACGATTTCACTAACATTCCTGCTATGTATTTCGCGTCTAAACAGTATTGGTTCCCAAATAGAGGACGGAGTATCGGGATCGTTTATACTCTTGATCAAAAAAGTACAGACTCCATCCTAAGCCATCCAGTTTGTTAATAAAAATTAAAAATACTGTCATATTTTTTTAATCCATACACAAAGGGCACACATTGGTTTTGAATTTTTTGAATTGTGCACTCACTTTCATTATCTTAGCTTTTTTTAAATGTTCTTTAAATCTTAGCTCGCTATCTAAACAAATGCCCAAGTTCTTAGCATTATTAACGAAGTTAAGCACTTTGCCATCAATTAAAATATTTAATGAATTTTTGGTCCTATTCATCTCATTTTTATTCCTTAAAAGTAAAAATGAAAATTTTGTAAGGTCTAACACCAGATTATGGCCTTTCCAGAGTTCATCCAAAGTTCTCAAATCGGGATTTATATTTTGTTCTACCTCCGAAAGATAGGCTAGCGGGTTACGGGCTCTGGAGAGAGGGAACGACATTTTTGAGGGCTGGCCCGGGGATCGCGGTGTCATGGGAATGCCAAGTGACGACATGATCCCTGAGATGACCTTCTGTGACAAATTAACCTTTCTCTTCCCATCAAGGGAACTTGTCTGGTACTAGGACGGGTCCAGAATGGGAGATTTGGCCTGGAACTGGAGCGTACTACGGAGACAACGGGAATATTCTTCGGCTCTCATAGTAGGGCTGCACTTATGGCGCTAAAGTCAGTGCGCACGCGCTTCTTGTTGATAAAGAAGTGCAAAGGGGTAGGCTAGAGGGTTGCGCCGGGAATGAGGCAGGCGAGGGTTATGATGGATGGGCCCGCCTTCCCTCGGACCAGGAAGCTGCATGAACTGACCAGAAGGGAGTGTAGAGCACTAACAGGGGCCTACACAAGGCATTGCAGGCTTAGGAGGCATGTTGGAGTGCAGGTGGTGCATGGAAGACCCCGTATCATCTGCTCACCGAGTACCCTGCTTTGACATGAGCAAGATTGGGGGTCTTCGGAACGGCCCTGATCCATCCGGACTCAGTGCACGGTATTGGGCTAAATGAGATGCTGAGATAATGAGATCCCTCCGAAAGACCATCATAATCATCAAAAAAATAATAAGTTTGGGTATCGTCGAATTTTACAGAGAGTTAATGATTCTAGAATGTCCGAAGTATACACAATAAATAATAGAGGACCTAAAACGGACCCCTGCGGCACCCCGGCAGAATTTGCACCCGATGCGAAAATTTGTCACTTCTCTTATTGTTGAAAGCTTAAAAGAAAATGGCAGTTTATTATTGTAAAGATTGTTCTCAAAAAAAGTTGATTTTCTCATTGCGAGCGGAAATGTGCTGAATAAATGTACCGAAATAATGATTTAAATTACTAGAATCAGAAAGTCAAAACTCTTTATTGGCAACCAACTTTTTTTAATATTATTTTCCACACATGCAATATCAAGATATTTCTTTTTTTTTTTCGTCTTATCATGGGTAATGTAAAGTTGCTTAAAAATTTGTGATTTTTCCAATAGTTAGGATCCTTTGTTCTTTTAAATTTAATTAACACAGTGTCTCTTTTTTATGGTGACCGTTAGCCACGGGGTATGTGCTTTAGTTCCTTCCTTAACTAAGAAAATCTTACATAAGGTTGTTAAATGTGCTAATTTTATCACTAATATTGTGTTTGTATAATTTATAATATACCTCAAGTCAAGCTGTACAGCGTGTGCCAAATAAATCGATCAGGAAACCCATAGGAGCTACGAAACAAAGTTTCATATAAAAGTCTCTTGGACTCTCCTGAAGATGTAAAATAAAATTTCATCGGCTAACTAAACAAGGTAACAAATTCGATTAAACAAATCTGTAAAACAAAAAAACAGAAGCTAATAACAAAACAAAAAACCTTAAAGTTGCTAATACTGCAATATATTTTCGATATATTTTCCATCCTCTGCAATACACATTGTATAGTCACAATACTGGAGACCGCATTTCTAACCGCATCACTATTAATTAATGCAAGAATCGCATGTCTAATTCTTTAACCTCAAAATTTTTTAAACTTCGAATATCTCAAAAGGCAAGTAAATTTTAAATATAAGAAAAATTACAAACTTACTATATTTTTTGTCCTAGAATTGATATCTGAATAAAAATATAGTGTGTTCCATTTGAAAACCTTAGGATTTTGTTAATTGAATTCGCCAAAACGGCACTACCTATTTGGTACACCCTGTATAAGCTGAGACGCATCTGTCAAACTGATTGAGTAGCGCATCATTTCCTTAGTCTGTGGGTAAATTTTATTGGCAACACCTGTATCAGTAACGTCACAACACAATTTTATACGAAGCAATCAAAAAATGAAAAGAAAAACACGTAACCTCAATTTCTGCTTAAACTATACAAAATTTGAATGGGAAAGTGACCGTTATTTTAATTAAGGATTCCAAAAATCTCGAAATATATATGGTATTCCATTTAAAATAACAAAGTTGATGTGGTGGATGTGTATCGTCGAAAATTATAATATTTTAAAACTTGAGGAGAGTCCAAGAAACTTTTGTAATATTTTTTTTTCGTATCTCCTATGGGTTTCCAGATCGTAGAGTGAATCGTTTTATTTGGCACACGGTGTATATACATTTCAAAAAATCATTTAAATTAAAAATTTTAAAACAACCATATCTAATAATTTTAGGAACAACCGGAATTGTATTTCGGCAATATGTTAATCTGCAATCAGAAACATTATCTACAGAAATTAGATCACAGTCACATACCACATCAATGTTTGATACAAAAATACATTCTAATTGCGCCTTAACGTCAAAGTCAAACTCTGTAATATCAATCTTGTGCTCATGCTTGACATAAAGAGCAACACCATCGTCCCTTCCAATCAGATCTTTTCTAAAAAAATAGTAATTAGGAAAATCAAATGGTCCAGAGATATCACATTCCAAGAGCCAGATTGGAACATTATATCAAAATTATTGTCAATAATTATACATTTTACTTCATTATGGCGTGACGTCATTTTCCTGTAAATTCACTAAGTCTCTCATGTTGATAATTCTATGAACTAAGTCATTTTTTTAACGTAAATGTTTCGGTTCAACACCCACGAGCTTTTCAAAGAAAACATTTGGTTTCTTGTTAAGTCTTCTTTGATTTGAACACCAATATTTACGGGTTTTCAGGACCATGCCAATATTGTAAAATATGTGTTACGTTTCAGGACTGTTTTCGACGCTTACCTCTCCTGGTGGACAGTTCCGTTGTATCATGACCGCTGTCAAGGACAGTCCAAAAGAACTGGGGGTACGGGCGACACAAAACTTTCCCGACTGCGACTGTGGTTGGCAGCAGACGGTAAAACAAACTTCAGCTAATGCAATTTTATTTAAACTTATACAATATGTCTCAGTAGGTTGGAGCCGAATCAGAAACTTTGACTAAGAAACGAGAATAATCGTGACGTCATACCGCTGATTAGTATAAAGGTGTATTTTGGTTAGTTTAGTAGATTGTATTTGTCTTTAGTGTGCTTTATATGATAATAATGGAAGCCATAAAAAAAAACCATAAAAAACAAAAATCCAGTACTATAACTGTTATTTTGGGCATTTTTTCGAAATCATACAGGGTTTTTCAATAATTGACAAAAATTTAAAGTACCGTAAAAATCGTTCTATTAAAGCGCAAACCAAAATGCGTAAATTTGGCTAACCGGTTCAAACTCTCCTGATATTTGAAAAAATCCCTATGACAATCACTATTCCTTACGCTTTGTCTATACGCGATGACGTCATTTAATATTGCGACGTACTGGTTTCAGAAAACAAGTATTTTCTCGAAAACCATTTACTCTATTGGAAAAATTCATATATAACCTCTATTTCGTACATTCTTTGAATTATATACAAGGTGTGTCGTGTCTGGGCAAAAATTCACAAAGTCGAAAATTTCCGCTTTTTGTGGGTAAATTATTGGCCATAAATGAATAACTGTTAGAGATGGGTTAATTTGGTTTGAACAATATTGCATACTGTGTCGAGAGAGAGTTGCAATTTTCACCTGTCATACAGAGTGCGCAAAATATTTGAAAAATTATTATTGGAAATCGCTATTACGGGTAAAAATTTTTACACTTAGCAAAGCTTAGCGTAACTTTCAAGTTCGGCAAGACGTGAAAGACATTTTATACAGGTTGCACGAGAAAATTACATCGATTTTGCGAAGTTCCGTAGTGGTCCGCAGGAGCACGATATAAAAACAATGTGGTCCCTATAGGGCAAGAAACCAGGCAGCTGTTTCTTTTTGAAATACAATGCTGCAAAAGCAATATAAATGGAGGCAAATATTTGAAGGCAGTTTTTAGTTTTGATCAACTTTTTTTTAATAACAATTTTTGATATTGTTAAACGTAAATGGTATTTTAAAAAAGAATGAGTTTTTCCTGAAATTAATAAGATGGTTTCAACTTATTTAGACGTATCGTATTACTAGTAAACTAAAAAACTTTTTCCAACAGAACAATTAATTTTTGTTGCATCCAACAGTTCTAGAAATGATCTTGTTATTGCAAAACGTTCGTATTTTAGGCTACAATCCTGGGGGGACAACAAACGGGAGTCAATGAGTACCCTTCGATGGCTGGACTGGTATACGTGGGCAATCGCAGCTTATTTTGCGGGGCTAGCATAATCTCTGACTTTTTCGTTTTAACCGCCGGCCATTGCGTTTACGGTATCGACTCCAGCACGTTTTCGGTATTGGTAGGAGAGCATAACATCTCTTCAGGTAATGCGATATCGTCAGGTGGTGTGCGATTCGTCCAAAATAAACACGTTCTATAGAGGGATCGAAATGCCGATATCTGCTTAATGGGTTTCATTCAACAACCTTTAAGTCAAAATTGAGTAGACTCCTAGAAGTAGCGACTTCACATTGTAACGAGTAACTGCTCCTATATGTGAGGGTGTATAGTGGACCAGAAATATAGTGCTTTTATAACCGATCAAGTGATTAACTTTGCCTATTGTTTATTACTCCAAAACCCTTATAGAACACCCCGCCGAGCAGATCCGTATCCGTAACCAATCCAGGACCCTCCAAGGAATTTATTTACCCATTCTAACAAGTGGCATATAAGTATGTTTTCAATCTTTTTCGTGGAGGATGTACATAAAAAGATTAGTGCAGTAACAATTTATTACATTCTATTTCATTATATTTCTACATCGCATCATTATTAATATAAAACATATTATGAGCCAGTATCAGTCACTTAAAAAATCGTCACTATCGCTACTGTCGTCAACTCCGCCACAATCGTTCTCAGTAAATATTTTCTTCTTTTATTACTCGTTTTTCACAGTTGCCGAATTAGGTTTATGATACTGTCACTAAATTTAGGGGCAGCGTTATTTCTTCCTATAATTGCTTTCAGTTCAGACCAGATCATGTCAGTCGGGTTAAATATACAATGATACGGGGCTATCGTGTCCGCGTCTTAAGATATTCAAGGTCAAAGTTCACAAAAATCGTTTTTTCGCGAATATCTAGCTTCCTATTACTTCAATGAGATTTGCACTTATTATAAAAGTTGTAGGCTATGAAATTCTCTACAACATTTGTTTAAACTTTTTTTTCATACGACCAACCGTTTTTGGGGTATCAAACAATGTCCATTATTTATGTACTAATTATTAATTATTTATATTTAATTAAAATAAGTAACTTGATTATTTATATATAATTATTCTTATTTAACTATTTAAGTATAGCATATTATTAATTCTGGATTATATATTTTAGTTATATTTTAAGTTAAAACGATATTACTTATGTTTTCTTTAAAACGCGTAAATTTCTCAATACTTATATACCTGGAAATACTTGTCCCTACCCTATGCCCTTTTCTATTCATTGCCGGGACACTCACATTTTAATAAATGTATAATAAGCCATATTTAATGATAAATAAAGATATGTGTAAAATATCTTCTCTTACTGTCATTTTAATTTAAAATTAAATTAAAATATATAATCCAGAATTAATAATATTCTATACTTAAATAGTTGAATATGAAATATATAAATAATCAAGTTAATTATTATAATTAAATATAAATAATTAATAATTATACATAAATAATGGATATTGTTTAATAATTATAATTTTCAAGTAAATAATTGACTTTATACAACGTACTGATAACAATAACTCACGCTTGACCTTGCTTTAGGCCGTATATGGCTGTACGCTGTGCACTCTTCGCGCTCTACCCCCAAAACGGTTGGTCGTATGAAAAAAAAGTTTAAACAAAAGTTGTAGGGAATTTTATAGTCTACAACTTTTATAATAAGTGCAAATCTCATTTAAGCAATAGGAAGCCAGATATTCGCGAAAAACCGATTTTTGTGACCTTCGACCTTGAATATCTTAAGACGCGCACACGATATCGTTTGTGACTTTTGAGACAGCATTTAGAATGACAAAACAAAGGGTCATATCAATTTATAGCTTATTATCTTTCATTCCGAGGTGAAACCCCTAATATGACTGGGCTATGAGGTCGAACCATGTTTCGCCTGAGTACACTATAAGCCCATTTTGCTCTCAAAATTTTTCAATTTGTTACACTCGCTTACTTAGAGTAACAACCCGCACTCAAGCAAATGGTATTTATAATTATAAAACCAGGAACAGTTTGTCGGGATTAAAACAGAATTTAAACGGTTATACGAGGTAAAATCTCGACTGACACTCGCGTCCGAACTGACACAGCGGTCAGGGCCTACGATGGTACGTCCAGGTGGGCCGACTATGCGTGTTCGTTACAATTTGCATTTAAATCGATTTTCTTCAAGAAAGTACGCAACGGCTCTTTGGCACAACTAAGTATGTCAGTACTTTTTTATGCAGTTCTTCTAGGGTTAAAACACTATTTACTTTACAAGCGTACTAGATTATACGAATAATTAGATCTGAGTGTTACTCTTTAAAAACTCGCGAAGTACCAGCATCTTATCTCACTTTCCTCTTGACTATCCCATTTGCAACAATTTTTCTTACAGTTGACTTTATTCAAGAAAATTTGTTTAGCAACCGAAGACAAATGGACCCTTTTTTTATTTGCTGAGGTAGTTTCGTCTTCTAAATTGTCATTAGGTTCGACTATCACCTCCACTTCGACTTCAACTTCTGCGTTGTGTCCCATGTCTTCTTCTAACAGGACAACATTTGCTTTATTCCACGGTCTCCACACTGTTGTGTTACTCAAAAATGACACTAGGAATGTATTTTCGACGTGAAAGTTTTTTAACTATTTTATTTTGAGTCTTAAAATTATTACAAGTATATAGCAGGTTTCGCGTAACCTATTCGAAACTGAGACTTGAGTTAGACTGACTTTTTCTATCTGGAAATCTGAGAAAGAAGATGTTTACTTGACCGTGAGAGTTCGATTAGAAGTGATGCTATTAAAAGTGTTTGTGTTTATGATATTAAATTATATTTATATCTAATACACTTAGGATTTGTTTGATAGACAAAATGTTTCAAATGAGAAATGAGCATAAAGTAAATAATAAAAAGGACATTTTAGGATAGGTATCTGACAACACTTTAAAGTGTTAAAAGAAGGGAACCTTCAAAAAATGTTTAATTGTAAGATTCTAACAAATATTTATTTGTATTCTTATGACGTACCTTTACCTACCGCCAATATAACCTATAGTCTTAAAAAAGAATCGAAGAACTATGTAGAAGACTCAAAAATACAAGAAGAAGAATAGTAGAGTACAGGTACTTTCCATTACCCTTTGAACTATCCAGTGCAAACAGCCTCGCACGGTCCAAGCTAGAGAACAGGGAACATAAATACGTACTTACTGGAAGAATCACAGTCAAATACCTCCGAAATATACACGAACATATTACCATTTAGATTAAACTCTTAAGAACGATGTTACCATTGTCCTGCGAAGGTCTGCGGTTAAGGTACTATAAAATACTTAGATAATAAAATTACTACATTTTAGTATGCATAAAAATAGTAACGAGTCTTCACTCGGATTTGCGGGTTTTGACTCGTGCTGTTGGATTCTTCTGAGACTCAAACCTTATTTGTGAAGATAATATCCTGTTTTTTTTTTAAATAAACGACTTAGTTTTCAATCAGTTTTTGAAAGCCCTCTTTTGGAATATCGCCCTGAAAGTCTTTATCATTAAGGTGCTTAGCCAAATTGTACAAGATAAAGCAACTCACGATGAGACAAGGCACTTTTCGTATTTCGATCGAAGCATCACTCTATTATAACTCGCTTTCTTTGTGACAGTGTATTGCTTGAACTTTGTTCTGGGGTATCTATAACCCCCCTACAACCCAGGGTCTCCCAACATAATAGCACCAGCCCTGTTCCATAGCATAATGTTGTGCCAAGAGCCATCCACATTTGTGAACTTTTCATTTGAATTGCACGTTGCCTGCACATTTATACTAGCAAAGTTTTTTGTTGATATATTCTTCTCCGTGAGTAGACGGTTTCAGTATAGGAACATAGCTATTGGTGCTATAGACTGCACTATAGCACCAATGCTGAAGGAAAATTAAACTTATCTTGACACCTATTTTTAACATTCTGTAGATCTTCAAGTAAGGATCCAAACATTTGATTTCTGCACAATACGTGCTATAACGTTGGTAACGGTTTCGAATACCGACGATTAATGCGCACCAATATCTTCGGCTAATGTCAATTTGGGATCCTCGATCATAAATGTAAAGTAAAAAACCCTCATTTCTTCTTCATTGCTCAACGCTCCGCACGTATATTCTTCAGTATCTCCTCTCCTCATATTTTTATGAATATAAAATGCAGTGGATCCTTTAAAAATGTGAGTAAAGAGTAGCCACTTAACTTTACGCATATCATCAAATTTATTTTGTATGTATTCCTTTCAACTCCCGAATCCAGATAATACCGGGTGTGTGGGAAATTCTGTTATAAACAAATTGTTAAATTTTCTTTAATTGTTTTCAGAAACTTCCAAAAATTACAAAAACGTCCCTGTACATTAATATACCGAAAAAAATTAATTCGATTTTTTAATATAGTTTGAAAATATATATAGTACAAAACTTGCAGCAGCTAATTTGTCGAATAAAAACTAATATAACTTTTAAACTGTTAGAGATATAACACACAAACAAAAAGACAAGGACATATAAATTTAACAAGTTGGCAACTTTTTTATGATTTGTTTCATTTATAAGAAAGAAATAGGCAGAGCAAAATTATGAAAAAAAAAATAGAAGATGAAAAGAATACATAAATCAGATAAAAAATTTAAAAAAAATACTGCAGATGAACAAAACTGCATTGAAGTGTAATAAAAAGGTTGAAAAATGCCAAAAAAATTTCTAATTGTTATAAACAAATGCAGAACAAGTCGGGCAAACAGTAGATACGCAATTGGTAAATGACTTATCTGAAAGACAATTTCATTACCAACAAAAATGACCCAAATGTTTATTGTTGTATCTCTAACAGTTGTGAAGTTATATTAGTTCACAAACGGATTAGCCGCTGCAATCTTTGTACTACCTATTTGTTTTTTGGTATTTTGATGAACAGGGACAGAGGCAGTTTTTAATTTTTAATAGTCTCAGAAAAAAAAAGACAAGTTAACAATTTGTGTATAACAAATTGTTATTAAACAATGATTATTAAACAATGAAATTGTTAATAAAAAATGTTCGTGTACTGTCAATTATGGTTTTAAAAAAAGTTTTATTATTTAAACAATCGCTACATGGCAAAAAAAATTATAAACATAAACAATTTTTTATTAAATATTTAAATAGTACATTTGTTTATAAAAAAAATATAAACAAATGGAGTTATTTTTTTTAGGTAACATTTCTTTTAGTTAATGACAAACGAAAAAAAAATACAACATGACGGTGAATTTTCTTTTTTGTTGCGACGCCATGAGCGCAATATGGCGCTCCAACGTTAAATTAAAATTATTAAAAATGGATCTAACTTGTTTTTTGTTAAGTTTCCTTAAGTTTAAGGAAAATTTTTTTCGACATCCAAAAAAATTATTAGTTTAAGAACTATAAGCAAAAAACCAAGTTTCAATTGCTATATCACATAGTTTTAGTAATAGTACGTTTAATTTACGTCATTTTAATTTCATTAACTAGACTAATAAAAGCTTCAGATAAAATCAAGAGATTAGAAGAGGACCTAAGTTTATTCATAAGAATAATTCGCTTTTTAGGAAACAGCCCTTATTCGGCAATTTATCTGGTCAACACCTACGAAATCTTCCCCAACTACACTCAAACCTATACGGTGACCGATGACATCGCGATCGTTCAAACTAAGAGCCAAATAGTGTTTAGTTTGTATGTCGGTCCCGTATGCCTACCATTCCGGTACACGAACTACGATTTCGTTGGTGATGTTGTTACGGCACTAGGTAAGTTCTTCCAATGAAAAACCCTCTAGTTTATATCTAACAAATTTGAAAGTGCATGTTTTTGAATTGATGAAAATGTTGTTCCCAGTATGAATCTTAAATTAAACGACTCCAAATATGATTGTCCGAAGAATATTTTGCCCTTAAAGTAAATATTTTTCAGTGGCCAAAATGGACTGAAACACACATAGATATTGTTCTAGCTGAACTTGATATATTTTAGATATATTTATATATTATATTTGATATATTTTAGATATAAAATACCTAACTGTACACCGATCTAGCATTTTACCGTGTACAACGAATCCACTTTGAACATTCCCAGGATTTTACCGCACGGGTTTGTGAGCAATCAGATGTTTTCGGAGATATTTCCCACGCTTTGAATTTTGACGTTTGTTAATTCTGACGGTCATGTCAGTGAATGTATTCGTGTTGAAAATGTACCCAAAAACTTACGGTCCTTGAAAAAGTATAACTCACTCGTTTATTAAACGGTTTACCGCACTTGTTTCATAATATACTATTACCACACTTGTGGCATAATATACTATATACAGGGTGTTTTCTAATTGAGTGTCCGTAATTTGAAAGAAACCTTCATATGTCCTAAAGGTCTTAACTTGTAAGATACAGGGTGGTAAAGTTTTCAAAAATAAAACATTTTTTTTTAATATATCTAAAACCACTTCAGATATTTTAATAAAATTTGGCATGCATGTACTATGTATCACGAGACATTATTTAGCTCACCACTTTAAAAGGACAGCGGCGATAGATATTTTGGCAGATATTGATGATACGCCACGAATTTCTCTTAATATAAAAATTATTCTTACACTCTCCAATCATATCTAAATAAATTTAATTCCTGGATTCTTTTCAATCCGATATACAGTTTGGGCGTAAGTAATTTTCTATATGTTTTATTAAAATACCTCGAAAAATCTAAGTACAAATGCGAAGTACATAAACTCTGAGGTGTATTTTTTGAAATTTTTATAATTATTTCTTATTAATGAAGTAGGCTGCGTCTGTTAGAGTTATTAATTCTGTTGTCAAGAGTGTGGTTTGACAGTTGTTTGACAACACTTATCCGAGCGCTTTCCTAATAGAGTCACACCAGAAAAACGAACATTTTCAAATTTACATAGAAGGTTGACTGAAAAAATTGAATAAACAGTTTTAAGTTCTATTGATGAAAGTCCTGAACTTACTAGAAAAATTGGAAATAATCTGAATATCTCGCACGTTTCGGTTTGAAAAATTTTGAATAAATTTTGTCAGTGGATTGTGGACAAAATGGCGCATTATTCCTTGTTTAACCAAGATATACTATTTACTGATGAACTTTTCGAAAAATGCAATCAGATATTTTATATAATAACCATATTTGGGCTGATGAAAACCCGCATGCTGTTGTAGGATCAAGAATAAAATTCAGTAAATGTTTAAGCTCGAACTGTTGGAAATTACTTAATTGAACCCTTTTTCCTGCCAGAAAGGCTAAATAGACATAATTGTCGCCGGTGCGTAGAAGAGGATTTGCCAATATTGCTTGAAGAAGTATCATATAGGAATAGAATGTGGTTCATGCACGATTTAATAATCGATGAGTAGGTCGCGGCGGACCTCAACTGCCCCTTAGGTCGCCAGATGTAAATAGTTTGGACATTTTCATATAAGGGCACCTTAAAAGTCTGGTTTGTCGCACCCAAGATAACACTGTAGAAGAGCTGAAAGATCGTGCAAAAGCTTCTTGCGATTTAATAAGAAATACTGGAAGTGTACTTTAAGGAGTACGTGGCAGTATAAAGAAAGGGCTTCAAGGTGGATGACACTTTCAACAACTTATTTAGTTCCTATTTCAAAAAGGTTGACAATTTTGTTAAAAATTATCAGTTATAAGTAGAGTTTTTCATTTAAATAAGATTCGCCTACTATTTATCTTGGAAAAGCAATAAAAAGGACACGCTGTTAAAAACTAGATATTTTGTTTTAGATACATATTTTAATTCTCTGTTAAAAGTTCACTATTTATGCCAGTGCAGTGGCGATCTAATTAACTAAAAACGAGTTATAAACGCTTTAACATTGTAAACCGCTGAATAGAGGTTCCCGTACATATTGTATTACTAGTTTCCCAAAGTGTCAGCAATTTGTTTGTATAAAACAACGGTGCGAACCACAATGCTAGCTTTTTGTCATCTCGCTTGAATAAAGTTTTTTAAAAAATCAAATTCATTTTCATGACGAAAACTGGCGCAGTCGGTGGGTTTCCGTGATCGACGATGTTTGGTCTCTCTAAAGAGTTTATTCGCGAAATCCGAACAACACAAACAACTGTTCAAGTGGTTGCAAAGTTCTTAATTGGCCAGGGGAAGGAACAAGCATGGTCCACAACCCTATTGGTGCGAAATAAGGAACAAAAATCGTCCGAATTTCATACGTAGCCCAGGGAAGAGACAAGCATCGCTCATCCTATTGGAAAACTATATTAAGAAAACGAGACAACCAGGAATGAAAATCGTCCTTCTCTCACTGTTATTATGGCTAGCAAACATCGGAGCAAACGAAGTAAAAATCCACAACCTGAACAACTATCCAGGAATCCTTCCTTATAAACTAGATACCGCAAAAATAACCTCTAACCAATTCTCCTTTATACAAATTTTTGATTTAAACCCAGCTGTTGCTGAATTCTATGCAATCCATAACCAAGTAAAAATATTAATTAGTCAGATTAAAAATAATACTAATTATTGTCACGAATATTCTAATTCAGTCATCCCTCTTGCAACATTAGTAAAACGCATTGAAAACCAAATTAATCAACTCAATCCATCATCTATAAAAAGAAATAAAAGAGGCCTATTAAACCCAATCGGTTCTATTATTAAATGTATTACTGGAAACTTAGACCAATCTGACGCGGATATAGAAATCAAACAACTACAAGAAAACCAAAATAATTTAAGAACTAATTTAATTAATCAAATAAAACTGTTAGAAAGAACAATCAACTCATTTAGAAAATTTAATATCCAATATTTCTCATAACCAACTCATCCTTAAATCCAAAATATTACAAGCTAACAGTTTGGAAAATTATATAGTTTATACTTTATATAATCAGCTACTAAATATTCAAATGTCAACATATTGAATTGAATGAAAATACACCATTCTGGTTTTTCATGATTTTTTTCTAAAATGTCACTGGTTTGTGAGTGATCAGATATTTGTGGCTTGAAATACTGCATTTTTTCCAAGAAAATTATAACCTTTTTAGTCCAACAATCAAAGGACCATGTGAAATATCAATACTACGTGTTACTTTTTGCGCAGCTATTCAATTGTGATATGTTCTTCTATATAGAAGGACAAATTATTATCAAAAATGAATCAATTTTTTTTATTTAAAACCAGAAAAAATAGATATTAGAATTTGGGCATGACGAAGTAGTGCCACAAATTATATTGTTCATGCGGATTTTTTTTTCATACCTGTCGCATACATTGTATAAATTCGTGTCCGTATGCTATGCTCATGTAGCTTATAATAATAACTAAATAAATAAAATGTTTTTCCAAAACACTAGAAATTATTCTTCTGTAGAACATTTAGGAAGTCAGTTATTTTTGAAAACGGTTTTAAATATTTTCAAAAACAAAACCGAACTACAAAATATAACTTATTCTTACAATACAGAGAATAGAGAAAAGGGAAATAACTCATAATTTTAACATCATTAAGTGTTTTTAAAAACATCTCAAAAAATGTATCTATCTGTAAGCCTGCAAGCAATAAAAAACTCAATAAATACATACAGTGCATAAAGAACAAATATAAATATATAAAATAATATATAAATATATAAAATGTCGAAAATAAAAAGTAAAAAAAATAACATTTGCTTGTTTTCAATATCAAATTTAAAGTAATATTTTTGTTTAAAATTTTTATATTATGTAAACTAGCATGAGTGGAAATGAATTTTCGACTTCAATTTATTTATTTTTCGAAACTACTGATCAGATAAAAAAATTATGTTGTTTGAAAGAATATGTTTGAAGTAATATGTTTTAATACTGAATTAAATTAAAATTTATTCCTGATTTTTAGGTTTAACACAGTAAAATAACTGCACGAGTCGAATTAACTTTTTTTATTACTATAAACTAACCAAAACTAACCAAAACCAAAAACAAACCCCCTCTTGCCCTAATAACATCTCATATTCGATTAGGCATAGATCTAATCAAGTTCGGTATTGTTTTTTGTGGAATGTTAAGCCACTCTTCCCATACTGCAACAATAAGCTCTCGGATCGAGGTTGGGATAAATGTTCTATCGGATTGAGGTCGGGACTGCATGCTTGCCACTCCACAACTTGAAAACCGACATCTGTTATGTAATCTTGCACGATCCTTGGGGTGTGCAGTCTTGCATTGTCATGCTTACAATGTAGTCGACATCTGGTACCACGTGATCTGATAAAATATCCTCGATGTACCTAGCATCTGTTAAAATTCCTGCCCCTTGACGATGGACACCACTACCGATGAAAATACACTATATATAGAAATTACACACTATATCATGCAGGAACCACCTTCATAAAGGCTCCGCTCTTCATTACAGCATTCTGCAAACGCTCTTCTGGTCTTCGATACACTATTTTTCACCGGTCATTACAAAAAAGGCATATTGGTCTCAAATGATCCCGTGCAAAGCGTAGGCGTGTTTGTCGATGAGCTGGAGTAAGTTTTGGATCAATGGCAGTTGTTTTTGGGGTCATGTTATTTTCCTTCAGTCTTTTTCTCACTGTCCACTGACTAATAGCTCTTCGAACTTCATGGTGGTGTTTTTGCACTTGAACCCCATTAAGGTGACGAATAAAGCGGTCATCACGAGCCGTTGTAATTCGCCTTCTCTCTCCTCATACCATTGACATACTCGACTCGAACTGCTGCGAGTCATATCCAGTGGTCGCTGGCGAAGTCCACATTCAATTAAAGCGATGACTTGAGGTGTTTTTGCGGTATAGTATGCATCAAGTTAACACAATTTGAACGCTATCCAGATGGCTAAAAACGAACAATGTGAAAATTCCAGTTGCAAAAGCGATTAATTCAAGTGTATAATAAGTTTAAAGCATATTAAATTGGCTTCCAAATAGCATATTGCAACAGTCAAAAATTTTGAGTGGGACGATTTATATTCACGCAAGTTTACGTTATATCAAAAGACATGAAAAGTACCTACCTAATTAATTATTTTCAGAACACAATATAACTATTGTGTACAGCGTTTAAGGGTAAAAGCGATTTCCATGCATTTTTTCTCGAGTAAAATAAGTTTTAAAATGAGGGCTTGCCCCTTTTCACCAAATCGTTCTGGCATTTTGAAAATATTTAGTTATCCGTTAAATTTAGATATTTTTGCAGTTTTACAAGTTACGATATCCAGTAATGAACTGGATAAAAATATCGTGCTATGACGTAACTGGAATCTAGATATTGTGGTGCCTTATGGTATCTGATAGGTAACCTGTATTATAAATAAATAGATAACTATGTATCTCGTTTTATGCTTCTTACTGTACTAGGATGGGGTAGTGTGGACAAATCTGTGATCGCTTCGGACGTGCTACGGAAGGCAAGTCTCTCTGTAATTTCGAACCAGCAGTGCGCGCATCAACAGAGGGAGAAAATCAACAACGATCAGATTTGTACATTTTCTCAAGGACGGCACGAATGCGCTGGTGATTCTGGAGGCCCGCTGCTGTGGCTGGACATGAGCACTCAAAGGTTGCATCTCATCGGGATCATATCCCACGGGCTCCCTTGCGACACCGATAGTCCCGCAATTAACACCAGGGTTACTCCGTATTTGGGGTGGATCGTTGCCAGAACTGGTACGTTCGTTGCTGCTAACTCGTCAGCAAAATCGAGGCTTAGCAGAAAAAATAGGTCAATCTTCATTGATACCAAATGAACCAAACAATTGTTGGCAAAATATTTTCCTATAATGGAGAATCTGCGAAGGTAGCGATGAACAAATTTCAGCAAATTATAACCGCAAGGAATATATTTTCGGTTCGTCCTTTTCAATATCATTTATTAACATTATATTTCATTTCGTCTCTTTGTCATCCTATTTTGACTTTTACTCGAAAGTTAACAGCATTTTTTAAATTTTTAATTTGACATTATTTAGATACAATATTTTAAAACCATTTTGGTATTTCGCACTTTGAAATTGATTGGATGTCTTACAAAACTATACAAAATATTATAAATAATATATAATAGTTTGAAATTTTTATGTACAGGGTAGCCGGGTTAAGAGTAGGCTACAAATGTTGGGACGTTTGGGATATGTGTTCAATTAAAGTTTTCTTTTCAAAATGGACCCAAAAATCGCAAATTGGCATCCAATTAGAAAATACGTGTATTAATATATGGCGTTAATTGACAATTGAAATAGTGCAAAAAATAGGCGATAAGGTGTAGGTTCCTCTTAAACCGGCCTCCCCGTACCTACAAATAATTATTTTGAAGGATTTGAACAAAGTACTCCCATTTTATGTGAAAAAGGTTCGAGAATCGATATTATTAATATTGAGATGGATGCACTAAACTGTCATCCTTGGTCTATACGTCAGTATTTAGGATTTCTTTTTTATGAGTTTCTGTTATACATTGAGTGAATGTAACTCAGTGAAATATTTCCATTTTTAGAGATGACTTTGAAAGAGATGGAAAATCCTGTTAAGTTATTGATGTTGACATTTAAAGGTCCGATTTTATTTCAGACTGGCAAAATCTAATAAAAAGAGAAACTTTCCTTTTTTTACTAAATTCATAAATTAAAAAAATTTCATAAAATTTCAAAATATAGTGATCATAACGAACCTTATTGGATACTCCATCTCTCCCAAATTCGTTGCTATGCCTTTTATTGCCCATATAAGCAGAATTGGTTTAAGAAAAAAAAACAACAGCAATGGACAGAGAAAAAGAAGTGTTGCTTAGTACCACAGGCTGAAAATCCAACATATGCAAAAAAATGGCGTTTTCAATACAAATCGATGATTAAAATATTTTGTTTCTTTTTTTTCCTCATGTTATTTTTCAAAGTTATACCTAAGTCTTCTTTCTTTATCAGGTGCAAATTTTTGTACCAGCTAGACACGGACGCTACAGAAGACTGCATCATTATCATTTTATATTATTTATTGTGGAATCAATAAATATTTATATGGTTGAAAAAACTTTTTCATTTTGACCCTCAATATGCCACAAAGGTGCAATGAAATTTATCCATGATTTTGAGTCCCTATGATTATGAAATATAAATATAAATATTTTATAACAATCACTGTGGGCAATATATTTTTTCTTGTTTTATAAAATGTGGTTGATTTTTCATAATTTTTTTTGTTAGCGAATACTGTAGATTCTCCAAAATGCACAATTAATATAGTCCAAGATATGTTTAATTCATTTTTTATATATTTATTTATATCAAATAATAGTTTTAGAGTAAGAACAGTCATCATTCCTGCAACGCTGTCCAAATGCCTTATAAAATGTATATATACTTAATTCAATAAAGACCTTTATTAATATTATTATTATCTATTTTATAAAATTTATCCCAGCAAGTTCAAGAAATTCGTCAGGCAAAAACAAAGAGAGGCAGCAGGAAGCAGAAGCAGCTAGGCAACAGAAAGCCTTCAGTGACTATTCCGTGATATAGTGAAAACCTCCGTGAAATTATAGTATTACTCTTGAATAAACACTAACCTTGCGATGCTCAGAACGTAAAATAGAATGTCTTAGTCTTCAGTTTCTGAAATATCGACGTCAAAACTTGGATTCAGAATATATGTAATATAATCTAACTATTTCAAGCCATATATTTTTTGTTAGTCCACTATGACTATAGTATATAGAATTTTAAGTGGTTTACACAGGGTGTAAAGTTCATAGGAACGTATGTCCTAAACGTCTCAACTTTTAAAATTAGTCAGTTTTTATTTTTAAGTGAAAACCGTGCGACGGACTAAATAAAATAAGAGATCAACAAGTCTGCTCATAAATGAATGAAAATGTCATTATTCTTCTAAGAAAATCAGTGGCGTGCCACTGCCTGTCTATGAACAAATAATATTTTGGTTAATTAGATTGCCACTGCACTGGTTATATCGAGAAATTTTTTTGTGAAAAATAAAATATCGATGTAAAATAAAATATCTAGTTTTTAGATACCAACTAGTGTCTTTCCAAAAAAAAAATTAGAAAACTGCCCCTATAAGAAAACATCCAAATTGTTTAAATTTGGGGACCTAGGGGGCCATGGCTAAAGAATGCCACGACCCACCAATTACTTATTAAATGGGTGACTTGAATATTCCGTTACTGCATAAAAAGTGAACAGGTTCGCCATCATGCATGAACAGCGTACTATTCCTAATTAAATATAGCACTCTTTTCTAGCAAAATTGGCAAATCCTCTTCTAAAAGTCGACGATAATCATGGTCATTTAGCCTTTGTGGCAGGGAAAAGGCGTTTTAATTTTACATCATTGAGGTTTTCATTGGCCAAAATATGGTTATTGTGTAAATTTTGATTGCATTTCTGCAAAGATCAGCTTCTTCTTTAAATAGTATTTCTTGGTCAAAGAAAGGATATGCACATGTATGCAACTTTTATTAAAATATGGTCGGTATACAAGAGGAAGTGACCAAGTCCAATATTAACAGTTTGAAGCTATTAATATTTGAAGATTTATAAACAAATATAAAATTCAATTATTTCTTGTAAGTTTATTATAGTGGAAATAAATATTGAAAGTAGGTTTTTGTTAATCTACTACCATAACCAATTTTTTTTATTCTTTCATTAGACATAATATAACTATACCTATTATTCTCCTATTCGAAGGAAGTTAAGGTCAATTTGTTCGCCTAAAATTTATTAACTATTAAAACAACAAATTTACTATTATAACAAATTATTAAAGAATAATAATTACTAATAAGAAAAATTAAGTAGCATTAAAATAATCCTAACATTATATTTTATGATCACTGCTTTCATCTTGTGCAGGTTGGGGGCATTTGTCTCTTCTGGAATTATTACTTGGTTCACGGTTCAGCCATGATACTCGTTGAATAACTGCAGGTCGGTTTAACTAAGTCATCCTTTTTGTTTTTGGATATTGCCAATGGTTCTGAGTAGCACTTTTTTAAATCTGATTCTTTCGGCGTACTACTAGGTCTATCTACCCTTTACTTTTCCTCTTACATTTAGAACTTTTAGAACATCGTTATTGTACCTGAACAATATTAATTTTTTTGTTCCTTTTTCATATCGGAGTTGTTCGATCTTCAGCCATTCTACTTTTTGACCACTTTCGTCTCGAAACGTATTTTTTAATGTTGATTTGTCGAGTTGTTTAAGATTGTTAAAATCATTGTACGTCAGCTGGTGAACATTATAAGCACTTGAAATTTTATTTTTTCCTCTCTTGGATCGTGCTACTGCCATAATTGTTTTCCAGTCATTTAAGTAAAAGACAGGGACATTTCTTTTGGCTCGTTCTAGCAATGAGCAATGATATTAGGAGAACTTGGTCATTTTCTCAAATTAAATTCTAGAAAAAGAACATTAAAAAAATATATTTCAAAAGTTAATACGTTTAGGACATATATTCATATGAAGTTTTCTTTTTAAAAAAGACCACCCCCTTGATTATGGATATTGAATTAGAAAACTTCCTGTATAGTAGAATTTTGTATTTATCATACCTGCAACTTCTTTGACCTTCATATTTTGCTTAAAGGTCCTCAACTACGGACTAAAATAACTTTTAACGATTACCTCCATCATATGGTTGAAATTGTTAACTTTAAGTGATTTGGAAAAATGAGGGTGAAAATACTGTGCTAACAAGTATAAGGTAATTAGTTGCGGATGATCTGCTTTATTTAAAGTATTCTATTTAAATAGATATCCATGGTTTCAGTTCACCTAATAGGACTTGTAAATCTTCATCACCCAATGCTTCCAACGGCGATCTGACTGACCCCAGTTTAATGGGCAGAACAAAATTCGCTGCTGCTTTCAACCTGGGCACGTAAGCATCTGAAATGAGGTAAATTGTTAGTACAATTAACTAATCGGTTAACACTTGGTTTCTATATGAGGTTCTCGAGCGGTAAATCAAACCCAGAAGCCGAAAATCTTAAATTCCTTGGAGTGACTATTGAGCCCACACTCTGTGTTCAATAGTTTTGTGCACTGATTCACAGGCTTATTGTTTCTAATTTCATAGTGAACATTATTAATTTCTAGATAAAGTTAAAATTGACAAGAGTACTTGCATTAAAGAAACCCAGCAATTGGTGGAATAGAGACAAAAATATTCATCAATTTTGAGTAGAAAAATGAAATATTTATTATTTAGACGAGGGTTCGTTCGACACCCATGACACTATAAAGAAGGGTTCATCCTCGAACTACGTTTTGAGTGTAAGTACAGCTGCCTACACTGTACTTCGAGGAAAAGTTGGATGTCAAATACTTTCAGCAAAAAGACATTGAAGATGCAGTGGCAGTGTAATAATTTGTGACTATGCTACTTATCATAGCACTTTAGCTAAAAAAGTACCAATCATGAGTAGGAAAGATACTGATACAAAAAAACAAATAGTTGAAGTTTTCAATCATTTGATAAAGACACGGTGTTGTCGAAACAATTGTCATGTCATAAAATATAATTTCTTCAGTTCTTATTTATTTTGATAAATGGATTTTCATCAAGTAAGAGTCACCTCGGTTCAATAGTTGGAGTTTTGAACATGGGCCGAATTTAAAAACAAAGTTAGACTCAATAGAATAAGCCCGAAAATGTCCGCCCATGTGACAAACTTAATTATAACTCAATTCAAACAGTGCTGGTTTTATTCTTTCAACTTTAACGAGCCTGTTGTTCATTGTCATGTGGAGCGTAAATAGTCTTCTTCTTCTCAAGGTACCATCTCCACTAGTGAAGGTTGGATACAATCTCAGCAAATCCCGCTCGGTCCTTAGCAACCTGGAACAGGGTATGGGCATTCAGGCCAGTCCAATCACGAATGTTCTTTAGCCAGGAATGTTTTCTTCTCCCTATCCCCCGTCGTCCTTCAATCTCGCCTTCCATTATTAGTTTAAGTAGGGTATATTTACTGCTTCGCATTATGTGGCCAAGGTATGCCGTTTTTCTTCTCTTGACAATTGTTAGCAGTTCCCTCTTCTGTTGTGTTCTTCTCAATATTTCCTCGTTGGTTACACGTGCTGTCCATGGGACTTTAAGGAGCCTTCGCAAGGTCCACATTTCGAACGCTTCTATTTTGTTTATGGTGTTTACTTTTAGCGTCCAAACCTCGCACCCGTACAGCAATACAGAGTGGATGTAGCATCTTACAAATCTATATCTCAGCTCAAAGTTAAGCGCAGGATCACATAGCAGGTGTTTCATGTTGTTGAATGTGCCCCTTGCGTTTTCTATTCTGGCTCTTATTTCTGGTTCAGGATCCAAGTGGCAGTTTATCCAAGTTCCAAGATATTTGAAGTTTTCGACCACTCCGATGTCCTTTCCATTTATTGATATCCTTGGTGGAGGCTCTCGAGATTTGCTAATAACCATTACTTTGGTCTTGCCAACGTTTATTTTGAGGCCAAGCCTTTCTCCCGTTATACTTAGTTTTGTTAGTAGCCGTTGGAGTCCTTCTGGCGTGTCGGCAATGATCACCGTATCGTCTGCATATCGCAGATTGTTAATGATCTGTCCATTGATCTTAATACCATCAGTTTCCTCCTGCAGGGCCTCCGCGAAAATGCTTTCCGAGTATATGTTGAATAATAGGGGCGATAATACACATCCCTGTCGTACCCCTCGTTGGATGTCCACCAGGCCCGTTACCAGGTTACCGAATATAGATTTACGCTTGTTGGTGCCAGTACAAATTTTTGATAATCTGGATGTCTTGTTTGTCAAATCCCTTTCTTTCCAGCATTTTAATGAGTTGTACATGTTCCACTCTATCAAAAGCCTTTTCATAATCTATGAAGCAAGCGTAAATCTTCCGTTGTCGATCGTTACATTTCTGAAAAAGGACTGTCATGCTATATAAGGCTTCTCTGGTTCCCAAATTTTCACGGAAGCCGAATTGCGTTTGGCTGATATCTTGCTCGCATTTCTTGTATATTCTTGCATGAACAATCTTTAGAAATAGTTTAAGTAATTGACTAATCAAGCTTATTAGTCTGTACTCGTCGCATTTCTTCGCGTTTGTTTTCTTCGGTATAGGTATAAACATGGATTTCAGCCAGCCTTCGGGTATTATGCCTGTTCTGTAAATATTATTAAAAAGCTTCACAAGAATTGCTATGTTTGTTTCGTCCAGTAATTTTATTATTTCTATGTGTATATCATCTGGACCAGCACTCTTTCCCGCTTTGCACATTCTGATGGCTCGAATTACTTCTTCCTTGAGAATCTCGGGCGCTGTCTCTAGTTCTCTGGTTATATCATAGTCTCTTGTATCTGCACTTTCAAATAGGTTTTGTATATAGGATTCCCAGTATTTCTTAAGTTCCTCGGGGTCATGGATGTATCTGTTGTTGTTATTGACGATTGATGTCGTTTGTTTGCTTTTGATTTTCCCGGTCACTTCTCTTACTTTCTTGTGCATCGCACCGTGGTCGTTCCTCCGCTGTAGCTCTTCTATTTCCTCGCATTTTTCTATCAGCCATCTTTGTTTAGCTTGTCTTATTTCTCTTCTTATTCTTGTGTTCACCTCTTTATATTTTTGCGCATTTCTGTTCTTATATGTTCTTCGCTCTTCCATCATGTCTATTATTTCATCAGTCATCCAATTTTTCTTTTTAGCTCTCTGTTTGGATCCAATTTCTTCTTCTTCTATTATGTTTAAGGTTTCTTGTAAGCATTTCCATTGTTGGTGTGGATCAGTGACGTTCTCAATTTGTAGTTTTGGTATATCGTTCTTAATCCTTATTTGTACTCTAGTGCGTGTAAGAGGATCTCTTAATTTTGTAACATCCACCTTCTGGCTGTTCTTTTTCTTAACTTTCCTAAGTTTTACACGTATATTCCCGACTACTGGATTATGGTCAGAGCCTATATCTGTTCCCGGGTATGTTTTTACACCATATATGCCGTTTTTGTATCTCTCGTTGACCAGAATATAGTCTATTTGATTTCTAACTATATTTTCTTCAGTATGTTGTGGCGATTGCCATGTATATAATCGCCGGGGGTGCAGTTTAAACCAGGTATTTGTGATGCACATGGATTCCTCTTGACAAAATTGTATTAAGGTATCGCCTCGAGGATTACGCTCTCCTAATCCGTATCTACCCACAATTCGATCTACTTCTCTCGATCCCACTTTGGCATTAAAGTCTCCCAATAATATGGTCAATTCATTTCTTTTAGTGTAGGATAAAAGGTCCTTTAGTTCTTTATAAAAGTTGCTTAATTCCACCTCGGATTTGTCGGCAGTGGGTGCATAGCATTGGATCACGTTGATGTCTACAGGATGTGCTCGTATTTTTAAAAGCAATGAACGATCTGAGTGAGGAATGAAACTGACCACTGTTCTTTCAATCTCTTCGGTTACTATGATACCGACTCCATTCGGGTGGGCTGGAAGTTCATTTCCAGAGTATTACATCACTGACTCATCGGATTTGATTTGTCCACTTTTTGGCCACCTCACTTCACTAACTCCGAGAACGTCTATTTTGATCCGTTTCATCTCTTTGATGATGTTATTCAACTTTCCTGCTCTGTATAGACTTTTCAGATTCCAGGTGCCAATTTTTATGGCCGAAGATTTGTCTGTTTTGTTTAGTTCCACTTTCGGGTGGGTCCTAGCATTGATCGCGGGGATTCTTTGCACCCCCTATCTCGCAATCCAAAGCTGATTAGAATAGAAAAAAGTGGCAGAATTCAGCCATTCAATCATTCAATTCAATCATTTTCGAAAAATGAACCAAGGTTATATTACTTTAAAGTGGATATGTTTTTGCAAAATACCAGTGAATTTGTCAAGAGCATTACAAAAATATATAAAATTCTATGCTTGTTTTTAATATTTACGTTTTGATAAGAAACTCGTTTTTGTGAGGTAGCAGGTATACTGGGTGCTTTCTAATTCTTTGGGTCCATTTTAAAAAGAAAACTTCATATGAACATATATCCGAAACGTCTTAACTTTTGAGATAAAATATATTTTTTTAATACATGTAATACCACCTTGGATATTTTAATGAAATTTGGCACGCATGTACTATGTAGCAAGGGACGTAAGTGTACTACAATTTTTTTTAAATACACCAGTGGCGGACGAATTTCATTTTTTGTTTCACTATTTTGGCAGACGTTGATGGTACGCCACTGATTTTTTTAAAATAAAAAAATTTATTATTATACAATATTTTGATTAATTCGGTCGCCATTGCACTGGTTAAATTGAGAACTTTTTTAGTGAAAAATAAAATATCTAGTGTCCTTAAAAAAAACAGTGTTCTTTTTACCTTGACAGTTTTAATGAAATATTGTAACATCCCAACAAGATAAATAATAAAAGATTTAAAAAAAGAGCACTTAATTTTTAACAAAATTGTCTGTTAATAAATTAATAACAAAGTTCAAAAAAGGTAGAACCTGGAAACTGGATAAGTTGTTGAAATTGTCGCGCACTTTTTGAAGTATACTTCTAGTGTTTCTTATTAAATCGCAGGAAGCTCTTATCCTATCCTTCAACCTTTTTGTTTATTGATTTGTTAAATGGGGATATGGCCATTTTGTCTGTCTGGCAGAAAAAAGAGTCCTACTAGGTTATTTCCAAGGATTCCAGCTCAAACATTAAAAAAAAAATATGTTGGGGCTGTTCGTCACAGAGACATTGGAGACTGAAATTCATATAAAAGATTACGAAACAACATTGTTAATAATAAAATAAGGTATGAAAAAGACAAATACTTCAGAGAAGTGATAGATGAAAATAAGCAAAATTCAAGAGAGCTATGGAAACATTTCAAGACATAAGTCCCGAATAAAAGTTTATCCGGGCCAA